ATAAATTAGAACCATTTACGTGTTAGATCAGTAGAAAGCTACATGTGATCTGTAGCTTATTGGTTTAATGTTTTTTTTTGGAGATTAAGTCTCACTGTGTCACCCAGTCTAGGGTGCAGTGGTGCGATCTTGGCTCACTGCAATCTCTGCCTCCTAGGTTCAAGCAATTCTCGTGCCTCAGCCTCCTGAGTAGCTGGGATTACAGGTGTGCGTCACCATGCCCAGCTAATTTTTGTATTTAATTAGAGACAGGGTTTCACCATGTTGGACAGGCTGGTCTTGAACTTCTGACCTCAGGTGCGCCATCTGCTGGGTTTACAGGTATGAGCCACCACACCCGGCCCCTAATATTCTCTTGGCCATAAAATCATGAGATACATTGTGAATTTAATAAACATATAAATTGGAAAATAAACTTTATTATCACCTGTCTCACTGCTACCTCAGACTGTCTCTCTATATAAAGGAATAATTTTTCCTTTTAAAACCTACTCTACCCTCTGTCTTCTCTATTGTGCTTTATGCTTCCACTATTCTTTCAACTACTAAAGATAATGTCTTTTTTTCTGTCTTTCCAGTGTCTTCTGTATTTATTCCTTCCTTTTCACTTCGACTGTCAGAACCCATATTTAGTCCTTTTTATTTTAGCTTTAGATTTGCAGTAGTCTCCTAGCTGATATTCCCATCCCCATAGTACCTGCACCAACCCATTTGACATACCACTCAGAAGTCATCTTCCAAAAATAGATTTACAATCAGTGGTTTCCCATTGTCTTCCACAATGGTTATTGTGGAAGAGAGCTTCCTCTCCCTAGGTTTCAAGGCTTTCAACACGTCAAGCCTTATTGCTGACTTCTGACAGCCCTGCATGACCTGTTTCTGTGGCTTTATCTGTGCTGTAACTACAGCATAGTATAGAAATACAGTCCAGGTGGTTTTTGCTGGTCAAAATATTACATGTCAAGATTCATCATAAAAGCTATCAGAATCTTATTTTTCCTGTTTTATAGACACTGTGTTTGTAAATAAAATGTCAATAGATATTATACATTCAAACTCTGTTACATTTAAAATTGTGATTATGCAAATTTTAATCACTAGCACTCTAAACAAACTTTACACAATAACATATAGGGGTAAAAAGGACTTCATATTTAATCTCCACTTCTACAGGCCTTTGCTTTTACCTTCACACTGTCTTATTTTTGTTTTTATTATTTTTTTTTGTTGTTGTTTTGAGATGGAGTTTCACTCTTTTTGCCCAGGCTGGAGTGCAATGGCGCAATCACTGCTCACTGCAACCTCTGCCTTCTGGGTTCAAGTGATGCTCCTGCCTCAGCCTCCTGAGTAGCTGGGATTACAGGTGTACACCACCATGCCCAGCAAGTTTTTGTATTTTTAGTATACTGAGATGGAGTTTCACCATGTTGGCCAGGCTGGTCTCGAACTCCTGACCTCAGATGATCCACCTACCTCAGCCTCCCAAAATGCTGGGATTACAGGCATGAGCCACTGCACGTGGCCCACGCTGTTTATTTTTTTATTTTTTTTTTAATTTTTATTTTTTTGAGACAGAGTCTTGCTCTGTTGCCCAGGCTGGAGCGCAGTGGCCGGATCTCGGATCACCACAACCTCCGCCTCCCCAGTTCAACTGATTCTCCTGCCTCAGACTCCTGAGCAGATGGGACTACAGGCACGTGCCACCCTGCCTGGCTAATTTTTTGTATTTTTAGTAGAGACAGGGTTTCACTGTGCTAGCCAGGATGGTCTCAATCTCCTGACCTTGTGATCCGCCAGTCTCGGCCTCCCAAAGTGCTGGGATTACAGGCGTGAGCCACTGCACCCGGCCTACATTGTTTATTTTTGAACATGTCATATATATTACAAAATTCTAAAGTTACAAAAGGGTATAAAATATAAAATAACTTTTCTCTCCTTCCTGTTGTCCCCTCCCCACAGTTCCTCCTTCTTGGAAACAATAGTGTTATCAGTTTCTTGCATGTGTTCATCCAGGGAGAGTTTAACTAGAGACACATGTTTAATTTATGTATGGATTTGGGAATGGTAGGGGTGTGCATTCAAACTCAGTAATAAGAAACCAAGTTATTCAATTTAAAAAAGGGCAAAAAATATGAATAGAGGCTTCCCCAAAAAAGATATATGAATAGCAAATAAACACATGGAGAGATGCTCAATTAGTCATTAGGGAAATGCAAATGAAAGTCACAATGAAATATATCACACACCTATTAAAATGACTAAAATTAGGGGCTGGGTGCCCCCAGTGGCTCATGCCTGTAATCCCAGCACTTTGGGAGGCTGAGACGGGCAGATCACGAGGTCAGTAGATCAAGACCATCCTGGCTAACCTGGTGAAACCCCGTCTCTACTAAAAAAAAAAAACACACACACACACACACACACAAATTAGCTGGGTGTGGTGGCGTGCGCCTGTAATCCCAGCTATTCGGGAGGCTGAGACAGGAGAATTGCTTGAACCTGGGAGTTGGAGGTTGCAGTGTGCTGGGATCGGGCCACTGCACTCCAGCCTGGGTGACAGAGTGAGACTCCATCTCAAAATAAATAAATAAAGACTAAAATTAAAGGATTGTCCATATTCACATGGAGGGGAACAATGCCCACTGGGGCCTACCGGAGGGTTGGGTGGGTAGAGGGAGAGGATCAGAAAAAATATCTAATGTATGCTGGGCTTAATGCCTGAGTGATGAAATAATCTGTACAATGAACCCCTGTGACACACCTTTACCTATGTAACAAACCTGCACATCCTGCACATGTACCCCTGAACTTAAAATAAAAGTTAAAAATCCGGGCGCGGTGGCTCACACCTGTAATCCCAGCACTTTAGGAGGCCGAGGCAGACGGATCACGAGGTCAGGAGATCGAGACCATCCTGGCTAACACGGTGAAACCCCGTCTCTACTAAAAATACAAAAAATTAGCCGGGCGCGGTGGCGGGCGTCTGTAGTCCCAGATACTCGGGAGGCTGAGGCAGGAGAATGGCGTGAACCCGGGAGGCGGAGCTTGCAGTGAGCCGAGATCACGCCACTGCACTCCAGCCTGGGCGACAGAGCGAGACTCCATCTCAAACAAAAAAAAGTTAAAAAAAATTGTCCATATTAAGTGTTGGTGAGGCGGAGAAGAAACTAGAATTGTATGCTCCTGATGTGAACGTAAAATAGTACTACTTCAGAAAGAAGGCAGTTTCTAAAAAACTTAAACATACATCTGCTGGGCGCGGTGGCTCATGCCTGTAATCCCAGCACTTTGGGAGGTCGAAGCAGGCAGATCACCAGCTTAGGAGTTCAAGACCAGCCTGACCAACATGGTGAAACCCCGTCTCTACTAAAAATACAAAAACTAGCCGGGTGTGGTGGCGTGCGCCCGTAATCCCAGCTACTTAGGAGCCTGAGGCAGGAGAATCTCTTGATCCCAGGAGGCAGAGGTTGCAGTGAGCCGAGATCACGCCATTGCACTCCAACCTGGGCGACAGAGCAAGACTCTGTCTCAAAACAAACAAACAAAAAAACATACCTATCGTATAACCCAAATATTTCACTCCTAGGTATTTAAGAGCAAAGGAAGTATATGTCCATATGAAGACTTATACACAAATGCTCATAGCAGCTTTATTTATAGTAACTAAGAACTTGGAACAACTCAGATGTCTATCAGCAGATGAATAGTTTATCAAACTGTGGTATGCCAGTAAAATGGAATGAATGTTAAGCAATAAAAAAGGAATGAACTACTGATACATGCAACAACATGAATCCATCTCAAAATCATTTCGTTGAGTGAAAGAAGGCATGCACTGTATTATTTCATTTATATAAAATTTCACGAAAAGCAAACTTTGGTGACAGAAAGCAGATCAGTGGTTGCCTGGAAAGTGGGTGGGAATAGTGAAAGGTACAGATTGCAAAAGTGCAGGAGGAAATTTTTAGGGGCTCATTATCATGATTTTGGCAACAGTTTCACAAATGTATGTTCATGTCAAAACGCATCAAATTTTACAACCTAAATATGTGTGGGTTATTGTATGTCAATTATTTTTATTATTATTTTATTTTTGTTTTTTGAGACGAGTCTCGCTCTGTCACCAGGCTGGAGTGCAATGGCACAATCTTGGCTCACTGCAACCTCTGCCTCCCTGCTTCAAGCGATTCTCCTGAATCCGAGTAGCTGGGACTACAGGCGAGCGCCACCATGCCCGGCTAATTTTTTTGTATTTTTTAGTAGAGACGGGGTTTCACCATGTTAGCGAGGTTGGTCTCGAATTCCTGACCTCAGGCAATCGGCCAGCTTCAGCCTCCCAAAATGCTGGGATTACAGGCATGAGCCACCGCGCCCGGCTGGGTTATGGTATGTCAGTTTTTACCGCCATAAAACTGTTAAGGCCTGTAATCCCAGCCCTTTGGGAGGCCGAGGCAGGTGGATCACCTGAGGTCGGGGAGTTCGAGACCAGCCTGACCAACATAGAGAAACCCCATCTCTACTAAAAATACAAAAATTAGCCGGGTGTGGTGGCGCATGCCTGTAATCCCTGTAATCCCAGCAACTCGGGAGGCTGAGGCAGGAGAATCGCTTGAACCCGGGAGGTGGAGGTTGCAGTGAGCCGAGATTGCGCCACTGCACTCCAGCCCGGGCAACAAGAGCGAAACGCCGTCTCAAGAAAAACAAAACTAAACTACAACACTGTTAAGGGCAGTTAAAAACCAGCCCATATTCCCAGGCTGTTTTTTTGTTTGTTTGTTTGTTTTGTTTTGTTTTTTCTTCGGGGTTGAAAAAAAACCTAAATTCTCATTCACCGCACACGCTGCTCCTCACTAACCACGAGAAACCCCATCCAACACCATCCACCGGGTCCCTGCCTTGCCCTCCTAATCCCGCCAGCGGGGTGTCTTCTCTCTGCCGCCCGCTAGAGGGCGCGTACAGAGGAGGTCAAAGCTTTTGGCTCGCTAGCTCAGCCCCAACGCCTGCATGAACTTCCGGCTACACGCCATTCCGCTTCCCGGGGAACGCTTGGGCTGTAGTACGGGTTCCCTATGGGACTCTGAAGCCTGAGGATATCCGGCGCGCAACGTTTGTTCAGCGCGGAGTTAAGCGCCCCGGCCGTAACTTAGGGGAAGTGGACCAGGCTTGCCGCTGCCCACGGCGGTCCTTTCGTTTCCACCGGAGTGGAGGGGAGCGTGCTACCATGGCAGCCCCTGCACAGCCCAAGAAGATCGTGGCCCCTACGGTGTCCCAGATTAACGCGGAGTTCGTGACCCAGGTGAGCTCGGGCGAGTCTGGTGTATGTGTGAGGGGGTAAGGACGTCGTGGCCCCGAGGCCTGGTGGTGGGGTTTTTTCTTTTTTTTCCAGGACTAGGAGCACGGAGGAGGCATTCGTTTGTTAATTCATTCACACAAGTCTTTTTTGCTGAGTATCAGCTCCGTGCCGGCAGCTACGCTAGGTGCTGGGCATACCGTGGTGGATGGGTTGCCCTGGCCTGAGGGGTTCATGGCCTAAGAAAGACACATAGGCCGGGCGCGGTGGCTCAAGCCTGTAATCCCGGCACTTTGGGAGGCCGAGACGGGCGGATCACGAGGTCAGGAGATGGAGACCATCCTGGCTAACACGGTGAAACCCCGTCTCTACTAAAAAATACAAAAAACCTAGCCGGGCGAGGTGGCGGCGCCTGTAGTCCCGGCTACTCGGGAGGCTGAGGCAGGAGAATGGCGTAAATCCTGGACACGGAGCTTGCAGTGAGCTGAGATCCGGCCACTGCACTCCAGCCTGGGCGACAGAGCGAGACTCCGTCTCAAAAAAAAAAAAAAAAAAAAAAAAAGACACATAAAAAGAAAACTACTCTATGAGTTTTGCTGTATTGGAGTTTGCCTCAGGAGCAATTGATTCAGAGAGGAGGGAACACCCCAATCTATCTGAGACTGTCAAGCAGCCTTCGCAGCAGAGTGATGCTGGATTGCCTCTTCAAGTAGGAGTAGGCTTTTTCCTGGTCCGTAGAGTGTCCTGAGTTTTTGAGCAGCTATGAGAAACTGACAAGACACCTCCAAATAGACCCATTTAAGAAGAGAGTGATTCTGGCCGGGCGCGGTGGCTCAAGCCTGTAATCCCAGCACTTTGGGAGGCCGAGACGGGCGGATCACGAGGTCAGGAGATCGAGACCATCCTGGCTAACACGGTGAAACCCCATCTCTACTAAAAAATACAAAAAAATAGCCGGGCGAGGTGGCGGGCGCCTGTAGTCCCAGCTACTCGGGAGACTGAGGCAGGAGAATGGCGTGAACCCGGGAGGCGGAGCTTGCAGTGAGCTGAGATCCGGCCACTGCACTCCAGCCTGGGCGACAGAGCGAGACTCCGTCTCAAAAAAAAAAAAAAAAAAAAAAAAGAAGAGAGTGATTCTGTAGTTGGAGAGCGTTCATTTAGAATCTGTTTACTATCTTGCATTGTGAGCCACAGTTGGCTTTGGATAGGGAAACACAGTCCTGTGGTTGTCAGCATCATTCCTCATTCTTACTCTTTATTTGCGAATTGCGTAAGAGTGTAAGTAGTTCAGTGTAGAAGTTATCATGCCCACCTGCTTCTTTATTCTTTATTCCTTGTCTCAACAGATTTGTCAGGGCAGAAGCCTAGGGAGAAATTTTGAATCCTCCTTTAATCCCTACATTTCTACATTCTGAGTATCTTTGGAATCTATCTGGTGTTCTACATCTCTGTCACCCTAAGCCTGGTTGCCATTGTTTTCTGCCTGGACGAAGGTATCCTAATCTGTTATATTGTTCTTCTTCTTGCTGTCCTCTAGCCCATTCTTCATGTTGCTTTCCGAGTGATTTTATACAAGTGCAAATCTCATCATATCACTTGCCTTCTTAAAATCTCTCCCTTCCTTTCCTTCCTTTTCTTCTTTCAAGATAGGGTCTCACTATGTTGCCCGGGCTCAAGTGATCCTTCCACCTCAGCCTCCCTTGTAGCGGGGACTACAGGGAACTACACTAAGGCTGACTGTCCTTAAAATCTTCAACCGGGCACGGTGGCTCATTCCTGTAATACCAGCACTTTGGGAGGCCGAGGCTGGTGGATCACCTGCGGTCAGAGTTTTAGACCAGCCTGACCAACATGGAGAAACCCCGTCTCTGCTAAAAATACAGAATTATCCAGGCGTGGTGGCGCATGCCTGTAATCCCAGCTTCTCAGGAGACTGAGGCTAGAGAATTGCTTGAACCTGGAAGGCGGAGGTTGCAATGAACCAAGATCCTCCCCAGAATAACTGGGGGTGAGGTGAAGATTTTCTATTGAGTTGGAGAGTGATTGGTAATTTGGGAAGGTGTTATTTATTTATTTATTTTTGAGATGGAGTCTTGCTCTGTTGCCCGGGCTGGAGTGCAGTGGCTTGGTGTTGGCTCACTGCAATCTCCGCCTCCCAGGTTCAAGCGGTTCTCCTGCCTCAGCCTCCCGAGTAGCTGAGATTATAGGTACACAACCACCACGCCCGGCTAATTTTTGTATTTTTAGTAGAGATGGGGTTTTACCATATTGGCAAGGCTGGTCTTGAACTCCTGACCTCAGGTGATCCACCTGCCTCGGCCTCCCAGAGTGCTGAGATTACAGGCGTGAGCCACCACACCTGGCCGGAAGGTGTCATTTAAGTAGGAAGTTACTGTAATATTTTTAGAGGCTATTCCTCAGGGCCAGTGTCCTAACTGCTTGGGAGGCTCTTTAAGTGTGTTGTCTGTGCAGTTTATCGCTGAGCTATGAAAGCAAAGAAAACAGGTCCCATCTCTTAAGTATTCCAATTAAGTGAGAAGGAAAGTTGGATAAGCAATCAAATATTTATAATGTAGAAAGGTAAGATTATGAAGAGTTATATACAAAATGAAGATGAAAAAGCAATTGTCGCCATCAGGTAGTGTTGAGGACAGCCTCACAGAAGTAACATTTCAGATTTTGCTTCATTTGTCCATCCATTTATCCATCAGACTTTGTGAGTGCCTCTGATATGCCAGATACTGCAGTCACCTTTTTATAAATATATTGAGTCTTTGTGCTTGCTAGTTTTCTATTTTTAAAGAGATTATAATTGGGTTTTAAAATAAAACCCTATGAGTAAGACTATGCTGTTTCTTTAAATATGTAGAGAGAGTTATATATTTGTTTAAATTTCACAGTTTACAGGTAAAGCCTAATCTGCTGAAATATGCCAACTCTTTTTTTTTTTAATTTAAGGTTTTTTTTTTTTTTTTTTTGAGACGGAGTCTCGCTCTGTTGCCCAGGCTGGAGTGCAGTGCCCGGATCTCAGCTCACTGCAAGCTCCGCCTCCCGGGTCCCCGCCATTCTCCTACCTCAGCCTCCCGAGTAGCTGGGACTACAGGCGCCTGCCACCTCGCCCGGCTATTTTTTTGTATTTTTTAGTAGAGACGGGGTTTCACCGTGTTAGCCAGGATGGTCTCCATCTCCTGACCTCGTGATCCGCCTGCCTTGGCCTCCTAAAGTGCTGGGATTACAGGCTTGAGCCACCGCGCCCGGCCAAGTTTGTTTTTTTTTGAGACAGAATCTCGCTCTGTCGCCTGCCCAGGCTGGAGTGCAATGGTGCAATCTTGGCTCACTGCAACCTCCACCTCTTGCTTTCAAGTGATTCTTCTGCCTCAGCCTCCTGAGTAGCTGGGATTACAGGTGTGTGCCACCACGCCCAGCTAATTTTTGAATTTTTAGTAGAGACAGGGTTTCACTATGTTGGACACGCTGGTCTTGAACTCCAGACCTCCTGATCCACCTGCCTCAACCTCCCAAAGTGCTGGGATTACAGGTGTGAGCCATTGCGCCCGGCTAATATGCCAACTCTTATATTCTCTGTAATAACCAGCTGATAGACTACAATTTTTTTTTTAAGATTTTGTTATGGGTGTGAACTAATCATTTAAAGGCTCATTATTTTAGAAAGTATTCATGAAGATTTTGAATATCGTTTGTAATACTTGCTCAACTATTAACCAACTGTAATCTTGGGCAGGTCACTTACTTTTTCTAGACCAGGGTTTCCTTATTGGTAGGCTGAAGATGTTTGGCTCTGTGGTTATTAACTGAGCTGTATTGTTTCCCTAGGGGTGGTTGGAGAGGATTTTTTTGTTTGTTTAAATCACAATGGCATGTTGTAGTGCAAAGCATTACTGGCATTTACTGGTTTGGGGTCAAGGATGCCAACTGGCCTGTATGCCTGTATAGTCCCTTCAGATTTACTCTGTCCCCCAGTGCCCAGTAGGGCCTTGTTAAGAAACAGCTTATCGGCCGGGCGCGGTGGCTCAAGCCTGTAATCCCAGCACTTTGGGAGGCCGAGACGGGCGGATCACGAGGTCAGGAGATCGAGACCATCCTGGCTGACACAGTGAAACCCCGTCTCTACTAAAAAATACAAAAAAACTAGCTGGGCGAGGTGGCGGGCGCCTGTAGTCCCATCTACTCAGGAGGCTGAGGCAGGAGAATGGCGTGAACCCGGGAGGCGGAGCTTGCAGTGAGCCAAGATCACGCCACTGCACTCCAGCCTGGGCGGCAGAGCGAGACTCTGTCTCAAAAAAAAAAAAAAAAAGAAAAAAGAAAAAAAAGAAACAGCTTATCACTAAATGATCTGTCTTCCAGCTCTACAATGGCATGAGTTTGTGACTTACTGTTTATACTATTTACTTTTGCAGTTAGCGTGTAAATACTGGGCTCCCCACATCAAGAAGAAATCACCTTTTGATATAAAGGTAAGTATTTTGGGTTTGCAACATAATTCTTAAGAAGTTACACTCCTTTTAAAGGGTTATTTCAACAAAAGCTTTCCATAATTTTTTAAAAATTAAAAACCTAAGAATCTACAAAAAATGCAATTTTTTGCTTATCAAACTTAGCAATTATTTATGTTAGGAAATTTGGAAGACATAGAAACTACACCATAAGAAAATAATCACTACCCAGAGATAACCTCTCTTACCATTTTGTTGTATTTTCTTTAAACCTTAAAAAAAAAGTGTATGTGTATAATTTACTTAACTGTTTTTCTGTTTATAGATTCTTAGATTGTTTTTAATTTATCATTATTATAAATGATCATGTAATAAATATCTTTGTAAATATACAGAAATTTTGGTACAAGTTTTTTTTTTTTTTTTTTTTTTTTTGAGACGGAGTCTTGCGCTGTGTCACCCAGGCTGGAGTGCAGTGGCGCGATCTCGGCTCACTGCAAGCTCCGCCTCCCAGGTTCACGCCATTCTCCTGCCTCAGCCTCCGAGTAGCTGGGACTACAGGCGCCCGCCACCATGCCCGGCTAGTTTTTTGTATTTTTAGTAGAGATGGGGTTTCACCATGTTAGCCAGGATGGTCTTGATCTCCTGACCTCGTGATCCGCCTGCCTCGGCCTCCCAAAGTGCTGGGATTACAGGCTTGAGCCACCGCGCCCGGCCATGTACAAGTTTTTGATAGTTCATTTAGGATTAAATCTGTTGTGTTATCTTGTTTTTAGAGTGGTGAATGAGGTAAAGGTCTATAATAAAGATGGAAGAAGCAGGAGTTGTATAGTGTAATAACTGAAGTCCAGTAATATTCAATAAGGGAATTGAACTTATTCAATTGAATAAGTCCAACTGAAGCAATTTAGAACAAATAATACGACAAATTCCCAAATATAGGGTTAATTCTCATTCAAATAGGTTCTTAAAGAGAGGTCTAAGACCAGGTGTGGTGGCTTATGCCTGTAATCCTAGTGCTTTGGGAGGCTAACGAAGGAAGATCACCTGAAGCCAGGAGTTTGAGACTAGACTGGACAGTAGTGAGATCTTGCCTCTACAAAAAAATTTAAAAAATTGACTTGGTGAGGTGACTCATACATGTAGTCTCAGTTGCTGGAAGCTGAAGTGGAAGGATGACTCACTGAGCCCAGGAGTTTGAGGCTGAAGTGAACTGTAATCAGGCCACTGCACTCCAGCCTGGAAAACAGAATGAGACCCTGTCTCTTAAAGAGAGTGAGGTCTTTAAATGAAACAGATGTTGACATATTGTATACCATTCAACAAGTAATGAAGACTCTTAAGCTCTGCCATTATAAATTTAATGGTGATGCTTTAGGCACTGTTGGTAAAACTGAAATTTTTACCCAAAATTTCTTTATTTGAACTTAAATTCTTATGAGTATATGTTTTGCTAGTAATCATTTTTTTTTTTTTGAGATGGAGTCTTGCTCTTTTCACCCAGTCTGGAGTGCAGTGGCATGGTCCTAGCTCACTGCAGCCTCTGGCTCTTGGGTTCAAGCGATTCTTCTGCCTCAGCCTTCTGAGTGGCTGGGATTACAGATGCATGCCACCGCGCCCTGCTAATTTTTGTATTTTTAGTAGAGATGGGTTTTCACCATGTTGGCCAGGCTGGTCTCAAACTCCTGACCTCAGGTGATCCGCCCGCCTTGGCTTCCCAAAGTGGTGGGATTACAGGCTTGAGCCACCACACCTGGCCAACCAGTAATCTTTATTTTATTATTTAATTTGAAATTCGATGAAAACAATAACAGAATTTCATCTAGATTAAACAAGACTTGTTTTTCTTCATCACCTCCTTCCCTTTAGCACTTACAAATACTTTTTTTTTTTTTTTTTTTTTTGAGACGGGAGTCTCGCTCTGTCACCCAGGCTGGAGTGCAGTGGCCGGATCTCAGCTCACTGCAAGCTCCACCTCCCGGGTTCACGCCATTCTCCTGCCTCAGCCTCCCGAGCAGGTGGGACTACAGGCGCCCGCCACCGCGCCCGGCTAATTTTTTGTATTTTTAGTAGAGACAGGGTTTCACTATGGTCTCGATCTCCTGACCTCGTGATCCGCCCGCCTCAGCCTCCCAAAGTGGTGGGATTACAGGCGTGAGCCACCGCGCCCGGCCTACAAATACTTATTTCACAAATATACTTGGAGCAGTTAAAAGATGTTATAGTCTAGGCACCATGGCTCATGCCTGTAATCCTAGCGCTTTGGGAGGCTGGGGCGGCAGATCACTTGACCTCAGGAGTTCAAGACCAACCTGGGCAACATGGTGAAACCCTATTTCTACCAAAAATACAAAAAATTAGCTGGTTATGGCGGTGTATGCCTGTGGTCCCACTACTTAGGAGGCTGAGGTGGGAGGATACTTGAGCCTGGAAGGCAGAGGTTGCAATGAGCTGTAATTGCACTGCTACACTCCAACCTGCGTGGCAGAGTGAGACCCCATCTCAGAAAAAAAAAAAAAGACATCATAGTTACCATACAATAATATTATATTATACCATGTTAAAGTACTTCATAATTTTACGGTAGTATTGTTTTTACTGTTATTTATGCTAGCACTGCTACTGCTGCTATTGATAACTGTTACTGAAGGCTCACTGTGTGCCAGTATTTGTACTAATTGTTTATATACCCTGTCTTATTTTATTTGCAATAATGCTGTGTGATAGTTTGTATTAGTAGATCTGTTTTGTGGGTAAGGAAACTGAGCCTTAGAGAGGTCAGACACTTGCCCAAGAGTTCTAGCCATCAGTAGTGAAGGCAGATGCATTGAACCACGCTTCCAATTCCAGAGTCTGAGTTCTTTTTTTTTTTTTTTTTTTGAGATGTGCAATTCCAGAGTCTGAATTCTTTTTTTTTTTATTTTTTATTTTATTTTGAGACGGAGTTTCACCCTGTCGCCAGGCTGGATGGAGAGCATTGGTGCGATCTTGGTTCACTGCAACCTCTGCCTTCTGGGTTCAAGTTGATTCTTCTGCCTCAGCCTCCCAAGTAGTTGTGACTGCAGGCGTGCGCCACCACACCCAGCTAATATTTGCATTTTTAGTAGAGACAGGGTTTCACCATGTTGGCCAGGATGGTCTTGATCTCTTGACCTGATCCTCCCTCTTTGGCCTCCTAAGTGCTGGGATTACAGACGTGAGCCACCGTGCCTGGCCAGAGTCTGAATTCTTAGGTAGTACACCATTCTGCCCACCTTCACTCAAATGAATGGAAATTCTGAACCTTTATCATATTCCTTTGGATAATGAGATGTAACAGTTAGAATTTGTGTCTGTTATGTCTTCACACTTTTAACTAATTTTCTCTGTGGGTTTTGAAGGCACACAGTTATGACTCTTAAATGGAGTTTGATAACATTTATATACTTTAAGTTTAAAAATATCCTGATCTTGTGAATTTTTATTTTCCCTGAAAATGTTTGTAAGCACGTCATTTTAATGAATCTAGGGCTCTGTTTTATTATTTATTTTTTCTACCTTGCTTTCTTTTAATTTCACATCTTGAGAAATATAATGGGATTATTTTTAAAATCTCTTGTTATTTCAATAGCAGTAATATTTGATGGCTTTCCTAAACCAACTTATTTTATATAATCTCACTCATTAAAAACTATCAATTTAGAGTTGAAAAAAGTTGTTGAGATACTACATTTTTATATTTTTGATAACAGGTTATTGAAGATATATATGAAAAAGAGATTGTCAAATCAAGGTAGGAATGAGTTTAAATTTTATACAATGTGATTGGGGTGGACCAAGTTGGATCTTGGCTGAATTTCTATGTGGTCATAACTTGAACCATTTTTTCTGTTTCAAATTGGTCATCAAATTGACTAGAAAAACTTTAGGTGCTGAAGAGTCATAAATTATTTTTTGCCTTCTAACTTTTGGCTCAGATTAGAGGTATCAAATCCCATAGCGTTTATTTGGATTTAGATGGAATTTGAGAAAAAGTAAACATGAAGATTTTATTTCAGTTCAATTAGTATTAATTTTCTTATTTCTGATTCACTTTTTAAAAATATTCTTAAAAAGTTATGAAAGTAAGACAATATTAAATTTATAATAATGTAGCATATATGTAATGTATAAAATGTATAATAATAAACACAAGTGATAAAAATTATTTTTGAGCAATATGCTGTAAGGGGTAAGTTTCAATAAATCATCTTTTCTGCCCCCAATCCCTGGTTCATGTATATGATTCATATACATCTGTTCTATTCCCCACCCCTACATGTTTTTTCAAACACAAAAGGGTTTGTACTCTACATGCCATTTTTTCATTATGCTTCTTTTAAAAAATTTAACAATGTATCTTAGGTATCTTTTTATATATGCACCTGCAGACATGTATGCCCAGTGAGTATTTTAAAAGGATATTTGACTAAATGGGCCAAAGACCATCTTCAGGATTTTGTCCTTTATTTGGAAAACAGTAGGAATTAAGAAGAGTTGTAAGCACAGTGGTATTTGAAAAAGAGATTTTTTTTTTTTTTACTTTTTTTGAGACAGGGTTTCACCATGTTGGCCAGGCTGGTCTCAAACTCCTGGCCCCAAGTGATCCACCCGCCTCAGCCTCCCAAAGTGCTGTGCTGGGATTACAGGCATTAGCCACTGCACCCAGCAAGAATTTGGATTTGGAGGGAGCAAGAGGCAGGGAATTAGTTAGGTGAGCATTGTAGTAGTCAGCTTCAAGATGTCATAGATTTGACTTCCGTGGAAAGTTGGGAGAGGATTTGTCCATTTGAGAAAGATGGAAGTGGAAAGACTTGATGTTTGGATGTGGCAGATGTGGGAAAAGGAGAAATCTAAGAAGATCCTAAAATTTTTTGCTTAAGTTGCTGAGTGATTAGTGATGCTATTACTGACTTTTGCCACGTTGTTGAGGATAGGATTGGGTGTAGATCATTATTTCACTTTTGAATATCTGGAATTCTAGCTACGTAAGAGCCATGAAGATGGAGATATGGAATAAGCAGTTGGGTATCCAGGTGTATAGCTCAAAAGAGATTGGGTTGGCTGGGCATGGTGGCTCATGCGTGTAATCCCAGCACCTTGGGAGGTCGAGGTGGGTGGATTGCTCGAGCCCAGTAAGTAGTTCAGGACCAGTTTGAGCAACATGGCAAAACCCTGTGTCTAGAAAAAATACAAAAAATTAACTGGACATGGTGGCGTATGGCTGTAGCTCAGTTACTCAAGAGGATGAAGTGGGAGGATCACCTGAGCCCAGGAGGTTAAGGGTGCAGTGAGCCACAATCGTACCACTGCACTCCAGCCTGGGTGACAGAGTGAGACCCTGTCTCAAGACAAACAACAAAAAGAGACTGAGTTGAGCCTACTTTGTATTAGCCACCATTTCAATGCTAACAATACAACAGAAAAGAGGGGAGATAGAGTCCCTGCTCTCCTGGAGGTTACATTCTAGTGGGTCACACAGACAGATGTATATATCTATATATCTATAGATAATGTAATGTCAGGAGATAGTAAGTGCTATGAATTAAAGTGTGGTTAGAGGATAATGACAAGGGCTGGTATTTCAGAATAATTAGTCAAATTCTTGCTGAAGGTAGGACATTTGAGCAGATTTGTAACATATGGCCTGTTGGTCTGAAGGTGAGTATGAATGAAATTTCTTGAGAAAACTAAAGACGAGTGGGTGGATTTATTCTAGTATCATTTTTTTCTTCTATATTAAGGTTATATAATTTGAAAATTATTTTGAATCTTCAGAATGGGTTTTCACTCCAGTGGAAAGTGATTGTTTATTTTTTCATTTAAACCCTTGCTATTAATATTTCTTCTTCAGAGGTGATTTTTTATAACAACTAAAAGCTGCTAATGATTTTTAAGCCGTATACATTTGGCTACTTTTTGTGTGTGTATGTGTGACAGGGTTGCTCTCTTTCACCCAGATTTGAGTGCAGTGGTGTGATCTCAGCTCATTGCAACCTCTGCCTCCTGGGCTCAAGCGATCCCCCCAACCTTAGCCTCCCGAGTAGCTGGGACCACAGGTGCAAACCACCATGCCCAGCTAATTCTTTTTGTATTTTTGGTAGAAACAGGGTTTCGCCATGTTGCCCAGGCTGGTCTCACTCCTGAGCTCAAGCATTCTGCCCGCCTTGACCTCCCAAAGTGCTGGGATTATAGGAATTAGCCACCACACCCAGCCCCTATGTTATTCTTAGTTCTGAAAGAAGTTGCTGTCTTTGGCATGGCTAAGATTTATTGTGGCACTTTTAACAGTCATTTTCTTATCTTGTACACGTTTATTATTATTATTTTTTTTTAATGTTTTTTTGAGACGGAGTTTCGATCTTGTTGCCTAGGCTGGTTTGCAATGGCGCAATCTCGGCTCACTGCAACCTCCGCCTCCTAGGTTCAAGTGATTCTCCTGCTTCAGCCTCTCGAGTAGCAGGGATTACAGGCATGCTCCACCACACCCGGCTAATTTTATATTTTTATTAGAGATGGGGTTTCTCCACGTTCGTCAGGTTGGTCTTGAACTCCCGACCTCAGGTGATCCGCCTGCCTCGACCTCCCAAAGTGCTGGGATTACAGGCGTGAGCTACCGTACCCGGCCCACGTTTTTTCTTTTTTTTTTTTGAGACGGAGTCTTGCTCTGTCGCCCAGGCTGGAGTGCAGTGGCCAGATCTCAGCTCACTGCAAGCTCCGCCTCCTGGGTTCACGCCATTCTCCTGCCTCAGGCTCCCCAGTAGCTGGGACTACAGGCATCCACCACCTCACCTGGCTATTTTTTTTTTGTACTTTTTAGTAGAGACAGGGTTTCACCGTGTTCGCCAGGATGGTCTCGATCTCCTGCCCTCGTGATCCGCCCGTCTCGGCCTCCCAAAGTGCTGGGATTACAGGCTTGAGCCACCGCGCCCGGCCCACGTTTTTTATTTCTAAGTGTACTTCTATAATACATAAACTGTAGTATGTATTTAAAAATTTAACATGGTAAAACCCTGTCTCTACTAAAAATATAAAAATCAGCTGGGTGTGGTGGCATGCACCTGTAATCCTAGCTACTCGGGAGGCTGAGGCAGAAGAATTTCTTGAACCCGCGAGGCGGAGGTTGCAGTGAGCGGAAATTGTGCCATTGCACTGCAGCCTGGGTGACAGAGCGAGACTGTCTCAAAAAAGAAAAAAAAAATTTAAGTGACCAATTGTTTAGGCTAGGTCCTGAGGAAATTATTTTGCTGTGCTATGTGCTCATGGCATTTTCAGTATTGGGGGAATGGCTTGATGTAACAGCCATGTTACTGTATGGTACATTACACAATTGATTCATTTTTGCTGTTCTTGCCATTATCAGATTTGGCAGGCTTATCTTAATGAATTCTTAATCCAAGTTTGATTTTTAAAATATTTTAAAAATAATAGTTAAGTGCTTACTATGTGCCAGATTCTACTCTAAGCACCTTGCATTCTGCTATAAGCATCTAGCTCGTTTATTCCCACAACAACCCTATAACAATATTATTATCCTCATTTTATGGATAAGGAAACTGAAGTAGATAGGTTAAATAACTTGCCCAAGATGCTTCCCAGTAGAGGCACACCAGGTATTGAATCCTGGTTCCCTGGTTCTTTTTTTTTTTTTTCTGCTCTGTTCTTTTATTTTATTGAGATGGAGTTTCACCCTTGTTGCCCAGGCTGGAGTACAGTGACGCAATCTCGACTCACTGCAATCTCTGCCTCCTGGGTTCAAGCAATTCTCCTGGTTCAGACTCCTGAGTAGCTGGGATTACAGGCATGTGCCACCGTGCCCTGCTAATTTTTTGTATTTTAGTAGAGACAGGGTTTCACCATGTTGGCCAGGCTAGTCTCGAACTCCTGACCTCAGGTGATCCGCCCACCTCAGCCTCCCAAAGTGCTGAGATTATAGGTGTGAGCCACTGTGCCTGGCCTTGAATACTCTGTTCTTAAATAAGAGTCCTTTGCCTTCTAGAAACCTCTTAACTAGTACACTTTGGTATGATGTGTAATCCTGTTATGAATCAACTAAGTGGTTTTTATGCTTTCAAAAAGGGTGATTTACAGAGTAATCTACTTTTGCCAAAGTGTTTATTTTTATTTGAAATGTGTGGACTCTTTTATTATGAAATGTAACACAGAAAAGAGTGTAAAACAAATGTGTATACTTACGAATTATAGTAATAATTCATAACCACCACCTAGGCTGAAAAACTCCATGAACATTGTCGTGTTGCAGAAGCTCTCTGCTTGTTCCTTTTCTTTATCATAGTATGTAAGTGTGCAAACAAGAACACTATAATTTTGGTTATTTTTCAACTTTAAATAAATAAATAGAATCACACACTATGTATTCTTTTGTGGCTAGCTTCTTTTTTTTTTTGAGATGGAGTTTCGCTCTTGCTGCCCAGGCTGGAGCACAGTGGCGTGATCTTGGCTCACTGCAACCTCCGCCTCCCGGCTTCAAACAATTCTCCTGCCTCAGCCTCCCGAATAGTTGGGATTACAGGTGCCCGCCACCACACCCGGCTCATTTTTTGTATTTTTAGTAGAGATGGGGTTTCGCCGTATTGGTCAGGCTAGTCTCGAACTCCTGACCTCAGGTAATTTGCATGCTCGGCCTCCCAAAGTGCTGGGATTACAGACATGAGCCACTGTGCCTCGTGTGGCTGGCTTCTTTTGTTCACTGTTATTATTTATTGTTTTAATCATCTACTTAATAGATCTAGAAGTAGCTAGCTCAGAAGTTAATAATGTCAAGGCCTTTGTCAGTCTTGTCAAAAGGTTTTATTGATTTTTTCCGTATGATTGTGGTGGGGATGCCACAGCTGCAGACCTCATGTTTCACACAGTCATGTCCCAGAAGAGGAAGTTCTTGGGGTAGGTGGGAATGTAGTAGAAAAGAACTCTTATTTGTGCGGCCCCTTCTCTTTTTTCTTATCATTTTTAATGATACAGTAATAGACCCAGTTTGTCATACATAAATTATTCAGCTTTGGAAGGATTTAATGAAATGCACGTTAAGTCCTTGGCACAGTGTCAGGCATAATGCATGCTCTCAGTAAATACTGGTAACTTAAAAAAAAACCGTCCAAAAATCCTTCAAATTATTTATATTTGTGGTTATTGTTTGTAACTTTTCATACTTATTTTTATTTATTTATTTATGTTTTTGAGATGGAGTCTCACTCTGTCACCCAGGCTGGAGTGCAGTGGCACAATCTCAGCCCACTGCAACCTCCGCCTCCCGGGTTCAAGCAATTCTCCTGCCTCAGCCTCCTATGTAGCTGGAACTATAGGCACATGCTGCCACACCTGGCTAATTTTTTGTATTTTAGTAGAGATGGTGTTCCACCGTGTTGCCCATGCTGGTCTGGAACCCCTGAGCTCAGGTAATCCACCCTCCTTGGCCTCAAAGTGTTAGGATTGCAGGCATTAGCCACCGTGCCCAGCCTTCCATACTTACCTTTAAAATTCTTCTGATGTGGTGTCTAGTTCATGGACCTGTTTTTATATAAGTACGCTTTCAGTTAAGCTGTTCACTTTATCTGTCTCAGAGAGTTCACTGGCAAAAGTATAAAACTCCAAATTTAATGAATACCACTGAGATTGCTAGAAAAGGAATTGAATGTTTTTCAGACTGCTTTTGCTTTATTTTGACACATCAAGACTTATTTTTCAAGGCCAGGCATGGTGGCTTGTACCTGTAATCCCAGCACTTCGGGAGGCCGAGGTGGGAGGATTACTTGAGCTCAGGAGTTTGAAACCAGTCTGGGCAACATAGTGAGACCTCATTTCTACTAAAAATCAAAAAAAATAGCTGGACGTGGTTGCACGTGCCTGTAGTCCCAGCTATTTGAGAGGCTGAGGTGGGAGGATCGCTTGAGCCTGGGAGATTGAGACTACAGTGAGCTGTGTTTGTGCCACTGTACTCTAGCCTAGGCAATAGAGCAAGCTCTGCCTCCAAAAAAAAAAAAAAAGACTTATTTTTCACTTCTGTAGTTATAAAGGAAAGTTGGCTGCTTTACCATTTTTATACATGAAGAAACTGAATTGCAGAATGTTTAAAAGAAGTCAGGTGTGGTAGCTCACGCCTGTAATCCTAGCATTTTTGGAGACTGAGGTGGGTGGATCACCTGAGCTCAGGAGTTCGAGACCAGCCTGGACAACATGGGGAAACCCCTATCTCTACTACAAATACAAAACATTTGCCAGGTGTAGTGGCACGTGACTGTAATCCCAGCTACTCGGGAGTCTGAGGCACAAGAACTGCTTGAGCCTGGGAGGCGGAGGTTGCAGTGTACCGAGATCGCACCACTGCACTCCAGGGTGGGCGATAGAGCAAGACTCTGTCTCGATAAAAAAGAAAAAAATAGAAAAAGAATGTTTAAAAGACATTGTCAAAATAACACTGAGTCATTACTAGAACACTGGTATTCTATCTCATGAGCCAGGATTTTCTCTTTTTTATCATGAGGTCCTGTTTGTGACTGAAGAAATTAAATGTAGAGTTTTGTGTATAGTGGGCAGTGAGTGAATTCTGTTGTCTAACATACAGTTAATTCAAGTGAAATGTCTGCAGTTGGAGATCTAGAGTGTGTCACTCAAGATGGCCTATCCACTTAGCATCTTGGCTGGCTGTAGAAGCCAGTACTTAGGCAGTATTCTGTCTTAGTGCTTTTGCATAGTAAAAACCTTCATTTCATTCTCACTAAAGGTTTGTGACATTGTATGCTCAGTGAAACTATATAAGAGATCAGAAATCAGTGGAATAGGATTTTGACAGGATAATGGTTTCCTGGGGCATTATAAATTCATAATACATAGACACTTAATTTTCAAAGCTGGAAACTATTATCTAGTGACAGTGTTCTGATCTATTTCCAATATTATGAAATGATAAAACTAAATTAGCGGCCGTTTGTATCTGCTTCGGGACAACATAGGTATATTTTGGACAAACATGACTATATCATTGTTTATTCATATAAAACAAAGTAATTCTGTTTAAAAAAGACAGTATATTAAAGACAAATATCTGATATTTTTTCCACAATATTTTAGTTTTTTTTTTTATATATATATTTTTATTATACTTTGAGTTCTAGGGTACATGTGCATAACGTGCAGGTTTGTTACATATGTATACTTATGCCATGTTGGTGTGCTGCAGCCATCAACTCGTCAGCACCCATCAACTCGTCATTTACATCAGGTATAACTCCCAATGCAATCCCTCCCCCCTCCCCCCAATATTTTATTATTTTAAGCTCACTGTCAACACTAAGAAGCAAGTGAAACATCTGATTTTCAGATTTGCAGTAAAGATGTGTGTCCTGTGTGCTTTTAGGAAGGCATGACTCTTTAGCAAATTGTTTCCATTTGAGTATTAAATGAAAACATGTTGGTCAGTGCTTAAGAAGTTGAACTGACGTAGGAAATTGTGATCTGATATGAATTTTGATAGGTGAGTTGATATGAAAACACAACATCCCTAAATGCATTTGGGTTAATAATTCTGAAATGTTTGTATTTTCTATTTTAAACATTTTATTTATTTTTATGTTTTCAGGTTTGCTATTAGAAAGATAATGCTCTTGGAATTTAGGTAAGTCATAAGGCATTCCGTTGATGAAAAAGATAACAATGTGATTTCAGTTTTAGCTAAATTTTCTGTGTAGTTCTGTGAGTGACTAAGAAAATCTAAATCTGTGAAGATATATATTTCTGTGATTGGCTTATTTTGGAATATGTGTGTAATAGCCTTTGTTTTCAAAGATGATGGCCCATTGTCAGAATAACTTGTATTTTGATTTTTTTCTTACTTGTTAAGGTAGCATGTGGTGAATAATTTCTGAACTCAAACTTGGTTTCTCTAGTGATCAGTGGAAATAGAGTGTGTTCTATAGCTGTTTTCCCTGCCAAGCTAAAATGTTATCAAGGTAGCGTTGTTCCAGTCTAGCTTACTGGTAATATAACTATTTCAGACAAAAGATAATGTATGATTTTTAGATTGCAAAAGTAGATTAGATTGTTACAACCAGATCTAGCCAGTATGCTGAAAGTAAAAGCCAGGATTGTTGTTGATGATAGCTACATTTACCATTTCTCAAACAGAACACCTGTTTTGTGCTCACCAGTGTTAAGCATTTTACATACAGAGTACTCACAACAATCCTGTGAAGTAAGTACTATCCTCAGCATTTACTGGAAACAGAAGCTGAGATCAGAGAGGTTAAATACTTTGCTCTAAGTAATTGGCAGAGCTGGGATACCAATGTCTGATGCCAAAGCTCATGGTTTTCCACTTCTCTACACTTCCTTGACATCTGGTTTACATCAGAGGTCAGGACCTCTGTGTTAATAATTGTTACTCCTGCATCCACAGATTTGATCCTCACAAAAAAATGACATGAAGGAGATGGTCTTATCATTTTTATAGAGGGAAACTGAAATTTATTATGAATTAACTAGTAAGTTGAGTGCCACCTGTATCCTAAGGACTGCATTATTATTAAATGATCTTATTTAATCCTCACAACACCACCAGTAAGATCTTCCTTATTTTATAGGGGAGGAAACTGAGGCTAGAAACTGGACCCATCTGGCCCTGAGATAAATATGCTCTTTCCATCATATTGTGCCTCCTTTCAACAAGACAGATTAAAATCAAGAGGCTACCAATATGCAATTAGGATTAACCAGAATTCTAGAGTCCAGAAACCAAGAGAATTGCAGGAATTGAAGGAGAAAGCAACAAAACAGATTGAAAGCATCAATGACAGTGAAACTTTTTTTCTTTTTTTAAGACAGAGTCTTGCTCTGTCGCCAGGCTGGAGTGCAGTGGTGCGATCTCAGCTCGCTGCAACCTTCACTTCCCGGGTAGAAGCGATTCTCCTGCCTCAGCCTCCCGAGTAGCTGGGATTACAGGTGTGCACCACCACACCTGGCTAATTTTTGTATTTTTAGTAGAGACGGGGTTTCACCATGTTGGCCAGGATGATCTCGATTTCTTGACCTCGTGATCGCCTGCTTCGGCTTTCCAAAGTGCTGGGATTATAGGCGTGAGCCACCGTGCCTGGCGTGCTGCTTCTTTTAGGGAAAAACAGTAAGATAGGGAAAGCTAAGTTACCCTTTTTTCTCCATGGCCATCAGAGTCCTTTGGCTTAGTTTCTTTTGCTAACGAGGCTCTGATTTCTCCCCTGTAGCAGCAGCATCAAAACTGACAGTGAAAAATTTTTAATAGCTGAAAAAGTCGGTTGTTACCTTTCAGGAACTTTTATTTAATTTTATGTGACAATATCATTTTCCCTGGGCCAACTTTCAAACATAACCAGTCTAAGGTTGTTGTGGGGAGTAATTGATGGTTTCTTGCTAAAGTGGAAAGTAAGATGGCATGGAGAAGGTAGCTGGATATAGGAAAGCGAACTGAGAAAAGGGTTTTTGTGGATGAAAGTTATTAGAGGAAGGCATCAATTAGCAAAGTAAATAACATGTTAGTGCAGCTAAAGAAGGAATTAGTGAACTAGAAAATAGATCTGAGGGAATTAACTAGAAAATAGCAAAGAGAAGTAAAAATGAAAAATAGGAAAGAAAATAAGATACATGGAGGCTAGAATGAGAAGGCTTAGTAAGAGTTTCAGAAGTTTGTTTTTTTTTTTTTTTTTTTTTAGTTTTAGAGATGGGGACTCACTCTGTTGCCCAGGTTGGAGTACAGTGGCACAATCATGGCTCACTGCAACCTCAACCCCCTAAGCTCAAGCAATCCTCCTACGTCAGCCTCCTGAGTAGTTGGGACCACAGGTGTACACCGTCACACCTGGCTAGTGGTTTTTTTTTTTCTTTCTTTTTTTTTGTAGAAACAAGGTCTCACTATGTTGCCCAGGCTGGTCTCAAACTCCTGGGCTCCAGCAATCCGCCCACTTTGGCCTCCCAAAGTGCTGGGATTACAGGTGTCAGCCACCACGCCTGGCCTCATTTTGTTTTAGAACTGATATTTATCAGGTATTTTTGGGTTTTCCTTTTTTTTATTTTTTGAGACGGAGTCTCGCTCTGTTGCCAGGCTGTAGTGCAGTGACGTGATCTTAGCTTACTGCAGTCTCTGCCTCCTGGGTTCAAGTGATTCTCCTGCCTCAGCCTCCCGAGTAGCTGGGACTACAGGCACACGCCACCATGCCCAGCTAATTTTTGTATTTTTAGTAGAGATGGGGGTTCACCATGTTGGCCAGGATGGTCTGGATCTCTTGACCTCATGATCTGCCCGCCTCAGCCTCCCAAAGTGCTTGGATTGTAGGCGTGAGCCACTGTGCTCGGCCAACTTTTACTTTAAGAAGAGCCTTAAAGGCCAAGTGCAGTGGCTCATGCCTGTAATTCCAGCACTTTGGGAGACTGAGGCGGGTGGGTCACCTGAGGTCGAGAGAGAGTTCAAGACCAGCCTGACCAACATGGAGAATCCCTGTCTCTACTAAAAATACAAAAAATTAGCCAGGCATGGTGGCACATGCCTGTAATCCCAGCTACTCAGGAGGCAGAACCAGGAGAATCACTTGAACCCGGGAGGTGGAGGTTGCAGTGAGCCTAGATCATGCCATTGTACTCCAGTCTGGGCATCAAGAGCAAAACTCCATCTCAAAAAAAAAAAAAAAGCGCCTTAAGTAAGGGAATATCCAGTGGTTTGGTGGTGATAATTATGTATGTTGGCAACGTTTGATACCTTTGTATTTGAATGTGTAAGACTGTCATTCTCCAAAGCTGTGTTTTCTATACATAAATTTGTAGCTGGTAGCAGTGACCTAGACAACAGGTAAATTTGTGAAGGGTTCCAAGTTTTTTTTTTTTTTTTTTTTTTTTTTTTTTTTTTTTTGAGACGGAGTCTCGCTCTGTCACCCAGGCTAGAGTGCAGTGGCGCGATCTCGGCTCACTGCAAGCTCCGCCTCCTGGGTTCACGCCATTCTCCTGCCTCAGCCTCCCGAGTAGCTGGGACTACAGGCGCCCGCCATCTCGCCCAGCTAGTTTTTTTGTATTTTTTAGTAGAGATGGGGTTTCACCGTGTTAGCCAGGATGGTCTCGATCTCCTGACCTCGTGATCCGCCTGTCTCGGCCTCCCAAAGTGCTGGGATTACAGGCTTGAGCCACCACGCCCGGCCTTTTTTTTGTTTGTTTTTGAAGACGGGGTCTAGTTCTGTTGGCCAGGCTGGAGTGTAGTGGTGCAATCTCAGCTCACTGCATCCTCTTCTTCCTGGGTTCAAGTGATTCTCCTGCCTCAGCCCCCTGAGTAGCTGGGATTACAGGCGTGTGCCACCACACCCAGCTAATTTTTGTATTTTTAATAGAGATGGGGTTTCACCATATCACAATTCCTGACCTCAAGTGATCCATCCACCTTGGCCTCCCAAAGATTACAGGCATGAGCTATGACACCCAGCCAAGGATTCCAAGTTATGAATAGAGATTTCCAAAATATTTTCAGAAAGTTGTAAATAATTATGCTTTTCTGGGTGAGTTATACATTACAGTGAGTGGTGGTAACTAATGAAATATTCTGTGCTTTTTACTCTTTATAGCCAGTATCTTGAAAATTATCTCTGGATGAATTATTCTCCTGAGGTATCCAGCAAGGCCTATTTAATGTCAATTTGCTGTATGGTGAATGAGAAGTTCAGAGAAAACGTGCCTGCATGGGAGGTAACTGATTTAAATTACTTCATAGCTTTCATACTGACCCACTTAAGCCATTACAAAGTGGCAGAACTTTTACTGATAGTGGTGCTTTTAGAGCAGAATTTTACCTAGCATTAAAGCAAATACTGAGCAAAAGAATGAGTATGTGAAAGATACATTTTCTTTTGGTTTCAACACTTCCCTCAAACGATTTAATAATTTACTATGAATTGAAAATTTATGAATGTGAGTTATTTTTCTGCTTTGTGTTTGAAACAAAGAATGGTATATGTTATAACAACTTACATCAGAAGCTGGCAAAATGGAAATTATATTAATAAATACAAATAGGCTGAGTGCTGTCACTCATGCCTGTAATCCTGTACTTTGGAAGGCTGAGGTGGGAGGATTGCTTGAGGCCGGGAGTTCAAGACCAGCCTGGGCAACAAAGCAAAAACCTGTCTCTTTAAAAAAAAAAATTAGCCAGGCATGGTGGCGTGAGTCTGTAGTCCCAGCTACTTGGGAGATTGAGGCAAGAGGACCGCTTCAGCCTAGGAGTTCGAGGCTGCAATCAACTATGATTGCACCACAGCACTCCAGCTGGATAATAGAGCGAGACCCTATCTCTAAGAAGAGAAAAAGTGCAAGTATATAATGTTCAAATGAGATAACTCTCAGTGTCTTTTTTCACAAGAGAAAGTGTATATTTGTAGTTTTACATGAATAAAAAAAAGTTACCAAAGTCAAGACAGATGCTTATGTTATAATTTCAACGTTCTTTTTTTTTTTTGAAACTGAATTTCGCTCTTGTCATCCAGGCTGGAGTGCAAATGGTGTGATCTCAGCTCACTGCAACCTCTGCCTCCCAGGTTCCAGCAATTCTCCTGCCTCAGCCTCCCGAGAAGCTGGGATTACAGGTGCCCGCCACCATGCCCAGCTAATTTTTGTGTTTTTAGTTGAGACGGGGTTTCACCATGTTGGCCAGGCTGGTGTCAAACTCCTGACCTCAGGTGATCCACCCGCCTTGTGCAGGGATTACAGCCATGAGTAACCGTGCCCTGCCTGTTCTTTTTGTCCTTGATTTGGGATCTATTTTTCCTTTTAGAAATTTCTAATGCACTGATGTTTCCTTTTTGTGCTGGTGCAACAGAAGCTTGATAAGTAGAGATCCAAAACCTTTGTTTTCTTTGCCCAGCATATAATGGTCACTTCATCAAGAGTTTCTTCTCTTCCAGTCAGACTTTTTTAAATGAAAAAAAAAAGGAATGGATGCCTGTCATCTGTTTTGAGTAAATGGTCTCCGAAGTGAGAAGGTGATAGAGTCTTTAAGATAAAGGCATGGATACTTCTCTCAAATATTCATTAAATGACTACCATCTCAGGGCACATTAGAGCTCAAAATAAACTATGGGTTTTATGTCGATATCAAGAGAGCCTCAGGATTTCTTGAAGTTGCTTCAAGCTATTATAGAAAGGAAGAAGGAAAATTTTTTGAGCCAGGGAATAACCTGGTCAATTTGCCTGTTATAAAGATCACTTTGGTGATTAAGCCTTGAAATAGAGAAATAATAATACAGATTTAGAGAATAGAGATTTAGAAGGTAGAATTGATTGAATTTGATAATCAGTTGAAGTAGCATTAGGAAAGGGTGTTATTTTCAATAACCTTCCAGGCTTGGGCAAATGAATATAATAGATGATGGTACCATTTACCAAGATAGGTAATAGAGACTGAGGAATAATTTGGAGGATACAAAACTCTTGAATTGAATTTGGACATATTCAGTTTAAATTGCCTTTGGAATATCTAGATTTAAGTCATCTAGTAGACAGAGGACTCTAAGGTTTGAGAGCTCAGAAGGGAAATCTAGACTGCAGATGTATATTTGGAATCATTGGTATTTAGTGGTTGAAGTAATAGGGGGAGAAGAATGAGGCTAGAACCCTAGGAATATTGCTGTTTAGATAACAGACGAAAGAAAAAGAGCCTTCAATATGCTGAAAAGGAGTTGAGGCTTCATAACGGTCCATATGACTTGACAGCCATACAGCTTCAGGAGAGCTTGTCTTAGAGAAGTGAATGAAAACAACTAGTGTAGACCACACGCTTGGAGTGCTTGTCTGCGGCAGTAACTAGAAACAGAGGTAGGTCAAAGAGGCTTGAATATATTTACATTATATATAACTTAAGAGTAAAGAGCTAATATAAAGCAGGAGGGGCTGTCCTTGAGATTAATTACAGTGTGAAAACTACAATTTTTGCTAAAGATGTAGTTTCTTTTGTTTAAATCAGAGAAATTAAAACACTTCAGATCCATAATAAGAAAACAAAGCCTAAGCCAAATACAGGCATAATCCACAGAGGAAAAACTAAAGAAATTAAAGCCATTATTTTATTAGCTAAAAGTTTCTGCAACTCTCTCATAGTCCTGTCAGAAACCTGTATTTGACTTGCCATTAATTATAAGTAAGCACGTGATGCTTATTTTATAGATACGCAAATAACTCTTTTGTAATTATTTGGTTTTTTTAATAGACTGCTAAAAAGCCTACTAGGGCTTCTTTAAAGCTTAAGTGAGCAAACCAATTCAAAATGAATTTTTATTCTTTTTCTTTTCAGATTTTTAAGAAGAAGCCAGACCACTTCCCATTCTTTTTTAAACACATCTTGAAGGCGGCCTTAGCTGAAACTGATGGTGAATTTTCACTTCATGAACAGACAGTCTTACTACTTTTTCTTGATCATTGCTTCAATAGTTTGGTACTTTTACTTTATATTTTGGGGTAATTTTCGAGTTTTCTTGTTCTTTTAGGTTGAGTTTAGATGAAATTACCTCTGTAGCCAACTCTTCATCCATAATAGTGGCGAATAAGGATAATGCTTAGCTTGATTTCAGCCACTTATCAGTAAAACCATTTTGTAAGATATGTTCACTTTTTAATAGATTTGAACTTGATACTTAATTTTTTCTATCTGGACTCTTAAGAAAAATGATTATAAGAACTGAAACTCCAAAGAGAGAGCACAAAAAGGAGAAGCAGCAAGGAGACTGGTTAATATGGAATTGTAGTAATGAGATCTGTGCCACAAACTGCATATACATACAGGGATGTAGTTTCATTACTCTTCATCATGCCTTATGCACAGGCTGGTTGGTCAGTAGGAGAGTTGTATTTTGAGTTAACTGATAAAGGCCATTTGTAGATGATCTTTGAAAATGTCTTGTGTGTGATACATTTTCATCCCTCATAAGATTATCTTCTAAAAAATTAAATTTTTTCAGTAATTAATGTTTTATTTGAGTTTTCCTACTGTGGTTATCTGGTAAATATACATATTTATTTAGTGCCTCTGAATTAATAATTCACTTACACCCATGCAGGAGAATGCATGGAGTTCTTTCTTATCCTGGAGACTGAGTGTTAATAGATGGATAGTTATTAGCTGTTTCCATGTACTATCTCACATGGATCTTTTAAAGGCATAAAAAAAGATTTATGATGCCTGCACTGGATACCACTGTTATCTCTTTAACATTTATTAAACTAAACAGAACAAATAGAAATATAAATAGATGTGATTTCTTATCAGAAACTAAGCAGAAATAAGGTTTTATTAGTATTAGTAATTTGGTGATAGTTTTAACCAACTTATCAAACTAGTTTATTATTGAAATGCTTTAGCTTTTAAAATATGCAGTCAATTCTTATTTGAGGTAGTTACGTTCTTTTTTTTTTTTTTTTTTTTTTTTTTTTTTTTTTGAGACGGAGTCTCACTCTGTAGCCCAGGCTGGAGTGCAGTGGCCAGATCTCAGCTCACTGCAAGCTCCGCCTCCCAGGTTCACGCCATTCTCCAGCCTCAGCCTCCCAAGTAGCTGGGACTACAGGCGCCCGCCACCTCGCCCGGCTAGTTTTTTTTTTGTATTTCTTAGTAGAGACGGGGTTTCACCGTATTAGCCAGGATGGTCTCGATCTCCTGACCTCGTGATCCACCCGTCTCGGCCTCCCAAAGTGCTGGGATTACAGGCTTGTGCCACCGCGCCCGGCCGCGTTCATTTTATAAAGTAGCTATGAACAGTGAATGGGCTAATGCTGAACCATTACTCCTTGAGGAAGTACAGGGTTAGGTTCCTGCAAGCGTTGGTCATGACATTATACAAACTATCAATACATAGCCTTATTTTATGTGTGTTTCTATTTAAAGACAGCTTATTTATTGTATATTGTTGATTCATTAACCATGAACTCACTGCCAACAGCACTATAATTATGCCTGAACGAAGCTTGTCTAACATACGTATTTTCTCTGTAAGACATACCACAGCCTTCTTGCACCCATGAACATCAGACAGCACTTCAGCCTTGGGCTTGGTGCCATTTTAAACAGTGAAATCATCAAAAAGTACAAACATGCCAAAAAAAAAAAGTATTCAATGAGAATGAAGCAGAGCATCAGTTCAGTCTCACCTGAGAATGTGCACGTCAGGCAACTCAGATTTTTGTCTGGATGACTGTGAAAGCACATGGAGTATTGATTTTGGAGTTACAAATACATTTTTGTTAGTGTATGAATTTGCAAATACAAAATCTGTAAATAATAAGGATGGAATCTTTTTTAAAACATTGAACTTTTTAATATCAAAATATTAATTGGAAAATATTGGTGGCGTGTTTTCCATCCAGGACTTAAAAAGGCAGTCATACTTCTTAATGTAAAGACTTAGGTAGAAATGCTGGTATGTTTATGAACTTGTTTCCTTCATGCCCTAAACAGGAGGTAGACTTGATACGGAGTCAAGTACAGCAGCTTATCTCCCTCCCAATGTGGATGGGCTTACAGCTGGTAAGTCTCTAATTTCAGAATCTTAGGAATGTATTTGTTATAAGTAGAGCATGTGGTTTTAGAGTCTATAGCCTTAATCTTGGATATACAAGTGGTAGGTAAATACCCCTTTTCTTAGAAAAACCACTTTGCATTAACTTACAAATAAAGTTTTTATGTGCATTTGATGTTTAACTTAAGTTTAGTAATATAAAATGAAGAAGGTAGTATCTATTGAACTTGTAGAGAAAGGGGGGTTAATTTAGCAAAGTATAGATGAGACTAAATGTGGACTTGAATTTTTTTTTCCTTGATTAGAGTATATATGTAGCTGTAGGAGAAGATCTGGATCATACCTAATATTAATGACTTCCATTTTTTCATAAAGTCTTCATTGGGTAATATGTGCAAGCACCAAAGCCAAATTAATACATCTTAGGTAAAGTTAAAACTATCAGATTTCAGTGTAATGCTTTATTCAGAGTTTCATTTCCTGCATGTAGGTGTTTCTGCTTATACTCAGATATGCAGACTCATTCATAAGTACCAGTTGATGGGCATGAAAACATAAGGCACATATAAATAGTTAATACTAAGTTAAAAAGTGACAATATGCTAATGTGGACATTTCCTTATTTACTTGTGATAGCTGTTTTTTGTGCATTTTTTCAGACTCATATTTTTCAAACCTCAGTGATTATGCTAAGTGTTGATGCATATATTTTTCAGACTTAGCTCTTTAAGTTTTGAAATAAAAAAATAATTATTGAGCTTACAATCTTGATTGCTCTCTTTTGTACTCATATATTAGAAAACTAGCAAATAGTTGATCTAATCCTTATCCTTGTAAACTTTGAGGTTACTGGTAATTTAATAACACATCTCTTCTTCAGGCACGATTGGAATTAGAATTAAAAAAGACACCTAAGCTAAGAAAATTCTGGAACTTGATTAAAAAGAATGATGAAAAGATGGATCCAGAAGCAAGAGAACAGTATGTTGGCAGAGCTTCATTTCATGTTGGCTTATTATGCTGGATTGTGGACTTTAGATGATGTTGACTGGTTTGTTGTTTCCCTTTATATAGTGCTGAGCCCAAATAAGTTATTATAATAAGCACTTTTACCTAGACTGTCATAAGAATATTTTTCACAAAGATCTAAAGCAGAAGCCAGAACATCATGCTTTTCTTCTTTTCCTTCTTTCTGTGCTACTAAGTATATATAGTTGACCCACTGTTTTTCTCCCTGCCTATTGTCCGTGTGCCTCATGGATGATTCTCAATTTGCTCCACTATCTTTAGGCTATTAATATAACTTTTTGTTTCTTTTCTTACTCCTTCACTTTTTTTTGGAGACCAAGTTTCACTCTTGTTGCCCGGGCTGGAGTGCAATAGTGCGACTGTGGCTCACTGCAACCTCTGCCTCCCAGGTTCAAGCGACTCTCCTGCCCCAGCCTCCAAGTAGCTGGGGGATTCTAGGCATGCGCCACCACGCCCAGCTAATTTTTTATTTATAGTAGAGATGGGGTTTCTCCATGTTGGTCAGGCTGGTCTCGAACTCCGGACCTCAGGTAATTCGCCTGCCTTGGCCTCCCAAAGTGCTGGGATTACAGGCATAAGCCGCTGCGCCCAGCCTAACTCTAAACTTCTTACAAGGCTTTCAGAAGCTTCCAGCTGTTTCTTGTGACTCTTGTAAATCACTGGAATACTCTAGTCATTGTTTCTTAAGCATTTCTTTCCTAAATCCCTTTCCTCTTCACTCCACTTAATTCAATATTAACCATATAAACACTCTTCCAGACCAACTACTTTAGATCATAGTGCTTTCATCTGAACTCCTAGAACACATGCTCTGATTTTTTTTGAAACACCAGCTGTTTATGTAATGATTGGGATGTTCTACAATCAGACTTAGCTAGATTCCACACTCAATTGTTGTATGACTTTGGGCAAGTTACTTCACCTCTAAGCCTCATTGTGAAATCTGGACAATATTTCCCATTTCCAAGGACTGTTATCAGTATTAAATATGATGTGAAGGCCGGGTGCAGTGGCTCACACCTGTAATCCCAGCACCTTGGGAGGCCGAGGCAGGCGGATCACAAGGTCAGGAGATGAGACCATCCTGGCTAACGTGGTGAAACCCTGTCTCTACTTAAAAAAATGCAAAAAATTAGCCGGGCATGGTGGCGGGCGCCTGTAGTCCCAGCTACTTGGGAGGCTGAGGCAGGAGAATGGTGTGAACCTGGGAGGCGGAGCTTGCACTGAGCCGAGATCATGCCACTGCACTCCATCCTGGGCGACAGCGAGACTCCGTCTCAAAAAAAAAAAAAAAAAAAGAAAAAGATGTGAAGTGTTTAGCATAGTTTAGATCCTGGCACCATGCGTGCTTAATTAGTGTCAGGCAGTTTTATTAATTGCATACTGGCATGTATTACTAATTGTGTTTATAATATATGACTTGTTATTACAAGTAGATTTTAGCCATTCCCCTTCTTTGTATTTCCAGCAGGACTGTTACAAGCATTTACTGCTATACGATACTTGATACATGTCTGTTCATTAGTGAATGTATCTTAAAGTAGTAATGAATAGAAAATTGTTTTTTAAGCATTTGATCTTTAGCTGTTGTAATACTCTCTTATACTTAATACTTAAATGTTAAAATATAATATTTTTCATCGCATTTTAACTACATTAAATGTGAGATTTTTAATGGTAAGGGCAGACTATAAATGGAATTTTGTAACTTCTTTCTCGGTCTGACTTGTAAATCACATGAAAATGTTTGGCTGGGCGCTGTGGCTCAGGCTGGGTGTCATGGCTCACGCCTGTAATCCCAACACTTTGGGAGGCCAAGGCAGGTGGATCACAAGGTCAGGAGTTCAAGACCAGCCTGGCCAAGATGGTGGAGCCCCATCTCTACTGAAAATACAAAAATTAGCTGGGCATGGTAGCAGGCACCTGTAGTCCCAGCTACTCCAGAGGCTGAGGCAAGAGAATTGCTTGAACCCTGGAGGTGGAGGTTGCAGTGAGATGAAATTGTGCCACTGCACTTCAGCCTGGGCAGCAGAGCGAGATTCCAACTCAAAAAAGAAAAAAAGAAAACGTTCACGGTGCAGGAAGGAGGTGCTTGCTTAGGTGGCTTATTAGATCAGTAATGTGACTCTCCTTTTCTTCATATAGCACTGCATTTACATAGAAAGAAGAAGCTGTATATTCAAGTTATAGTCCCAGCTTCACAGAGAAATGAACAGTTGAACAGTATAGGAAAGCCGTTATCAACATTTAGAATTTACTTTTGAAATGACTATTTTTCGAAAATAATTGGTCAATGTTCTTTCTGATTTTAGGGCATATCAAGAGAGGAGATTTCTTTCACAACTCATCCAGAAGTTTATCTCTGTACTGAAGTCAGTCCCACTTTCCGGTAACTATCTTTTTTACTCAATGCATTTGGGAAATTCTCATGTAACTGCCCCTGTGGTATTTACTCATCTCTAATATAAAAACTGTTCTTGGAATGATTTTAAATTGTATTGGCAAAGTGTATGTCCTCTCCTTTTTAAATATATTACCAGTGTGAGTATTGGGACTGCCTTTAAGGTTATTTTATTTTATTTATTTTTTGAGACAGAGTCTTGCTCTGTCACCCAGGCTGGAGTGCAGTGGCATGATTTTGGCTCACTGCAACCTCCCCGTCCAGGGTTCCAGCGATTCTCCTGCCTCAGCCTCCCGAGTAGCTGTGATTACAGTCTTGCGCCACCATGCCTGGCTAGTTTTTTATTTTTGGTAGAGATGAGGTTTATCCATGTTGGCCAGGCTGGTCTCGAACTCCTGACCTCAAGTGATCCATTCACCTCAGCCTCCCAAGGTGCTGGGATTACAGGCGTAAGCCACCACGTCTGGCCTAAGGGTTATTTTAAAGGCACCAGTGTGGTTATTGAAATATTCCTTTAAGTAGCAAATATTTTTATCACCTAATTACTAGATCTAGGTCCTGTCTAAGGTGCTGGGATACAGTTGTGAACAGGAAAATTACAGACCATATTTGCATGTTATTTATAATATGGTGCTGAATAGTGTTTTTAGTACTATTGATACTGTTTGGAGGAAAAAAGGAGAAATATTACTGATATTTGAGCTAAAAGACTAAATAGAAGGATTTTCCTCCATCATAGCTCCATTTATTGATTTAAAAAGTAAGTATATATTATATAGAGTATATACTATATAAAAGTGTATATATATTTTTATTATATATAAATATATATAAAATAAAATATAATTATATATATTTATATACATAATCTATATAAAATATAATTTATTATATTATTATATATATTATTATATATTATATATATTATGTTTATTATATTATATAATTGTATATAATTATAATTGTTTATTATTATTATTTTTTGAGACAGTCTCACTCTGTCAGCCAGGCTGGAGTGCAGTGGCACAATCTTGGCTCACTGCAACCTTCGTCTCCCGGACTCAAGCAGTTCTCCTACTTCAGCCTCCTGAGTAGCTGGAGTTACAAGCGTGTGCCACCACGCCCGGCTAATTTTTGTATTTTTAGTAGAGACGGGGATTTACCATGTTGGCCAGGCTGGTCTTGAACTCCTGACCTCAGGTAATCCACCCGTCTCAGCCTCCCAAAGTGCTGGGATTACAGGCATGAGCCACTATGCCCAGCCAGTTGTTTAATATTTTTAAGTGGAATATAATCTAAGAACAGCTCTATAGGTGTACCATATTTATATTTTTGCATCAGAAAGTACAGCTTTAAAAAAAATACAATGGAATGAGTTATAAATGCCGACCCTTCAAGTAATATTTTACAGCTGAAAATCATAGCTACAATTCAGTGAGGAGTTGATACCAATGCAGTAAATCATTTGTATCTGATTTGGGGCACAGTACTGCTGCTAGCATTAGTATAAAGAAAACGTTTTATGCTTATAATCTTAAGTCACTTAATGTTAGTGTATCTGTATCTTAACACTAAGTGCCTTCAACCTGGAAAGAGGACTAAGATTGGGTTTTCTTCTTTCTTTTTTTTTTGAGACAGAGTCTTGCTCTGTTGCCCAGGCTGAAGTGCAGTGGCGTGATCTCGGCTTACTGCAACTTCAGCCTCCCAGGTTCATGCCATTCTCCTGTCTCAGCCTCCCGAGTAGCTGGGACTACAGGTGCCCACCACCACGCCCGGCTAATTTTTTGTATTTTTAGTAGAGATGAGGTTTCACTGTGTTAGCCAGGATGGTCTCCATCTCCTGACCTCGTGATCTGCCCGCCTCGGCCTCCCAAAGTGCTGGGATTACAGGCGTGAGCCACCGCGCCCGGCCTAAGATTGGGTTTTCTTGGCACAAAGAGTAACATTGAGTGCTTTGAGGTACTAATGTCTGTAGAACTAATGTCTGTAATAAAAATTGATATCTCTAACTGTGGAATGTTTATCTAGGGTCATCTAGGTTTCAAAAACAAGAACATAGGGCATGCAGTAATTTAACAGCCTATAAACCACTTGCTGTTGCCACTATTGTTTATATACTGTCCGAAAACAACTTTTTTTTTTTTTTTTTTTTGAGATGGAGTTTCATTCTGTCTCCCAGGCTGGAGTGCAGTGGTGCAAACTCAGCTCACTGCAACATCTGCCTCCTGGGTCCAAGTGATTCTCCTGCCTCAGCCTCCCGAGTAGCTGGTACTACAGGTGCATACCACCATGTCCGGCTAATTTTTGTATTCTTAGTAGATATGGAGTTTCACTATGTTGGCCAGGCTGGTCTTGGACTCCTGACCTCAAGTGATCCCTCCTCAGCCTCCCAAAGTGCTGAGGTTACAGGTGTAAGCCACTGCGCCTGGCTAGAAAACATCATTTCTTAGTCTTGAGTTTTTATCAAAACTTGTCAGCTTGCTGGCAAAGGAACTAACAGGATGGTGACAATAATTTGCCAGTTCAGAATGGGTATGAAGATAGATGGATTATATACTTAGGAAACAGAAGGCTAATTTTTCAAAGATTTTAAGAAGGATTGTAGTTTCCTTTTAAAATAGGGTCATTAAAAACGGAATGCCCAGATGAGTTGTTGAAAATCTGTGTAGGATAGTCTGAGATGTTAAGATTGCTGTTAGAAGGGTAAAAAAGTTACAGTGTAGCAGAGACAAATGATAAGGATATATTTGTGCCTGAAATTGGGATACCAAGGTTTCTACCTTAGGCAACATGCCCACTAGACCAGCTATGGTAAAAACATGCAACTTTATTCACCAGGGCACAGAACTTGAGCACCATGCATTGTTTTCTAATTTTAAATAGGCCATTGCCAGTAATTTCTCGAGACATAAATAAAGATACAGAATTCAGAATTTGCTCACTCTTTTAGTTTGGGAAAAAATGTTTTCCTTTGACGGTTACGAGAACAAAAGGTAGCAACAAAAGATTGGTTTGAATGGATTTAATTTAAAAATTGCTCCTTTAAATTTTTATTTTAAACAACTGTATGTGTATGTCTCAGAAAACCTGAGTTCCAGTTCTAACCAACCATTCTAGCTTTACACCTTTATCAGGTCATTTTCTCTGATCATGTTTTTCTACCTGGAAAATGAAGATCTAGAATAGATGCTCTCAAAGGTCTTTTCCAGCTAATAATTTCTATACTTCTGTTATTTCAGGGTTTGGATTATGGGCATATGCTAGCTGAAAAAGTTCCAGTTAACATTTCTGTATATGTTAAACACAAAAGTATTCGCATTTCTTGCTTTACATTAAGCTTTCCATTTTCCGGTACACTACAGATAAATAAATGGATTTTTATGTAAGCATTTGTAGGATGCCTTCTGTAGGTCTGGCACTGGGTGTTAGTCACTGCTGCAAGTCTTTAAACTAAGTAGCAACAGGAAACCTAAAATTATCTTTGTTTTAATTGAAACCAACTTGACAGGATGGTTTTAGTTGGTAAAATGGTAGACCATTTCCTGGCATTGGAAAAAAGCTTGTACTCTGAAAGAATTTCATGCCCTAAGGTTGTAATTATTTAAAAACAAAAATAAATGTTTGTAAAAATAGTATATTATGCTCATAAATAGTAATATAATAAGCTAGTGATTTAGAAGGTATTTTTATTGTTCGTTGTGTCATTGGCATTCTAATGTTAAAGTAATATATGTACAGTGGAAAAAATCATAAAAATTATCTCTAGTTTTCAGTGCAGTTTAAAGGTGTGTGTGTGTAGATACACGTTTGTGTGTTTGTACATATGAGAAAACTCTCAGAAGTTTAGAATGTAAAGACAATGAGGAAAGTGGAGCAAAAACTGATATAAAACTGCCTTCTAGTTTTTATATCTCTAAGTTTTTCCAAGATCTAATTAAATACGGATTTTTAAAGATTAATACTTTTAAAATGTCTTTGCAAACCTGATTTTTAAAATGTGCTTCTGACCCAAGCTAGATTTTTTATTTTCTCATATTTGTAGAGCCAAGTATCAGGGTAAGACCTGCCTTAAAAAAATACATATATGTGAGATCCTCATTCTAGATCATAGTCCAATTCTGGTGAATAAAAGACAAATGACTTTAAGTTATTAAATAACTGCCAGTTTTCAGAAACAGCGTGCAAAATGGCCTAGTAAGAAAATTCTATCATGCTTTCTCTCTTATGTCTAGAACCTGTCACTATGGACAAAGTTCATTACTGTGAAAGATTCATTGAACTTATGATTGATCTAGAGGTAAGAAATCTACAGTGACCTTTTGTTATATAATCATTAGGGGGTCCAAGATTGAGCATATGACTATATATGAAGTATTTTTTTCTTTCCTTTTCTTTCAGTACATATGTAGTATATATTTATTATACATATGTATTGTATTATTTATTGTATACATATATATTATACATATGTATAATAATACAATACATATTGGGCGCCCATGTATTGTATAATGATATAGTATACATTATTTATTGATATACATTAATATACATTATACATTAATAAAAAGTTAATACAATACAATAAAATACAGTAAAAATACACTAATAAAATAAAAAAAATTATTTTCTCTTCTCTTCTTTTCTCTTCTCTTTTCTTCTTTTCTTTCCTTTGAGACAGGGTCTTGCTCTGTCACCAAGGCTAGAACGCAGTGGCGCCGTCTCGGCTCACTGCAAGCTCCGCCTCCCAGGCCTCAAGTGATCCTCCGGATCCACCTCATACTCCTGAGCAGCTTAGACTACAGTTGGGCACCACCACGCCCAGCTAATTTTTGTGTTTTTTGTAGAGACAGGGTTTCACCATATTGCCCAGGCTGGTCTCAAACTCCTGGGCTCAAGCAGTCCTTCCACCTTGGCCTCCCAAGTAGGAGGATTGCTTGGGATTATAGGTGTGAGCCACCGTGCCTGGTCTATATGAAGTACTTCTTCATCACCTCAAACTCGTTTTACTTTGTACCTGTTTCAGGGTGTCACTTAGAGAAGGAAGTCACGAGTAGTTGGCCCTTGAAGTTTTCAAATGACTGACTCATCTATCATGGGCTGTTGTGTGTAGAAAAAATATTACGTAGTGTAGTTATTAAACATGAGTCTAGCAGTGACAATTTATTTTGTGTCATACTTTAATACCCCTCATACAGAGTTTTCTATAGTGGCTGAAGTCATGGGTTTATAATTGTCTCCTTAAATAATCTCACTTTTCTAAATGTGCCCAATGTTTGCGTAAATGTGCCCAATGTTTGCGAAGAAAAATATAGCTGCTGTGTTCAATTTTTTAAAATGAAGATTCTTAAAAACAAAAAAAAATTCGTACTCTTTCGCGCAGGATTTGCTGACAAGTTCAGATACAGAATTGATTTCCTTTCCTTTCTCATTAATGTGGGAAATTGAAAGAAAATCTGTTCCTTATCTGGAGAAGTAAGGTGGTTTCTTGATACGAGTATTAGCATATTGGACTAGCAGTCATTCATGAGATCTTTCAAATTCTAGCTTTGCCAGTAACTAATTTATAACTTCTGAGGGTCTCAATAACTTCATCTATAAAATGAGGATATTTGATTAGATTAGTGATTTGCAAGCTATGGTGTAGGGGAACATGAGGAGAGGAAACAGGAATCTCCACATAGGAATTTGTACTTCCTTTTTTCTCAGAGCAACTCCACTTTTAAACTTACACACAGTACATATGGGATTTTATGTAGGATTTTGTTGGAAAACTACGGGACAAGATGATCTGTGAGATTCCTTTAGTGCTAGATTTCCTTCCTTCCTTCCTTCCTTCCTTCCTTCCTTCCTTCCTTCCTTCCTTCCTCCCTCCCTCCCTCCCTCCCTCCCTCCCTCCCCTTCCTCCCTCCCCTTCCTCCCTCCCTCCCTCCCTTCCTCCCCTTCCTCCCCTTCCTCCCCTTCCTTTTCTTTCTTTCTTGTCTTTGACAGTCTTGGTCTGTCACCCAAGCTGGAGTGTGGTGGCAGGATCTTGGTTGAAGACAACCTCTGCCTTCTGGGTTCAAGCAATTCTCCCTGCCTTAGCCTCCCGAGTAGCTGGGATTACAGGCGCCCATCACCACACCCAGCTAGTTTTTGTATTCTTAGTAGAGATAGGGATTTGCCCTGTTGGCCAGGCTAATCTCGAACTCCTGACCTCAGGTGATCCACCTGCCACGGCCTCCCAAAGTGCTGGGATAATAGGCATGAGCCACCATGCCCGGTCCCTTATTTTCAATTTTATCTTAAAAGTTCTTTCATCATTATTGTTTTTAAAACCAAAAACATTGCCACTGGGTTTATTTACAGCATGAACGGGACCTCTTGCATTGTGTACCGTGTGTCTATTGGAAGGTTGGAGGGTGCCTTGTATGTGATTAATACTTGTGAGTTAAATATCAGTACATTTCACTTCTAGCTGTGGAGAATAGATGCAAACTTACTGTTACGATGTTTGTTTTTCCCAGGCCCTATTACCCACAAGGCGCTGGTTTAATACCATCCTGGATGACTCCCACCTTCTGGTTCACTGTTACCTTTCCAATCTTGTTCGTAGAGAAGAGGATGGCCATCTTTTTTCCCAGGTGAATATTTATGTATCTGAACATATTTATTGTTTTACTTTCTAAACTGATCTTTTCTTTGCCACACAACTGGCAGTATCAGGGCATAACACAAACTGCTGGTTATTTTAAAGTCATGTCTTAATGTGTAAAATGAATGTATTCTTATATAGATTGCCTCTAGTAATTATATAACTTTTTGTTCATTATATGTGATTTTTATTATTGCACTAAATTATGATTTGGGGAATACAGTCACACATGTTCACAAGTTTTGATTTTATGTGAAATATAATAGCTGATGGGCATTAATTTTAAATGAACTATGCCCCAATACTATGATTCTTTCTATAAGATGATGGTGACAGACAGTTGATCGTGTAGAAGTGTACATGCTCCCTTGAATAAGGAAGCTGCAAATGCACTTAACTTTGTTGTCTTGGTAGGAAGACACAGTATTTTACATTTCCTGTTATGTCATGCAGAAGAAAGCATTTCTTTTGGTTTTGTTTTGTTTGTGGAGACAGAGTTTGCTCTGTCACCCAGGCTGGAGTGCAGTGGTGGTGGCATGATCTCGGCTCACTGCAGCCTCCGCCTCCTGGGTTCAAGTGATTCTCCAGCCTCAGCCTCCCCAGTTTAATACCATCCTGATACCAGCCGGAATTACAGGTATGCACCACCATGCCTGGCTAATGTTTTGTATTTTTAGTAGACACAGGGCCTCACCATGTTACTGAGGTGGTCTCACACTCCTGAACTAAGGCAATTTGCCCACCCTGGCCTCCCAAAATGCTGGGATTACAGGCGTGAACCACTGCACCCAGCAGAAGAAATCATTTTTAACAAACTTCTAATGCTATCTTTCAATGAGATCATACTTAGAGATACAATTTTGGTATGTGTTTACATATCCCCTTTGTTCTTTTATATCTGTGAGCATTTCTCCTATTTTTTAAAATTTCTGTCTAGTGATTTGCCACATATATTAAAATATTTTAAATCCTAATATCTGATCTGCCATAGATTAGATCTAAAAATAAAGATTTGGGTTGAGTGCAGCCAGTAGGCTCTGTTGAAGCTGCTGCTACAGGGGAGACATCAGAGCCTCGTTAGCAAGAGAAACTAAGCCAAAGGACTTTGATGGCCATGGAGAAAAAAGAATAACTTAGCTTTCCCTGTCTTACTGTTTTTCCCTAAAAGAAGCAGCACAGCCAGGCACGGTAGCTCATACCTGTAATCCCAGCACTTTGGGAGGCTGAGGCGGGCAGATCATGAGGTCAGGAGATTGAGACCATCCTGGCTAACATGGTGAAACCCAGTCTCTACTAAAAATACAAAAAATTAGCTGGGCGTGGTGGCAGGCACCTGTAGTCCCAGCTACTCGGGAGGCTGAGGCAGGAGAATGGCGTGAACCCAGGAGGCAGAGCTTGCAGTGAGCCGAGATCGCACCACTGCACTCCAGCCTGGGCGACAAAGCTTGACTCTGACTCAAAAAAAAAAAAAAAGCAGCATATAAAAAAGTATCTCCAATTATTAATTGCAAAACCTGTAGTAAGAGACCTCAGGAGTTCCCTCTGGTGCTATAGCTTTGTAAGTTTTCAGTGATGTAGATAGATAAGATAGATTTTGTTTGTTTCATTAAAATGCTGGGCTTCTTTAGATTACCTCCTTAATGTCTCTTAAGTATTGGGATTGCAGTATAAGTTTTTCTTTGCAGAAGTAGATGATGTATATGAAATAGACTTAACAATTTATTCACATACTCCATTTTCACGTAACTAAAACATTTTTAGTTGGATATACTCTAAAAATCTTTTTTGTAATGTTTGCATTCCTGAGTTTTTCAGCACCTCTGAGAAACTGTGTGAACCTGTTTATTATTTTAAATAGTATTGTGCTTTCTTGCCCTTATGTTCATATGATTTATACATTTAAATGTGTTTCTTCAGCTTTTGGACATGCTTAAATTCTATACTGGTTTCGAAATTAATGACCAAACTGGAAATGCTCTGACAGAGAATGAGATGACCACAATTCACTATGATAGAATTACATCTCTACAGGTAATTAAAATACATTATAGACTTTGTGTATGCTCCATAAGGTTTTGTCATACTACAATTTAGGTTTTTTATAGGTACAGATTGAAAACGATGTTAATTTAATAGTGTTTTTATATTCAATATTTTTAATGTTTCTTTTTCTGATGAATTCTTGAAAAATAAGACTTTCTTTTATAACCTGTCTAAATTCTGTGAATCAGTATACTGATATTTGCTACTCAGAAATATTAGTTATTGGGCCAGTTTGGTGCATTTAAATATTAGCTCTGCTGTCAGTTTTATTTTATTAAAGAGTATTTCAACATAATGGCAGGGGGTGTGTAAGCATTTTGCACATTTTTAAGATGAACACATATGATGGGACTGAAATTTACCAGTGTAGTTCAGATATGCCCAAAAAAGTATCTTCATTTGTTTTCTATTGCTGATCTTATCTTGTTCTTGAGCTTCAGTTTCTCTGATGGTAGAAGGAAGTTTTATTTGTCAGTTTAAAATAATCCAGCTATTTCTGTTTAAAGTAATCCAGCTATTTCTGTTTTAAAGAGTCTTTTGTAGGGGGTAAAGGTTCAGTTCAAACCCTTTTATAATCAAGTTAGCTATCTCTTAAGAGATCTCTCTTCTCCAAAGCTGGAGGCATCATGCTACCTGACTTCAAACTATATACTACAAGGCTACAGTAACCAAAACAGCTTGGTACTGGTACCAAAACAGACATATAGACCAGTGGGGCAGAACAGAGACCTCAGAAATAACACCACACGTCTACAACCATCTGATCTTTGACAAACATGACAAAAACAAGCAATGGGGAAAGGATCTCCTATTCAGTAAATGGTGCTGGGAACACTGGCTAGCCACATGCAGAAAAGTGAAACTGGACCCCTTCCTTACAGCTTATACAAAAATTAACTCAAGGTGAATTAAAGACTTAAAAGTAAAACCCAAAACCATAAAAACCCTACAAGAAAACCTAGGCGATACCATTCAGGACATAGGCATGGGCGAAGACTTTATGACAAAAACGCCAAAAGCAATTGCAACAAAAGCCAAAATTGGCAAATGGGATCTAGTTAAACTAAAGAGCTTCTGCACAGCAGAAGAAACTATCATCAGAATGAACAGGCAACCTACAGAATGGGAGAAAATTTTTGCAATCTATCCATCTGACAAAGGTCTAATATCCAGAATTTATAAGGAACTTAAACATATTTACAAGAAAAAAACAACCCCATCAAAAAGTGGGCAACGTGTATGAACAGACACTTCTCAAAAGAAGACATTTATGTGGCCAACGAACATACGAAGAAAAACTCAACATCACTGATCATCAGAGAAATGCAAATCAAAACCACAATGAGATATCATACCATCTCACACCAGTCAGAATGGCAATTATTAAAAACTCTGGAAACAATAGATGCTGGCAAGGCTGCAGAGAAATAGGAATGCTTTTACACTGTTGGTAGCAATGTAAATTAGTTCAACCATTGTGGAAGACAGTATGGTGATCCCTCAAGGATCTAGAACGAGAAATACCATTTGACCCAGCAATCCCATTACTGGGTATATACCCAAAAGAATATAAATCATTCTACTATGAAGGCACATGCACACTTATGTTTATTGCAGCACTATTTGCAATAGCAAAGACATGGAACCGACCCAAATCCCCATCAATGATAGACTGGATAAAGAAAATGTGGCACATACACACCATGGAATACTATGCAGCCATCAAAAGGAATGAGATCATGTCCCTTATGGGGACATGGATGAAGCTGGAAGTCATCATCCTCAGCAAAGTAACACAGGAATGAAAAACCAAACACTGCATGTTCTCACTCATAAGCAGGAGTTGAACATTGAGAATACATGGACACAGAGAGGGGATCAACACCCACCAGGACCTGTTGGGGATGGGAGTTGAGGGGAGGGAACTTAGAGGACAGGCCAATAGGTGCAGCAAACCACCATGGCACATGTATACCTATGTAACAAACCTGCACATTTCCACATGTATCCCGTTTTTCTTGTTTTTAGAAGAAAAATAAATAAATAAATAATGGTGTACAAAGCGAAAAAAAAATCTCTGTTATTTTTCTTTCCTAGTAGGTATGTGGAGATACCAAAATAGCCTTATTGTTTTGGAAGAGGGATTAACTCAGATGTCTTTTCCTGCTTTTTTCACAGCATTAGTGTTTTTGTCCTGTGCCCTTGGAATAACCACAGCTGGTGTGGCATGTGGTCTATTGTATTGACACAGGCAAAGCATCATTATTGCTTCCAAGGAACTTGGCTATTTCCCCTGTTGAGGAGGCCCCAACTTTGCCTGATGGTGCTAGCATTCTCCTAAGGACTGACCTGTTTATTTCCTTGCTTATACAATTCTTTTCTCATGCTTGGGTTGCAGAGTCATTTTGCCATTGTGTGTAGTAATCTCATAATCCCATGGCAAGCTCGCTCCTGGCAACCTTGGCAACCTTCTGTGTCATCCACCATGGAACACATGAAAACTTCTGAATCTTTTCTGTGCCACATGGGCATCAAGGAAGACTAGGGATATTATTTCAATCACTCTGTCGTCAAATCCCAAGGAAGACTAGGGATATTATCTCAGTCACTCTGTTGCACTGCTACTATTTCTGTTTTCTGACAGCTTACCCTATGTTGGTTGAGACTGCTACCCTGTGAGGTCTTTTCCCAGAGTTCCAAACAAAAGCAAGGCACAAGCATAATGTTTTTGGTCTTTCCTTCAAGTTCTCTCTCTGCAGCCAGAGTTTCCCTTGGGACTTTCTTTTAGTCTTGTTAGACCAGTTCTTGATAATCAAGTGTGTATTTGTTTTTTTCTCCTCTTCTATCAATAAAGCTTGCCTTTGTGGCTATTTTCATATATATTGAAAATGCTTTCAGATATCAAAAGCTGAACACCGACTCTGTTTTTTACATTTCTGCTATGACAGTTGCAGTTTTTTCTCTTTTTATTACACGCTTCTGTCTAATTAAGGTAGAGGTCACGTAAGAAAGAGAAATGCGTTAATATTTTTATAAAATATTTTCATTCTTAAATAGATGTTTATATTATGTAGACATTAATTATTAATATTTTTTGCTGTTATTTTCTAGAGAGCTGCTTTTGCACATTTTCCTGAACTCTATGATTTTGCCCTCTCAAACGTGGCAGAAGTAGATACTCGGGAGTCCTTGGTCAAGTTTTTTGGACCTCTTAGGTAAGACAACATGGAAAAACTATATATTCTTTTTTTGTATCATGCTGCCTCAATTTTACTTTTCTTTATTGCTTTTAATCATTTTGCAGTACTTTAGGTAATATTACTTGTTATTTCACTCTTCATTGACGTCTACAACTAGTGCTTCTCTCCAGCAGTTTGATGTCTTTGTCACTTATCCATGTTTGGTAAAGTTTCTATTTTTTATGACGTATACACTTTTCTTAGATCTTAAATTTTTCTTAGAGTAGAATATAAAGCTGGTCATTTTCATCAATCAGACGACATATGACAAAAACCAATAAAGATTCATTATGTGTGATACTAGAGGTGTGACTTAGGGAAATTTTTGCATGTTTAAAATTTATAAAATTAGTAATATCCTCTGGCACTTAGTTATCTGCTAATATATCCTTTTGAAAATAGTGATAATAATGGCATACATTTATTTACTATGTGAAAGACATTCTGTTAAGTGTGTAAACAACTCTGAAAACTCATACTAGAAGTAGGTACCATTTTACATATAAGGTATCTGAGGCATAGAATAGTTAAGTAATTTGCCTAGGTTACACAGCAAGTAAGTGGCAGAGATACAATTTAAACCCAGATAGTGTGATTTCCAAGCCCTAACTTTTAACTACTGTACTGTATCGTCTCCCAGCTCTTGGGAGGAATTATGTTTAGTTCTTTGACTATTTAAAATGTAATGAACTGAGGTTGGTTTGGTTGTTCATTCTCATATGAGGATTTAATATAATTAATAACACATAGATTCATTTCATTCTTTTAAATAACTACATAGAGTTCCATTAAACAGGACCACCATACTATTTTTTTAAAAGTTAATCTCCTATTGGCGAATCTTTTTTTTTTTTTGGGATGACGTCTTGCTCTGTCGCCCAGACTGGAGTACAGTGGTGTGATCTTGGCTCACTGCAACCTCCGCCTCCCAAGTTCAAGTGATTCTCCTGCCTCAGCCTCCTGAATAGCTGGGACTACAGGCACGTTCCACCATGCCCAGCTAATTTTTGCAGTTTTAGTAGAGATGAGGTTTCACCATGTTGGCCAGGCTGGTCTTGAACTTCTGACCTCAGGTGATCCTGCATTGGCCTCCCAAAGAGCTGGGATTACAGGCGTGAGCCACCGTGCCTGGCCTCCTGTTGGTGAATCTTTAATTTTTAAGTTTTGGCTTTTACAAACAGTTCTGCAATGAACATCCTTTTCATACTGATTCCTAGAAGCAGAATGGCTGACTCAAATGGGGCGTGTGTTTAAAATTTGTTACATATTGCTAAATTTCCTTCAGAAAAGACTATATCAGTTTATACTTAAACTAGCAGTGTATGAGGATTTATTTTTCTCCCTACTAATGCTAGGTAAATTAGACTTTAATTTTTGCTATTTTTGTCTCGTTTTACTTTGCATTTCCCTGATCTTATTCGGGAAATTAAGCATTTTTCTGTTTTTTCTTGGCCATTTATATTTCTTCTGTAACCTTCTTATTTTCTTTTGCTATTTTGCATTTCCTTGCTTGTCATCTTACTGATTTTAAAGAACTTTTAATATTTTTGATCCTAATCCTTTCTCTAGTTTGTGTTGCAGTTATTTGCTCTCAGTTTAACTTTGCTTATAACATCTTTTGTCATTATGGATATTTTAAATTTTTAATGACAACTGTCAGTCTTTTAAATAACTATATTAGGTGCTTTATGTAGAAGTCCTTCTCACCCTAAGGTTATAAAATGTTTTCCTTTATTTTTAAAATACTTTTGTTGCTTTTTTTTTTTTTTTTTAAACATTTAGCTTAGCTGCATAATTCATCTGGGGAATTTATTTTTGCCCGTAGAACTCCTTTACACTCTTAAAAATTATTGAGGATCCCGAAGAACATTTATGTGTATTATATTCATTATATTCACTATAGTAGAAATAAAAACTGGAACAATCTTAAATATTTATTAATTCATTTAAAAATACCAATTGAGGCTGGGCGTGGTGGCTCATGCCTGTAATCCCAGCACTTTGGGAGGCTGAGGCGGGCAGATCACCTGAGGTCAGGAGTTCGAGACCAGCCTGGCAAACATGGTGAAACCCCATCTTACTAAAAATACAAAAATTAGCCAGGCGTGGTGGTGCATGCCTTTAATTCCAGCTACTTGGGAGGCTGGGGCAAGAGAATGGCTTGAACCTGGGAGGCGGAGGTTGCAGTGAGCCAAGATTGTGCCACTGCACTCCAGCCTGGGCAGCAGAGTGAGACTCCGTCTCAAAAAAAAAAGTATATTGATTGAAATCTGTTGTATGTTAGCCATATGTATTGCTAGTGAAAAACGTATTCTCCAAAGTGAAAAAAAAGCCACCATTAAAAGAGTGTCATTGTTTTACTTTTTTGTGACTGATTTAATGGAAGACAGATTTGCAGATCTGCTTCTGGATTCAGTTTGTTGTGATTATTGTTTTGGTTGAAGTAAATTAAGACAATTCGGCCTTACACAGAGGGAAGTGTATTTTGATAAGCTTTATCAAATAATTGGGAATGTTCTTTGATATGCTATGAAAACTTGACAAGTGGTAGTTCCTTTAAAAATTAGTTTCAGAGTAGAATCTGAAACCATGTCAAGGAAGTCTGTACAATTAAAATGAATTAATTTGAAAAATTAGAAGCTAGGTCTTGCTTATGGATAAGAGGACTCAACGTGTGAATCCTTCCCAAATTAATCTATGGATATATTTTAATTCCAATCATAATTCTAGCAGGATATTTTATAGAAATTGACAAACATTTTAAAAATAACATAGAAAGGCAAAAGAACTATAGTAGCCCAAACCATTTTGTAACAGAACAAAGTTGGAAGATTTCTACTAATTTCAAGACTTGCTGTAAAGCTATAGTAATCAAGACATTATGGTATTGATAAATGGATAGATGTATAGATCAATGGAATAGAATTGAGTCCAGAAATAGACCATACTTATATGGTTAGTTGAGTTTTGACTAATGTGTCAAGGCAACTCAGTAGAGAAAGGATTTCATCAGTGGTGCCGAAACAATTAGATATCCATATGCAAAGTATAAACCTTGACCCATACTTTGCATCATATACATAAATTAACCAAAAATGGATTATAGACCTTAATGTCAAACCTAAAACTTCTAGGAAATATGTGAGAAATTTTTTGTGATCATGGTTTGTGCAAAGATTTCTATAGACACCAAAGCACAATCCATAATGGAACAAAAAATGATGAATTGGACTTGATCAAAACTAGGAGACTTCTGCTCTTTGAAAGACATTGATAAGAGAATAAAAAAAAAAGCTACAACCTAGAAGAAAATATTGGCTAAATAGATACTTGATGAAGGAATGGTACCCAGAAATCTCAGAACTCAATACAGTAGTCCCCACTTTCTGCAGGAAATGTGTTCTAAGAACCCCAGTTGATGCCTGAAACTGTAGATTGTACTGAACCCTATACTGTGTTTTTACATGTACACGTAAAAACCTATGATAAAGCTATGAATTAGGCACAGTAAGAGATTAACAACAATAATAGGAGAACAGTTATAACAATATACTATAATAAAAGTTATGCGAATGTCGTCTCTCTCTCAAGAGATCTTATTCTACTGTACTTAACTATTTCCAGACTGTGGTCAACCATGAGTAACTGAAATTACGGGAAGTGAAACCACAGATAAGTGGGGACTCCTATAATAATAAAACAATTTACAAGTGACAAAAGATTTGAACAGACACTTGACCAAAATAGATGTCAGTAAGCCCATGGAAAGATGCTTAACACATTTAGTCATTGGGGAAATACAAATTTAAACCATAAGAAGATACTACATACCTATTAGAATTTTTTTTTGTTTTTTTAAATGGGTAAAGCCAGGCACAATGGTTCATGTCTGTGATTCCAGCGCTTTGGGAGGCTGAGGCAGAAGGATCACTTACCTACTAAAAATCAAAACAATTAGCCAGGCGTGTTGGCACAATACTTGTAATCGCAGCTACTCAGGAGGCTGAGATAAGAGGATTGCTTGAGCCCGGGAGGTTGAGGCTGCAGTGAACTATGATCATACCACTGTACTTCAGCCTGGATGACAGAGCAAGACCCTGTCTCAAAACAAAACAAAACCAAAAAAAAAAAAAAAAACCAACCCTGAAACAGATAATATTGACTCTTGGCAAGGATGTGGAGCAATTGGAATTCTCATAATTGCTGGTGGGATTCAAAGTGGGATAGCCACTTTGGAAAAATTTGAGTTTCTTGTAAAGATAAACATGAACTTAACATTATGATCCAGTGTTTTCCACTTACAGATGTATTCAAGAAAAGTGAAAACTTACGTTCACACAAAAATATGTACAAAAATGAATATAGTTGCTTTATTCAAAATCGTCAAAAACTGGACTACACAAATATCCCTCAACTGTTGAATGAATAAACATACTGTGTTGCAGCCATGTCATGAAATACTGCTCAGCAGCATAGAGGAACCAACTACAGATAAATATGCAGTGTGGGTGAATCTCAAATGCGTTATGCTAAGTAAAAGCAGCCATTCAAAAGGCTACCTAAGACCAGGCATTGTGGCTCACACTTGTAATCCCAGCATTTTGGGAGGCCGAGGCAGGTGGATCACTTGAGCTTAGCAGTTTGAGACCATCCTGGGCAACATGGTGAAACCTCGTCTGTACCAAAAATACCAAAATTTAGCCGGATGTGGTGGTGCACACCTGTGGTTCCACCTATTTGGGAGGCTGAGGTGAAAGGATTGCTTAAGTCCCGGAGGTGGAGGTGACAGTGAGCTGAGATCGTGCCACTGCACTCCAGTCTGGGCGACAGAGTGAGACTCGTCTCAAAAAACAAGAAAAAAGACTAACTAATGTGTGGTTCCATTTATTTGACCTCCCGGAAAAGACAGAATTACAAATAGAAAACTGATTATGGTTGCTGGGCTGGGATGGAGAGTAGGATTTGCTGTAAATTAGCACAGGAATTTTGGGGAGGTGAAGAAACCAATTAAATAGTGGAAAGCTATGAAGCTCATGGTGGCAAATACTGGTTTTCCAAAATTCTAATTTTTCACATTCACGTGGAAGTTCAGATTTTATCGTTGACAGCAAGTACTGATAGTTGTTTTCCTTGAAGTTATAGAGTTATTTTATTCAAAATTTGAAATTTAAAAAAAAAATGCCATTTGTCCAAGGCTGTATAAAACAGTTTGTCTTTTTTTTTTTTTTTTTTGAGACAGAGTCTCACTCTGTCGTCCAGGCTCGGGTGCAGTGGCATGATCCCAGCTCACTGCAAGCTCACCTAATGGGTTCGCACCATTCTCCTGCCTCAGCTGGGACTACAGGCACCTGCCACCACGCCCGGCTAATTTTTTGTATTTTTAGTAGAGACGGGTTTCACCATGTTAGCCAGGATGGTCTCGATCTCCTGACCCCATGATCCGCCCGCCTTAGCCTCCCAAAGCACTGGGATTACAGGCGTGAGCCACTGCGCCTAGCCAGTATTAATATTTAAAAGTGTTCTTGGTGACTGCCCAGAAGGCACACTTGGGTACAATGAAAGGTTTGCAGAAAATATTTTGAGAACCCTGCACTAAAGCCTTAATTTTCATTGCTGATTTTTAATATTTGCTGCCCATGTCATAGTATTATATTTGTTTTTTTAAGCTATTTGTAAAAATACATGTTTCAAAAGTGAAGTTAATATGAATAAAATATTGTTATCTATTCTGCAGTTCAAACACCCTCCACCAGGTGGCATCATACCTCTGCTTGTTGCCAACTCTTCCTAAAAATGAAGACACAACTTTTGATAAAGAATTTCTCCTAGAATTGCTGGTAAATATTAATGTCCTCTAAATTTTGCATGTGGTTTTCCCTGCCTTTTTAAATCATTCTTAAAGATGTAGGTTCATATAGATTTTTTTGTGGGCCAAAGATTAGGTGGATAATTCCCATTTTCTTTTTGGAATTGTATTATCATTTGATTTTTATGAGATTTGTTTTCTCATCCATCTTTTGAATTTCTTTTCTCAAGTATTTTATCTCTTCAAACTACTTTCTGGATGAATCATTCTATTAGCAAGTATTTATGTGCAAATCACTTCATTGTCTCTTTCAGTTCCTAAAAATTCCTGTGCTATTTTCTGACAATGTAGAACCTCTCATGAGTCATTTTTTTTGGATTAATAATAAATCTTTACAATAGAAAGAAATGAGGACTTTTTTCAGGAATTCTTCTTTTTTTATTTTTCTTTTTGATACCAAGTCTCTCTCTGTTGCCCAGACTGGAGTGCAGTGGCGTGATCTCAGCTCACTGCTACCTCTGCCCCCCAGGTTCAAGTAATTCTTGTGCCTCAGCCTCCCAAGTAGCTGGTATTACAGATGTGTGCCACCACTCCAGGCTAATTTTTATATTTTTAGTAGAAAATGGAGTTTTGCCACATTGGCCAAGCTGGTCTTGAACTCCTGGCCTCAGGTGATTGACTTGCCTCGGCCTCCCAAAGTGTCAGGTTTACAGGCATGAATCACCGTGCCTAGCCTTTTTTCAGGAATTCTTCTAATGGGAAATAAGTTTGAGGATAATGTTGATCCTGTGCCTATTAAGGTCTTGTGGCTAGAATTTTATTCCTAAAATTTCCAACAAAAGAAAATAATTTTTAAAATGTATAGTGTGACAACATTATGTTTTGTTTCCTCCCTTTCCTAAAGGATTTCCTCAGGCTTCGGATTCTTCTAATATTCAATTTATGATTAAAAAGTTGAAACATACATATTGTTTAGCTATCATGGTTTTTTTCTATAATTATACTATCTTCACTGAAGAGAATGTGATACATTTTAAGAATATGTCATTTTAGCATTACTAGATAAACACTTCTTTTTCTTTTTCTTTTTTTTTTTTTTGTCCCCCAGGCTGGAGTGCAATGGCGTGATCTTGTTTCACTGCAACCTCCACCTCCCGGGTTCAAGCAATTCTCTTGCCTCAGCCTCCTGAGTAGCTGGGATTACAGAAGTGCACCACCACGCCCAGCTAATTTTTGTATTTTTAGTAAAGACGGGGTTTCACCGTGTTGGTCAGGCTAGTCTCGAACTCCTCACCTTAGGTGATCTGCCTGTTTCAGCCTCCCAAAGTGCTGGGATTAAAGGCATGAGCTGCTTCTCTCGGCGTAACACTTACTTTCATATTTGACATAGATTATTAATATTAAGGGTACCTAGAGGTCATCATGGAAAGGAACATAGAGGGAGAAGACTAGGGTGATAGATTAATAAACTTCCCTAGATGGTATAGCTAGTTAGTATAAGAATGAAAATTAGGCCGGGTGCGGTGGCTAAAGCATATAATCCCAGCACTTTGGGAGGCCGAGACGGGCAGATCATGAGGTCAGGAGATCGAGACCATCCTGGCTAACATGGTGAAACCCCGTCTCTACTAAAAAAATATAAAAAAACTAGCCGGTCGTGGTGGCGGGCTCCTGTAGTCCCAGCTACTCTGGAGGCTGAGGCAGGAAAATGGCATAAACCTGGGAGGTGGAGCTTGCAGTGAGCTGAGATCCGGCCACTGCACTCCAGCCTGGGCGACAGAGCGAGACTCCGTCTCAAAAAAAAAAAAGAATGAAAACTATAGTCCAAGACCTAGAGCTCCTATTTTTTCTTAAATTGATTAATGCTAAGTGTTATGGTTTTTAAACTTTTGGCATGTACCAGGGACTTTGACACTATTTCATATTTCATTTCATTTTCATTGGAAACTTGAGATGTGTGGCACTTTATCTGTTTTACTGAAAAGGAAACTAAGGTTAGGAAGGTTAAAGTAAAGTGCCCAGCTTTTACAGTACTCATAAGTAGAGGAGCTGGGATTTGAACTCAGGTCTATCTGATTCCAAAGACCATCACCATTGGTTGGTTTCTCATCTTTGATCTATGGAGAAAATAGGAAAAAAAAAAATCTCTTATTGAACTGCTACAATAACTGATAGGCATGAAACTTCTTCCATAAATTATTTTTATTGAAAAAAGATGCTTGTAACCTTCTGCATGAACTTGTTTCCTTTCTTTTAGGTATCTCGTCATGAACGTCGAATTTCTCAGATTCAGCAATTGAACCAGATGCCTTTGTATCCAACCGAGAAAATTATATGGGATGAAAATATTGTCCCAACTGAGTACTATTCTGGAGAAGGTATGGTAAAGAAATATGGATTCAGATGTACAATGAAATAATTTCAGATTTGTCGTTTTTAATTGGAATTACAGACAGTGTACACTTCAGTCCACTCTGTACTTTGGGAAAATTTCCTGGTGCCCACAAGTTAACTTTAGAAGCTGGGAAAGATTTAGTATTTTGAATGCTTTGGCACTAAGGGTATTTATTAAATTTAACTATATACATATCGCCCTGTAAAAAATATGACTATAAAGCCCTAAGACTGTTTTGGTTTTTTTGCTTGTTTGTATGAGACAGGGTCTTGCTCTGTCACCCAGACTGGAGTGCAGTGGTGCAACCTCAGCTCACTGCAGCCTCTGCTCCTGGGCTCAAGTGATCCTCCCACTTTAGCCTCCTGAGTACTTGAGACCACAGGCGTGCACCACCACACCCAGCTATTATTATTATTATTACTACTATTATTTGTATTTTTAGTAGAGACAAGGTCTGACCATGTTGCTCAGGCTGGTCTCGAACTCCTGAGCTCAAGCGATCTGCCCACCTCAGCCTCCCAAAGTGCTGGGATTACAGGTGTGAACCACTGCACCCGACCGTAAGACTGTTTTCAAGGAGACCTAATAATGCTTGAAGTATAGCTTTCATTGTGTCACTGTGATAGGCTGTGTTTGATAGAGCTTTTTTCAAAGGCTTTTTTTAGTGACTCTGTTGAATTCTATGTAAAGCCAGGTAATGATCACCAAAAAAAGGCGTTATCATTTATTGTTAGTAAACCCTTAGTGTTGATCCAAAATGGTATTGCCTAGTTTGTTCATTTATTTCCCCAGATTTGGATCTAAACACTTTTCACTCATCCTCTGAGGATGAGAATTGGCTACAACTGAGTATATGTAAAAGTGCATTCAGATATATTTTGAAGGTATATTTCAAAAGAAATTTCAGGACATTTTTTGAACAATGGCATCATTAGTAGAAGAAATGTAACTGTTTTAAAGACATCACAAGTATAAGTATTGGTATGTTTACTTAAAATGGTTACTCTAAGACATATCCTAGAGCCATAACTTCGATAGACCCAGTGCACTAATATTGTGCTAGATTTCAGAACATAGGCAGTCTTCATATCTTTTTGTGTTCTTACGGTGGTTAATATGTTGCTTTCTCATGTCTAGGGATGCACACCTGGATGATAAAAGTATAAAGAAATTCAAGATAGTGATTGCTATAAAAGTCAGGAAATAGTTACTTTCAGGTAAAGAAGCTGTAACCAGGAAAGGGCACTTGGGAGGATTCTGGGATAGCTGACAAGGTGGTTACAGGTTTCATTTAAAAAATGTCTTTTACTTTACTGGTATCTTCTATACATCCCTTTCTTTCTTTTTGTTTCTGCTGAAAAACCTGAGTTGTTTGATCATAGAGTTCCCACAGTCTATAGATTTTTCTGATTGAATACTCATGGCATATTGCAGCATGTTCCTCTGTTCTTTATTTTCCTTGCAAATTAGTACCACTTTGTGCAGAGGCTTGATCAGACTAAGGTTCTCCTTGGCAGGATTCTTGGTGGTGGTGTGTTCTTTCATCAGGAGGCACATATTGTCTGCTTGTCTCTCTTTTTGTACTACTAGTAGCTATTGATACTTAACACTTAGATTTGTTAATTCAGTGAGTATTGCAAATGCTGACATTTTGTCATTTTTTTAAAGTAAAAATGTGCTATCGAAAGAAATTGAGTTAGATTATAAGTCAGAGTTTACTAATATAAATAATGTTAAATTTTTGTTCATCAATGTTGTCTTTAAGTTTATTTTTTATTTTTTGGTAGTATGGACAACAATGATGAGACTATGACTTATCAGTAAAATGTATTTTGGGATTTTTTAAAACCTTTTTGATATTGCTGCTAAGTGGTCACTTATTGTCGAAGAGAAATAGTGTTAAGTGAGAATAATGAAAGGAATATTGTTTATTTATATAGTCGGAGAAGGGGGAGTCTAGAATAACATACAAACAATGTCTTGTCCTTAAAGTTTAGCCAGAAGGCAAGTTAAGAGCACAATAATAGTCATCAGAGATTGATTTATGCAATGTAACGTAATAATTCAGTGTTCATGCTAAATTTTGTTGTGCGCTAAATTTATGGTAACATTATTCACTTCAATATTTGCCAAATATAAATTAGGTGATAAGGGAAGAAGTTTTAAACTACTTGAAACTATTAGTACAAGTATCCTTAAATACTTTGAAGGAGTACTGTTTACATACACATCACTGGATGCAGATTACATGTCTTAATAAAACTCATCCTTTACCCTAATTCTTTTTTTTTTTTTTTTGAAATGGAGTTTTGCTCTTGTTGCCCAGGCTGGAGTGCAATGGCGCGATCTTGGCTCACTGCAACCTTTGCCTCTTGGGTTCAAGCGATTCTCCTGCCTCAGCTTCCTGAGTAACTGGGATTACAGGTGCCCACCACGACAGCCAGCTAATTTTTTGTATTTTTAGTAGAAACGAGGTTTCACTGTGTTGGCCAGGCTGTCTCAAACTCCTGACCTCAGGTGATCCACCTGCCTCGGCTTCCCAAAGTGCCGGGATTACAAGCATGAGCTGCTGTGCTCGGCCTCACCCCTAATTCTGTTTTTTTGGTTTTTTTTTTGAGACGGAGTCTCGCTCTGTCGCCCAGGCTTGAGTGCAGTTGCGTGATCTCCACTCACTGCAAGCTCCGCCTCCCGGGTTCACGCCATTCTCCTGCCTCAGCCTCCCGAGTAGCTGGGACTACAGGCGCCCGCCACCTCGCCTGGCTAGTTTTTTGTATTTTTTAGTAGAGACGGGGTTTCACCGTGTTAGCCAGGATGGTCTCGATCTCTTGACCTCGTGATCCACCCGTCTCGGCCTCCCAAAGTGCTGGGATTACAGGCTTGAGCCACTGCGCCCAGCCCTCACCCCTAATTCTTAATAGCCAACATTTATTAATCTGGTTTTAACATCTGTGTGAAAACAAAAATAAGTTGTTATCAGATATGCTGCATTTCAGGCTTTCATTAGATTCTTATAGTTTTGTGGTGCCAGTTTTTTAATACAGAGAGCATTAAAAGAATAATTCAGGCCGGGCACAGTGGCCTCACTTTGGGAGGCTGAGGTGGGCGGATCACGAGGTCAGGAGTTCGAGACCACCCTGACCAACATAGAGAAACTCTGTCTCTACTAAAAACACAAAAATTTAGCCGGACATGGTAGTGGACGCCTGTAATCCCAGCTATTCCAGAGGCAAGAGAGTGGCTTGAATCTGGGAGGCAGAGGTTGCAGTGAGACAAGATTGTGCCATTGCACTCCAGCCTGGGCGACAGAGCGAAACTCTGTCTCAAAGAAAAAAAAAGAATAATTCAAATATGGATGTTTTTTTCCTTTTCAGGTTGTCTTGCTCTTCCCAAATTGAATTTGCAGTTTTTGACTCTTCATGACTACCTACTAAGGAACTTTAACCTCTTCCGCTTAGAATCAACTTATGAAATTCGGCAGGACATTGAAGATAGTGTCAGCAGAATGAAGCCATGGTTAGTAAATTTGTTCCACCTGTAATGCAGATATGCAGACAGTGACTAATAAACTTCTGTCAGAAACCTTATAAGTATATTTAGAAATAATATACCTGGCACAAAGATGCCCTCTAAAGTAAGAGATATTTACTCTTTGAGACATTTTAAAATGTGAATTAACATACATCAAAAGTGCTAAATTATAAACCACATTTCTGGGTACTTGAGAATGGGGATGAGAGACTGGGGATAAGCGAGAAGACGTCATCATGCTCAGGAAGGGAAGGGAGAAATATGGAGGGAGTAGGTCAGACCTTACTTAAAGGCTGATTGGAAGGCTAGGGGTTGGCCAGCAGGCCTGTACTAGGAGAGCAGGACAGTTTAAGTCCTGGAGGAAGCTTATGATAAAGGGGTGTTCCGTTAATCCAGCTACTCTTGTCACTGTTGCTACAGTATTCTCAGTCAGCCTCTCTAGGGGAATGGACAGAGGATTAGGGCTGTTGCCGCACATTGCATGGGGTGGTACGTTAGAAAATCTTCTCTGTCTCTCCACCCATAGATTCTGTGGAAGAAAGCAAATCACCAGGATTTACTTTTAGGGCCAGTTGAGTTGGTCTTGTTATTTGAGGAATTCTTCCACATAAACTCCACTCCCCACCTGCTAGTTCATGTCTGGAATTCCTTTAGCTAAGAAAAGTCTTTCATTCTGGTTGTTGTAGCAGCTCTGCATTACAAGAATTTGTAAGGTTAATTTGGTTTTATAGATATGACTGACTTTAGGCAAATACTCTTTATTCACTATTTCATTCGAAGTATGAAATTGATGGATACAAGTTACACATCACAAGTGATTATAAATGAGTAAAATACTATGAGGTGAATTTTTGTTACATTATATAATAGGACACCATGTATACATACATGATTATACTGCATTGTATGTGAAAAGCTGAACAGCTTTGGAATGTGAACTGACTCAGGTATCTTCCAGGCTTCTGCTTACTAATTATAGAGAGCTAACGCAGACACTGTGATTATGATCTATTTTTTCACTTCCATGTTTCATTTCATACAAAGTTCTATTTTTTAATTATTATGTGAAAAGTTATTTTGGGTGAGACTATAAAATACAACACAACGCATTTTCGACTTAATAATCAGTTGAGTCAGTAGGCAGGCGAGCACTGCAAAATTTGTATACCCACTGGCTAATCATTCCTGCCCACAGCTTTGCTGAAATTGTTGCCCATTGTTTGTACCCTGAGGGAGTGCTTGTTCAGGAAACTTCTTTACAATTTATGGTTACCTTGAGATTATATGCTCAGATTCTGGGCCTAATTTTGGCCATTTGGTGAACTAGGGATTTATTAACTGGCAATTCAACAAATAGAATTCATTTATATTTTACTTAAATGCCAAGTGCAACAAAAATATTTGAGTTCTTTTGGTCTATTAATAAAAAAAATTAAATTATACCATTTTCTGGAGGGGAAGAAAATGTGACTTTTTGGAGCTAATTCATTCACATTTGTAGTAATAGAATTTTCTAAATTTGCATTTTTAATGCCCATCACTGAAAATTATTAAAAATGTTGAAACCTAAAACAGGGGCCAGGCTTCTTTCTGTTTCATGTATTTTGAAGATGAAAACTAGCAGGCATTTTTACTCATTTTATGGTTCCAATGATTATGTTTTCAGGGTGCTGAAGCCCACTAACCAGCAGTAAGAGAGAATGTGATAAAGGGCCAGAAATCTATACTTTTTAATGCTTCAAGTAGATACTATTAGAAGAGAAAGGGGTAAGGGGAGTAGATTAGTGGTTGCTTGGGTTTGGTAACAGGAATTGACTGCAACTGGACAAGAGGGATCTTTTTAAAGATGTTGGAAATGTTCCACAACTGGATTTTGTGATGATGAATGCAAAACTCTGCAAATTTACTGAGAACTATGGACTTGTGTATTTATAGTGGATAAATGTTATGGTATGTAAACTATACTGCATTAAAGCTGTAAAAAATGGAGGAGGTGATAGGAAGTTGTGTCACAACGGTTTAGCCACTAAGTAATTCCTTTTAGACATTGTCCCAATACTAACCAAGCCATTGATTGCAGAACTTTATTTTTAATTAGTTTCTCTTTTTGGTGTTATGAAGTTCTACAATTTTTTTGTTGTGACATAAAGTCTTTACATAGGAGGCAGTTTATCTTTGTAGGTATGTCGTATTCTGCAGTACTTCCTATCTTTGGAGTGCTGCTTCAGTTTTTATGTTACACATTTCTCAAATACAACTTTTTAATACAAAAACTAAAGCACCAGTTAGACTAACATAAGAAGAAAGAATGGGCATTGGGATGTTGTGGTTCTGGTTATTACAACTAGCTTGATTTTTTTTTTTTTTCCTGCAATCCATAGCAACATCTTTTAAATGTTTTAAATATGCTCTCTAAAGGAGGTTTTTGCATAGATATTATTTGTTTGCATGTTTTTAATTTTTTTTTGAAATTGTAGCTTGTCCTAAAATGTATTCGAAACAGCTTATAGAAATACTTAAAATACAGAAAATAAAATATTAACAATTGAAACGGTCTTTATGAAGAGGGTAAAAGGATAACAATATAAAATAAAACCAAGTAAAGAGGTCCTTCAGAAATGAAAGAGAAATAAAGACAGAAAAACAGAACAGAACAAAAACTGAGAGAGTTTATCATCACTAGACTGCCTTATAATAAATGCCAATGGAAGTTCTCCAAGCTGAAATACAAAGCTGCCAATTAGTAACATTAAGAGACCCTGAATAGCTAAAGCAATCTTGATCAAGAAGAACAAAGCTGGAGACATCATACTTCCTGATTTCAAATTATATTACAAAGCTACAGTGGTCAAAACAGTATGGTACTGGCATAAAAACACATAGACCAACAAAAGAGAAAGCCCAGAAGTAAACCCACACTTGTACAATCATTTAATCTTTGATGCATGTGCCAAGAGTATACAATAGGGAAAGGAAAATGGTCTTGGGAAAACTGGATATCTACTTGTAAAAAAATGAAATAGGATCCCTATCTTACATGATACACAAAAGTTAACTGAAGATAGATTGAAGATTTTAACATAAGACCTGAACCCATGAAACTCCAAGAAGAAAACAGGGGAAAAACTACATAACATTGGTCTTAGCAATGATATTTGGGTGATACCAAGAGCACAGGGAACAAAAGCAAAAATAAGTAAGTGGGGACCACATCAAACTGAAAAGTTTCTGCACCGCAAAGGAAACAGTCAACAAAATGAAAAGGCAGCCTTATAGAATGGAAGAAAATATTTGCAAACCATATATCTGATTGGAAGTTAATATCCAAAATATGTAAGGAACTCATATTACTCAATAGCAAAAGACCAAATAACCCAATAAAAAATGGGTGAAGGACTTGAAAACATTTTTTGTGAGAGGATATACAAAGGACAGATAGATAAAAAGGTGTTCAACATCACTAATCATCAAGGGAATGCATATCAAAACCACAATGAGATATTCATACCTCACAACTGTTAGAATGACTGTTATCAAAAGTCAAAAGATAACAAGTGTTTGCAAGGATGTGGAGAAAAGGGAACTCTTATACGCTATTGCTGGGAATGTCAATTAGTACAGCCGTTATGGAAAACAATATGGAGGTTCCTCAAAAAATTAAAAATCAGAGCTATCATGTGATCCAGCAAACCCACTTCTGAATGTTTATCCAAAGGAAATAAAATCACGATCCTGAAGAGATGTCTGCACTCTTGTGTTCGTTGCAGCATTATTCACAATAACCAAGATGTGGAAACAACTTAAGGGCTGAGTGGATAAAGAAAATGTGAAAATGTGGCGCGTGTGTGTACATATATAAAAACACACAATGGGATATGATTAACCTTTTAAAAAGAAGGAAATCCTTTTTTTGACAACGTGGATAAACCCGGAGTACGTTATGCCAAATGTATTAAGCCAGATACAGATAGACAAAAACTGATGATCTCACTTTACATATGGAATCTAAAAAAAGGCAAATTCATGGAAGCAGTAGAAGGGCAGTTATGGGTTGTAGGTGGGGGAAATGGGGACATACTGGTCAAAGGGTCTAAACTTTCAGTTACAAGCTACATAAGTTTGGAGATCTACTATAAAGCATAGTGACTATTATGTTTTATATACTTGAAACTTGCCAGGATAGGTCTTAAGTATTCTTACCACACACACACAAAAATGATAACTGTGTTGGTAATGATACCACAGTGTATACATAGTTTAAAACATCACATTGTATTCCTTAAATATATACAATTTTTATTTGTGAAGTATACCTCAATAAAGCTGAAATAAAACTAAGTGTGCTACATTATTTATTTCTTTGATAAAATGGCTCAGCCCCAGAACGCTCTTACATACATAGGGTTAGCTTTTTTCTTAGGTTGGGGAGGAGATATTCCTCTACTTCTGTTTCTTTTCTGGACCACATTTGCCTGTTTCATACTATCATGTACCTGTTTCATGCTATCATATATACTTTGTATACTTTGAGAGTTAAAGGTTTATTTTTTTTTAAGTTAAGAAGTAGGGGTTACTAATATTAGGACTTAAATACTAGCTGAACGGTATTCCTACTTACTAGTTTTACTTGTCTAAAAGTTGGGGATAAATTATTTTTTGTTTGAGTAACCATCCATTTCTTTGGTTTTAGGCAATCTGAATATGGCGGTGTAGTGTTTGGTGGTTGGGCGCGAATGGCTCAGCCCATTGTGGCTTTCACTGTTGTTGAAGTGGCCAAACCCAACATAGGTGAAAACTGGCCAACCCGAGTTCGTGCAGATGTTACCATAAATCTGAATGTCAGAGATCACATCAAAGATGAATGGGAAGGTAATTTTGTATTTCAAAAAGTGACATTACCTTTTGCCTTGTTACGAACTTTCACTTAGAGCATTAACAAAGTACTTTTACTAAATGTTATCCTTTTAAGCTTTTATTAAACTTTATCCTTGAAATTTGATTTAAAGAATAGCAACTTTCTAATTATTAGTTTTAAAAATACCAGGGATCATACAAGAATATTTAGGTATCTTAATATTTTAATAAAAAGGATAAAATTGCATACATATCAAAGTTTTGAAAACTGAAGTTTGCAAAGACTAGAGGAGAGCATTTTAAGTCTTAAATTTAGCAAGATAATGTTTATGGATTTGTGGGATCAATATAAAAGAATAAAAATATTAGTGTTCACCAAAGAGTGGGGAGAAAGCCCACATATAACATGCAGACATGCAGAGCAGTAAGGAAAATTGGTATTTTTCAAAAAATAAAAGCCAAGGTGAAAAGAATAGAAATGCATACACTTTGTGGAAAATAAAAATACAAAATCAAAATTAGGAAGCTCAAAAAGAATGTGGGGGTGGGCGGGGCTATAGTGAAACAACTCAGAAATAAATAATAGTTTATTTGCACCTAAGGCAGAAAGGCTAAAGAATCAGTGAAATCAAATGTACTCAAGGATATATAATAATTGCAAAGAAATTAAAGGAGTTATTCCTTCTATTTTTTGCTAGGCAAGATTTTAAGGATGAGAGTTCCATGTCAAAATTAATTTGTTTTGGAGGCAGATATGTTCAAAATTACTAAGTCCAATAGAATTAAAATGGTAAGACCTCTGCCAGAAGTGACATATGAACTGATTTCTATCAGGCAGTTTTATATTTTTCTCCCAGCTGTCCTGTGAGAGGTCTTACTTGATGCCCTGTTTTGAGAAACAGTAGTCAGTAGGTTTTACCTCCTTTTACTTTCTTGGCATGCCAGAAGGAAAGGGATAGCCCCTTAATGGATCTGTTTTCAGAAATTATTACTACCAGTGTAGCTGTTTATAATCATGGGAACTATATTGTTATCGAAGAATTCTGAAGGAATCCGGCAACAGAGCTAGCCAAATGTTTACCAAGTGCCTATGGTAGTGGGTATAGTTTGTGACAGATTGTTTTTATGACTCTTGTATTCTTCAAAAGAGTTTCATTCTGTGTATTACTCATCCAGAATAATATGCGCCTTTACTATTGCTGAACCCCGAGAAAGCCATTAAGTTGCTGGAGAAGACCTCATATTTATTATTCCTTGAAGCTTAAGGAGATATTAAACACTGTTTTACACAGTGGGAAATAAACTGAGATAACTTACTGCGTACCCCCAGAAGTAGTAAATGGTTGGAATTTTGTTTATTTTAATGGACTCTTTATAGGAATTTATAGATGAGAGGTCCGCATTTTGGTGTTAAGGAAAACAAAAGGATGTTTAAAAACAGGCCACATTCCCCATTACTGACTGCTTTCAGAAGGACATGAGGCAGTCTTTTTTTCTTTTAAACATCAGCCTCTGGTAGAATGAGAAGTGGAATGGGTACATTTTGATGGGCAAGATAGGGCACAATAGGGCATTGTGGGATGAGTGATAGTCTGGGGTGTGATGGAGAGAAAAGTGTTTTCTGGGAGGCCTGGGCCAAAAACCAGCCCCTATATTGATCACAGATAGGATAGCCAAATAGAAAATGGGAGCAAAAAGGAGAGATTCTGTAAACAATAATGATTTTTTTTTTTTTTAAATGACAGAGTCTCACTCTGTTGCCCAGGCTGGAGTACAGTGGCACAATCTCGGCTCACTGCAACCTCCACCTCCCGGGTTCAAGCAATTCTCTGCCTCAGCCTCCCGAGTAGATGGGATTATAGGCACCCACCACCACGCCCAGCTAATTTTTTGTATTTTTACTAAAGACGAGGTTTCACCATCTTGGCCAGGCTGGTGTTGAACTCCTGACCTTGTGATCCACCCGCCTCAGCGTCCCAAAGTGCTAGGATTACAGGCATGAGCCACACCGCGCCCGGCTGAATATTGTTTTATAAAAGTAAATTTTAAAGATTATTAAACTAAATACCATAAAACATTCCTCTTCTCCCTTTGAAAAGGTGTGAACCTCAAGCCCTTATCTTCTTCAATATTCTCACTTAAATTTAAGGAAACAGAATTCATGAAATGGAAATGCCAGATTTGCTCCAGAAAGCACGGCTAGGATAGGGTGGATACAAATGGTTGCAAGGGCAGAGAGAGTTGAGCTCATTGAAATATAGGATTTTAAAAAATGTGGATCTAAGATGTCCCAGAGGAAAGTGGTTTGCTTTAGGAAGGAACAAGAGGTCATCCCTCAGTGATGCCAAAAAGTACCTCCTATCTTGGTAGAGGATAAATCACTTCTCAGGACCACTTCTTTGGCTTTAAGACTTAGAAGTTTTAATGAGCTGTACAGATCAGATGTCACACAAGTAATACAACTCAGATAGTAGAACCATTCCCATTCATTCTCATTACTACTCTTGCTGCTTTGCATAGAATTTATTGGGAAATAATTAAATCAGTATTATGAATAGAGTTATTATTTCTGCCTTTACCCGTACTCTAACCAGTCCCCCAATTAAAACAAACCAAAATATTTTCAGTACTATTGGACATATACCCACATTGTTGATTTGATTTCATTGTGTTTGTTGTTAACAAGGTTATGAGCAAGCAGACTGTTTACATTTACATTTATGTCATATAATGGCTAACAAAAGCATTGGAAATGGAATGAAGATTAAGTGGTGTAGCATTACATGCTGTGAGGTCTAATTTTATATCCTTGTCTTCCAGTTTCTCTACTTTTAATGGAACTGGGAAGCCCGTTGAGTTCATTATTGGGTCTAGTGACCAAGAAACTATGGACTTTGGCACAAGTGTCCTATTTCTTGACATTCACTTATAAAAATGTTCAGTATTTGCCAAATATATTCAGCCATCTTTCTCAAAATCGTATCTGTAAACAATACTTTTTTGCCTTGATGAATTATTCTTGAGTTGACCTGTTTTAGTGAAATACAATTAGGCTGTCTTTGGAATGACACTGATAGATAGTTTAAACTGATATTAAAAACCTGCTAAATATGCTATAGATGGATTATATGCCAGCCATATTTTTGGTTACTTATTAAGAATGTTAAAAATAAGAATGATGACGAACATCCAATTTTGGAGCTGTAGCATGACTTGGAGGGCTTATTCAGTAATATATTCATGGCATGAATGTTTCTAATTTTAATATAAAGAGGTTTTCATTTCAATTAATGCTATGAAATATTGAGTATTAAAGATTATAGAAAAGCCCATAATTGTGTTACAATGCGATAATAATCGTTGGTCACTCATGATATCTCTCTACCAAAGATAAGAGGTAGAGAGGCAAATAAGAATTTGCCTACAAAAGACTGAAAACAATGAAATTCTAATAAATGGAAATGTCTTTATGTCTTACCAGGTCTTCGTAAGCATGATGTATGCTTTTTAATTACTGTACGTCCCACAAAACCTTACGGCACTAAGTTTGACCGGAGGAGACCTTTTATTGAGCAGGTTGGCCTGGTTTATGTCAGAGGCTGTGAAATTCAGGGCATGCTGGATGACAAAGGACGTGTCATTGAAGATGGTATGGTGGCATATATTTTTGAAAGAGTATGTGTATAGAATGATACATTTCTTTGCCTTTTTTCCTTTTTTGCTTCTTAGATATTTTTTAGTTGTTTTACCTACTAAATTGACAAAAGATTTTGTATCAAATATGTCTAGGGTACCTACCATGCAGTTTTAGATATAGGTAACATGGTTTCAAAACTTTTTTTTTCCCCCGAGATAGAATCTCACAGTGTCACACAGGCTGGAGAGCAGTGACGCAATCTCAGCTCATTGCAACCTCTGCCTCCTGGGTGCATGCGATTCTCCAGCCTCAGTCCCACTAGTAGCTGGGACCATAGGCATGTGTGACCATGCCCAGTAAATTTTAGTAGTTTTTGGTAGAGATGGGATTTCCCCATGTTGCCCAGGCTGGTCTCAAACTCCTGAGATGAAGCAGTCCACTTGCCTCGGCCTCCCAAAGTGCTGGGATTACAGACGTGAGCCAGCACCGCACCCAGCCAGTTAAAAAACTTCTATGTTGGATATTGGAAAGGACGGTATCTTTTTTTTTTCTTTTTTTCCCCCAATGTCATCCAGGCTGGAGTGCAATGGCGTGATCTCAGCTCACTGCAACCTCTGCCTCCCAGGTTCAACCAATTCTGCCTCAGCCACCCGAGTAGCTGGGATTACAGATGCCTGCCACCGCTCCTGGCTAATTTTTGTATTTTTAGTGGAGACAGGGTTTCACCATGTTGGCGAGGCTGGTCTTGAACTCTGGGACAGGACCTTTTGAAATCATCTTTATTCAAAGCTTTTTAAAATATATAATACTTGACATTTTTTTTTTAAGAAACACTAAATACTTCTTACAGTTGTCTAAGCTTTTTTTGTGTTGAATGGTATATTTTTTCTTCTTAAATTTGACTGTTTTAATTCATTGTAGTGGTGGTTCTTAATTGGGAACAATACTGTCCTTCGTTTGGAAATGCATAGTGATATTTAGGTTTTCAAATGACTGGGATAGAGGTGAGGAATGGTAGGCTCTTGGCCTTAGGTAACTATGAGCCAGGGATGCTAAATATCAGAAAAGAATTACCCTGCATAAGATGCCAACTTTACCTCATTTAAAAATACTGCTTTACAAAATTAGTTATTTGATTTCTTATGTGTATCACTTATTATCCCTTTGAAATTCTTTCTTCTGTTGTCCTGACTTCCTTTATAATACTTATTATTAAATTACAGCTGCATACATGTCTAGTGCTTATTTTATAATTTGGTTGTTAAACTTTTTTTTTCTTGAGACGGAGTCTCACTCTGTCACCAGGCTGGAGTGCAGTGGCGCAATCTCGGCTCACTGCAACCTCTGCCTCCTGGGTTCAAGTGATTCTCCTGCCTCAGCCTTCCTAATAGCTGGGACTACAGGCGCCTGCCACCATGCCGGCTAATTTTTGTATTTTTAGTAGAGACAGGGTTTCACCATGTTGGCCAGGATGGTCTCTTGACCTCATGATCCACCAGCCTCTGCCTCCCAAAGTGCTGGAATTACAGGCATGAGCCACTATGCCCCGCCGGTTGTTAAACTTCTTTTGAAACTTTAGTCAGTTTCTGCCATCTGTGGTTTAGAGATTATATCATTGTTAAACTGCTGATGATTAGGTTATTTATCTCTAGAATAAAAGAAAATAGGAGAAGGGAATGGAAAATGGATGGAGTAAGCATAAGGCCATATAATAGAACCAAAGTTGGAGGTCTAAGACCCACCCCACCCCGCATGCCCAGAAGAGGAGATATGTCAGAGAGGAAAGAAAAGGCTCTGGGCTTTCAACCATTAGTATCCTACATTTCTGTGTATGCGAAATTTCTTTTCGTGCTGGTTATATTAGGTATGGAATGTGGAAGGATGAGAAAAGTGATAAACCTCTGTCAAATTAAGGAATAGAAAACTATGCCTTAAATTCTAAAATACATATATTTAATTAGAAAATATTTATTGAATACTTACTGTAGGTAAAGCAGTAGTGGGAGCTATGAGTGACAAAAGTAAAGTTCTTTGACTTCTAAGTGTGTGGCTTCTGAGTGTGTGTACAAATTATTGCAAGTCATGGCATTGCATCGTAAACGTTACATGACTGCTATGGAAGGAAATAGTAAGAATTTAGAGAAAGAAGAAAATACTTTCAGCTTAGAATTGACGTGGGTGAGTGGGGGCATTCTAGTTTGGGAAAAATGGTTGGAGTTAAGCCTGAACCATTTACTCACCATTTCTGGAAAAAAATACTATTGACTTACTTTGATATTTGAAAAATATATATTTTATTTAACAAACTTTTTCAAATTGTCCAGGACCTGAACCCAGACCCAATCTTAGAGGAGAATCAAGGACATTTAGAGTGTTTTTGGATCCAAACCAGTATCAACAAGATATGACCAATACTATACAGAATGGAGCAGAGGATGTGTATGAAACTTTTAATATAATAATGAGGAGAAAACCAAAGGAAAATAACTTTAAGGTAATTTGGGGGCTATGTAACTAAAAGTACTATGTCATAATTTAAGTAACTTTTATGACGTAAATACAAAGATATTTGGTTAGAGGAAGATTTGTTAAGAAAATAATAATTACTGCTTTTATTTTTACTATAAGCAGTCCTCTTAAACTTTTAACATTGATGAAATATAAAAATTTAAAGAAATTGATTTGTTAAATTATTTTGTCTTTTGAAGAGTTTAGAAACTTCAAATATAGATGAATCCACATGTTATTAAGGGTCCACCTCCTTTTTTGCTTTTTGTATATTAGGTACTCAGCTAATGCCCTATTGTGAAGTGAAGGAAAGCTTGCTTACTTGTTTACTGGGGCTTCTTTTTTGAATCAAAAGTAGGTATACTTCCAAGTCACTTTAAGAAGACAGATATGGAACCTCAAGGCTCTGAATTACTATATGATATAATATATTTTTAGTCATTAGTAGGAAAGGGAAGTTTGGTGGCTCAAAGTTTTACTTTCAGAATAACTTTGTGGGGAGAAGATTTTTATTAAAGGATAGTTTTTTAAAACCATTATTTGAAACTATATTATAAAACTTAAACATTGAACAATTCTAGCATTTGATAATATGTAGCTTTTGTAGAAAGAATGCCTTCCTTTTCTCTTTCTCCCAAAGTGCAGTACTTCTTAGACGTTCCTATCACTTTATTACTTTTATGTAACCCTGTTGTTGTGATTGAAAAAAAGAAAACTTTTCAAACAGCAGAACTTGTTCTTCATCTCTCCCTGTTGTTGAACACAAGTGGAGATACCCTTGATTTCTCTTTGTCTCATACTCTACCTCTAATCCATCAGTGAGTCTGATTAGCTCATCACCTCTGCTGATGCCATGTCCAAGACACCTTTATCTCACACATCCCTGCCTCTTGTCTGTTCCTCCCCTTACACATATCCACATAATAGCTGAATAATCCTTTTAAAATGTGAAAGATACCTTGATACCCCCACTTAACATTCTTTAATGTTTTTCCATCACATTAGAAAGTTCCTACCATAATCCAAAAGGCCCTATCATTTTCTGTCTTCTGGCTGCCTCTCCCAACATCATTTTCTAACACTTTTTCCTTATTCACTCCATGTCAGTCACACTGTCATTTTTGCTGTTTTTTAAAATAATCCAAGACTTTTCACATGGTGTTCCTTTTACTTAGATTATTATCCCCAGGTATTTACATAGTTCATTTCCTCACCTGACATGGGCAACTCTTTTTCAATGTCACCTCCTAAGAGAAGCCTTCCCTGGCAACCTTACCTAAAGTAGCATCTTCTTATCATTCTCTACCCTATTCCCTATATTTTTCCTCAGAGCCCTTATCGTAACTGATGATTATACATTTGTTATGTATCTGAATTCTCCATTAGAAAGCAATGAAGCAAACAAATCTATGAGGGCAGGGTCTTTGTTTTGTTCTCCAGCGTGTCCTTAGCACCTAGAACTGTGCCTATTATATAGTATATTCTTAATAAACATTTATTGAGTGAACAAAGGATGGAGAAATCTAAGAGTTTCCAAGTTTTATAGTACCTATGACTGTCACAGTTGATCAGTTTTCAGTAAATAAATCTCAGTTACTTTACTGAAAACTAAAAAATTATTTTCTTATACTCATATGTTTGACTGTTTTATTTAGTGCCTACTGTAAGTCTGATATTGTGCTAAAATGAAGCTTATGAAGATGAATCAGATACAACTTACACCTTTAGAGAAGTTAGAAATCTAGACAAATGCTTACCATGAACAGTTAGAAGGTATCAAAAGCCATAAAAAGACTGTGGATGAAAGTGTCCTGAAAGTTCAAAGGAGGGATTTAGTTTCTGATCCAAGAAAGAGGGGGAATGATTAACTTGCCTATGTTTAGGAAAAAAAGAATGCTCTTTTAGCGTCTTTGGTGTTTCATTATGTACCTGTGTAGCATCGCTCATTTATTGCCTTTTCTCTTTTCCAGTTTGTACAACCTGTGCTAATCTGGATACTTTATTTTTTGCCTAGACAGTTATAATAGCCCCCTCTTTGTCTACCCTTGAGTCTCCTCATAGCCAGTCACCTGTTTTTCATATGTTTCCCTACTGTGTGACACTGATCATTTTACTCTCCTTCTCAGAACATTTCTTTGACTTCCTATTCATGATGAAATAAATCAAAGCTCCTTCACAAATCTTTTACTTTAGTTCAATAAAAATACCACTTTCCTCCATGAAACCTTTCCTAATGTTAAGTGTCCCCGGCATGCATCTCTCATTTACTGTGAACTTTGTTCCCATTGTATTTTATAACATTCTTTACTGTTTACCACATTCTGCTGCTTTTTGTTACAGTTAAGGACATATTTTATCTTGCTACTAAAACTGTAATTTCCTTAGAGGGCAGAGCACTGATCTTACTCATCATTGTTATGTGAATATACTCATTTGGGTATTCATTCATTCACCCGTTCCATATTTAAACTGGTCTAGATCCCTCCTCTTGTGGGAATTATATTTTAGTAGGGATTAAACAAATGATAGTAGGGATAGTAGGGTTAAAACAAATAACCAAGTACCTGAACAAGAGAATTTCAGGTATAAGTGTAAGAACATAAAGCAAGGCAACATGACTAAGGGTGTGATTAACATATACTATCTTATCATTTTTAAAAGTTGTATAATAGTTATGATTTAAAAATTGTCGGTTTGGTTATTTTATTCTTTGAAATTGATAGCCTAGTCTCCAAATTTCTATATGTGAGATAGATCACTTTGTTGAAATGATTTTTGGAAAGTCTAAGAATTTCCCTTAGCTTTTTGGAATTACTTTTGACAGTATATATGCTAACTACTATAATGACCTTTTGTTGTAGTCCTGATTCTTTCCTTCTGAAATTTTATTTGATATTTCCTTTATTTTTATGATTTTGTTCACTTTATTTTTTATTTCTTCTCAGAGTGCTAATTTTAGTTTTTTAAATTGTGAGGTTTCATCACAATTGAAGCATACATTAATGTGCTTCTGGTTGTGTGTGATTTTAGCATTAAAGGACTATGTGGAGTATAAAGAGGGAAAACCTCCAGGAGTTTCTGAGAGGAAGTATTTTCTCTAAGGGTTTGTTCTATATTGTTTTCTTACTGCTGTATCGACCTGAGTCTGGTTTTCATCCTACTCAATAGGAGTCAAATGGTAAATTTATTTATGTCATTCTGTTTAAGTGAACTCTTAATGGATAAACTGTTCTTGCTAAGTTTGGTCTTTTGTTTAACTCAGTGTGTGGTATCAGCTGAAAATATAGCTGTTGATTCAGTCTAGCCAAGCACCTGTCAGCCAGCGGAAAATAGCTTCTTGCTCTGAAACACTCAGGAATTCTGGATTAGTGCAGCCAGCTCTGCATTCCAGTAAGTGCAAATGTTTGAGCTGTCTCACTGACACAATCTTTTTCTGTCCTTTTACTGACAGGCTGTGCTGGAGACTATTCGGAACCTGATGAATACTGATTGTGTGGTACCTGACTGGCTGCATGATATCATTTTAGGTTATGGGGACCCAAGTAGCGCACATTATTCAAAAATGCCCAATCAGATTGCCACTCTTGATTTCAATGATACATTTCTCTCCATTGAGCATTTAAAAGCCAGCTTCCCTGGTCATAATGTTAAAGTAACTGTAGAAGACCCTGCTCTACAAATACCCCCTTTCAGGTAAAGTCAGAACTGGGTATGCCCCTCTCCAGCATTCTGTAGTCAATGTGTGTTATGCCATCAGGATTGTTAGCTAAAGTGAGTTTTGAGTACTATGTTTGAATTTTGTTTCAGCAGTCCCTACCTTCACCGTGCAATCACTGGGATAACTTTAATATATTTGAATCTATTTCTTAGGGCACAAGCTGTTTTAAGACCACAATAAAAGTAGCCTAATGCCTAATAAGGGATCAATAAACACTTACTGTCTGCAGAGAACTATATAAATATATTTATAGCATTTGACTAAAATATGTCTTTGCATTTATGCATAGTCTGGTGTGTTTCTCAACTAATACAGCTGTGGGATGTTGAACTTTGTTTTTAGGGAAAAAATCTTTCTTTCTTTTAACTTTGCTTGCTTTCACAAATTTGAAATGTTCACAGTATAGCTGGGCACAATGGCTCATGCATGTAATCCCAGTGACTTGGGAGGCTAAGGCAGGAGGACAGCTTGAGGCTGGGAATTCAAAACCAACCTGGGCAACATAGCGAGACCCCCATCTCTAAAAAAATTTTAAAACGTAGCTGGGCATGGTGGCACACACCTGTAATTTCAGGAACTCAGGAGGCTGAGACAGGAGGATTGCTTGAACCCAGGAGTTTAAGGCTGCATTAAGCTATGATTGTGCCACTGTACTCCAGCCTGGGTGACAGAGGAAGACCTCATCTCTCAATAAATGAAATAAATACTCACAGTAGTCATATTTAATGTTAAATTAGCTCTGGTCTTAAAATTTAAGTGAAAACAGAACAAAGCACCTGAAATAATTGGTTGTTACTCCCTGAATTCCTTCATATAGATACCTATGGGTGGTAGCCCACAGATTACTTTCTTAGCTACAAATTAGAAAACACACAGCTTTCAACTGATTGTTAAATATTTATATATATAAATATATATAAATAATAATGTATATAATCAACCCAAACAGTAAAATATATATATATATATATGTAAATAAAATAATAGGCCAGGTTTGGTGGCTCATGCCTGTAATCCCAACACTTTGGGAGGTGAAGTTGAGAGGATTGCTTGAGGCCAGGAATTCCAGACCACCCTAGGCAACTGAGACCTCATCTCTATATAAAAAAAATGAAAATTAGCAAGATTTGATATGTGCCTGCAGTCCCAGCTACTCAGGAAGCTAAGGTGAGAGGATCACATGAACCCAGGAGTGTGAGGCTGCAGTGAGCTATGATCACACCACTGCACTCTAGCCTGGGTGACAGAGCAAGACTCTATCTCAAAATAATAATAATAATTCTACATGTTAAATACACATATCCTTTATATACCAAACCTAGTCTTCCATACTTTCCTAATCCTATTTCTGGCAAAGACATTTTTCTACTCCGCCATCTTGAAATCTCAGCATTATTTTTGAATCTTTTTACTCCCATAAAACTCCTGCTATATCTCAGAGATTCCGCCTTGGGGATAGTTGTCTGTCTGCCTGTTGCCCAGGCTGGAGTGCAGTGGCGTGCACTTTCTGCTTACTGCAAGCTCTGCCTCCTGGGTTCACGCCATTCTCCTGCCTCAACCTCCCGAGTGGCTGGGACTACAAGGCACCTGCCACCACACCCAGCTAATTTTCTTTTTTTTTGTATTTTTAGTAGAGACAGGGTTTCACCATGTTAGCCAGGATGGTCTTGATCTCCTGACCCCGTGATCCCCCTGCCTCGGCCTCCCAAAGTGCTGGGATCACAAGCATGAGCTAACGCTCCCTGCCAAGGATAGTTTTTTCATGTGCCATTTGTACTGCTCCCTCTTTAGGCCCTCAGCAGTCTTTATGGTAGCAAAATCTTTCCTCCATATCTCACCTCACTAGAATCCATTACATGGTTTACTGCTAGAGCTATTCACTGCCTAGCTAAAAAGCTGATTGCTCCTATTTCTTACCACAATGAGTACTGACCACTTAGCCTCATTGGCTCTTAGCATTCTTTGGTGTTATCTAGTTTTTTAGAATGTGAAAGGCAACTGGAAAAAGTACACATAGAGAATGAATTTTTTAGTTCAATTTTAGGGAGTTCATTGACTTCCCTGAAGTATCTGTGGGGAGTTACCTCCTAACCCCAGGTTATGACCCTCTGCCTTAAAAGCTTCATATTCTAGATGTGTCATTACAAGGTTCCTGTCATAACAAGGCTTCTGTCTCTTCAGCCTTATTTTTCCTCTATGTTCAGGTGAAATACGCTGCTTGTACTTGGCCTCTGCTGTTGCTTCTTTCTTCCAGGAACGTCTTCCTGTCTTTGAATGCCTAAATTCTTTGAGACTCATCTTAGATGCCATCTGTCCCATGAATTTTTTTTCTGATTAAATGAAGGACAATGAATAAAACACTTTACAATGCACGTGACATAGTATTTAATGTTTCTTTAAATTCTCCCTTAAATCTCCATTAACTGGATTACTTTTTTAAATCTGAAAACTCTCAACACTTTAGTGCTTATAACTCTACCATTTTCAGAGTTTACATACAGATAGTGAGTTCCTTTAAGCCAGAAATGTTTCTTACTCCTGTGATTATTGTGCCTACAATGTCATGTACCAGATAGGTACTCAGTAAATCCTTGTTAATTGTAAAAATGAACAAAAGTTTTGGTCTTGTAGGATAACTTTTCCAGTAAGAAGTGGAAAAGGGAAGAAAAGGAAAGATGCGGATGTGGAAGATGAAGACACCGAGGAGGCAAAAACCTTAATTGTTGAGCCCCATGTTATTCCTAATAGGGGTCCTTATCCTTATAATCAACCCAAACGGTAATTTTACTACCTATTCTAATTGTAATAATGATAATAGTTTGCCAATGCAGCTGGATTAGGAATGTTTTTAAATTTTGTTTCTTTTACAACTCCACAAAACTCCTGTTTCTGAACCCCCTTTCTTTCTATTCTATCAGTCAGCTGAATAACTGACATTTTAGGCCATTCTGTAGTCATAATATCTCAAAAAGAAACATTTTCAGGTACTATGACAAATAAATGTTAGAGGGCTACCTTAATTTGAGCAAAGGGTTCTTACTTCATGAGCCTGTGTTACATACAGCAGTAGCCCTAATGCATGTGTTCCATAACTAGTAAGTTGGAATTATATTTAGTATTAGAATGGGAACTAGAACTTTGGCACTCCAAATGAGGTCTGAGATGGGCTAAGTACTGAAAAGTAACTATAATTCCATTTTAATTGTCTGTGTTGGAGGGTAGAGGGGAAGGGAGTCATTCAGAAGAGATTGAGAGAACTGGGGTAAATACAGAGCAGATGTTTAGACCACTGGTCATTGGTGTCTAAATTTGTATTATACTAAGTATCATTTATCTGTACCAACTTTTTATTTACTCTTACTTGCAGTAATACGATTCAGTTCACTCATACACAGATAGAAGCCATCCGTGCTGGAATGCAGCCTGGGCTGACTATGGTAAGATAGTTGTTATACCTGTTTGTTTGTTTGTTTTCTGAGACACAGTTTCGCTCTTGTTGCCCACGCTGGAGTGCAGTGGTGCAGTAGTGCGATCTTAGCTCACTGCACCCTCCACCTCCCAGGTTCGCCTTGTGATTCTCCTGCCTCAGCCTCCCAAGTAGCTGAGATTACAGGCACCCGCCACCAAGCCCAGCTAATTTTTTGTATTTTCAGTAGAGGCAAGGTTTTGCCATGTTGGCCAGTCTTGTCTCGAACTCCTGACCTCAGGTGATCCACCCACCTCGGCCTCCCAAAGTATTGGGATTACAGGCGTGAGCCACCGCACCCAGCCACACCTTTTTTTTTTTTTTTTTTAAACATAGATTAAGACTAGAAGTAAGTAACAGATTTTAGAATGTGTTCTATTTGAAGTACAGCAGCCCCACTGAATTTAAGTGTTTATAAGCAAGTGTAGGTTCTTATGCATTTAGAGATCTTGCTGCTCACTTCAGTGTTCATAGTTTTATTAGAACATGGTTTTTATTTTTAATTGACATAATTGTGCATATTTATGGGGTATGATGTGATGTTTTGATGACTGTATATATTGTGTAATGATCAAATTAGGATAATTAGCAAATATATCATCCATTTGTTTTCTGCATTGCTTATAGCCATTTTTGTGCTGCAATGGCAGAGATAAGTACTTGCAACACAGATTGCTTAGCCTGCAAAGCCGAAAATGCTTCCTCTCTGGCTCTTTACAGAAAAAATCTGCTGACAACTGATTTAGAAGTGTGTTTAATTTTTAAGTATTTGGAGGTTTCCCTGTAATCTTCCAGTTACTGATTTCTGGTCAAAGTCTATTATGGTCAGAGAACATATTGTATGATTTTAATTTTTTGGTTTTTGCTTTTTAAATTTGTTAAAATTTGTTTTATGGCCCAGCATATGATCTCTCTTGGTGACTATTTCATGTGCACTTGAAAATAATGTGTATTCTGTTGTTTTAGAGTGGGTTGTCCTATAAATGTCAATTAGATCCATTTCATTGATGTTATTATTTAATTTTTCTCTATCATTGCTGATTTTCTGTCTGTTTTGTCGATTACTGAAAGCAGACTATTGAAGTCTCTCACTATAATTATGAATTTGTCTGTTTCTCCTTTAGGTCTGTCAATTTTTGCTTAATGTATTTTGAAGCTTCATGGATAAGTGCTTCACACCTTTAAGGCTGTTATGTTGTCATGGTGAATTGGCCCCATTTATTATTATGTAGTGTCTGTCTTCATTGTTGGAAGTTTTCTTGGCTCTGAAGTCTACTTTGTCTGATATTGATATTGTTACTGCAGCTCTCTTTTAAGTTGTGTTTGCACGATATTTCTTTTTTTGTCATTTTACTTCTATTTGTCGTTATATTTGAGGTGAGTTTCTTATAAACAGCATATACTTTAGGTATGTTGCTTTATCCATTCTGAGAGTCTCTGTCTTTTAACTTGGTGTTTAGATTATTCACATTTAGTGCAAATTAATGGACACATTTGGATTTAGGCCTATCATTTTTTATTTATTTTCTATTTGTTCCCTTTATTTTGTATTCTTCTGTTTCCCTTTTCCTGCTTTCCATTGTGTTATTTGAGTATTATGTTTTTATTTATTATATTTGTTTTTTTTCGGTTTTTTTTTTGAGACAGTCTCACTTTGTAGCCCAGGCTGAAGTGTAGTGCCACCATCCTACCTCACTGCAACCTCTGCTTTCTCAGGTTCAAATGATTCTTGTGCCTCAGCCACCTGAGTAGCTGGGATTACAGGTGTGCACCACCACGGCCAGCTGATATTTTTGTATTTTTAGTAGAGAATTGGTTTTCACTATGTTGGCCAGGCTGGTCTTGAACTCCTGGCCTTGAGTGATCTGCCTCTCTCAGCCTCCTAAAGTGCTGAGATTACAGATGTGAGCCACTGCGCCTGGCCTATCATATTCTTTCATTATATTTTTGGGTGTAGTGTTTTCTTAGTGGCTGCTCTAGGAATTTGCAACATACTTAACTTTTCAAAGCCTACTTACAATCAGTATTATGTCACTTCAGGTTGAATGGCAAATACTTACTCCCATAAAGATTCCTTTACCTTCCTTCCCCTTTTATATTGTAGTTGTTTTGTGTGTTACATCTAAATACATTAAGATACCATCAGGTAGTATTAGAATTTTTGGTTTCACCTGTATACGTATTTTAAAGAACTCTAGAGGAAAAAATAGCCTCTTACTATATTTGCCATTTATTCTATATTCCTGATATTCCAAGTTTCCTCTGGTAGCATTTTCTTTCTGTCTGAAGAACTTTTTTTTTTTAAAACCACTTTTTATAACATGTCTACTAGATATGAGTTAGTTTTGTTTTTCTTCATGCAAGAATGTCTCTAATTCATCTTCATAAAAGATATTTCACCTCGACATAGAATTGTGGGTTGATAGTTCTTCCTTTTAGCACTTTAAGTGTTATTACACTTCTTCTGATTTCCATGTTTTCTGATGACAAATCCAAAGTCATTTTAAATATCTTTTTGTTATATATAATGTATCATTTTTCTCTGGTTGCTATGGGGATTCTTTTTCTTTGCTTTTTGGTTTTAACCATTTAATTTTGGTATATCTGAGCTTGGATTTCTTTGGGGTTATTCTCTTGGGGTTCACTGAGCTGCTTGAATCTGTAGATTTATGTCTTTTGCCATATTTAGGAAATTTTCAGCCATGATTTTTCGAAAATTTTGTCTATGCCATACTCTTTTTCCTCTCCTTCTTAGAATTTGTTGACATGAGTGTTAGACTTGTTAATGTTGTTCTATAGATTCTTGGGTCTCTACTTTTTTTCAATCTTTTTTTCTGTTATTCAGGTTGTGTAGCTTACTGATCTATCTCAAAGTTCACCAACTCTTCCTTTATCCTGTTCATTTTGTTATTGGGCCCATCTACTGAATTTGTTAATTTTATCTTTCAGGTCTGTACTTCACATTTTCTAACAATGTGTGATAACTGTGATGACTTAGTAGTTTACTATATGTTCATCTTCTTTTTAGGTTGTGGGCCCACCTGGTACAGGCAAAACAGATGTGGCAGTTCAGATCATATCTAACATCTACCACAATTTCCCAGAACAGAGGACTCTAATTGTTACTCATTCCAATCAGGTAAATGACTCTGTATTTGTGTGTGTGTGTGTGTGTGTGTGTGTGCATGCATGTGTGCATACAGGTTACGGGTTGAGGGGGAGGTAAGGGTGGGACACAATAAGTTCCTCTTCAAGAAATCTAGTTTCTTCATTCTTTGTTCTCCATTTTTCTGAGCCTGGCCTACCTGTTCCCTAACATATTCTGGCATGCCTAAGTCTCAGCCGGTTTGTGGCTCACATTCTCTCCCTTATTTGGGAATGCATTAGCTCCTAGGTCCCACGAGGACCCCCTCGTCTCCCTTGCTTCCCCGTCACACGGTGACCATATTTAGAAAAGCTTAAGTTTTAGCCAATCAGGGTAGTTTAGATTGTGCAGTCTTACTCCAGCCAATGGGGAAAGGACACAGATATAGGGGTTGCGTTAGGAATAAAAACCCTTCTCTCCTTTGTTCGGTGTGCTCTTGTGAATGTGACTGATGCAGGTAGCACCCACCTGCAGAAGTAAATTGCCTTGCTGAGAAAACTTTTTGTCTGAGTGCTGGTTCTTCCTTGCGGTATTGAGCACTTGTTCCTAACAAGGAAGGAGCAGGGGATTCATGAAATGAATGTATTAATAGATGATTTCTCCTTGTATGAAAATCTGATCATGGGTACTACAGAATACCGGTAAAGGCTAATTGGTACAGATGGTTCCTGACTTTTGGTTCGACTTTTATTCTGACCTATAATATTTTGACTTTATGGTGGTATGAAAGCAATATGAATTCAGCAGAAATTGTACTTCAGGTACCCATACAACCATTCTGTTTGTCATTCTTATTTCACTATTTAATATATTATATGAGATAGTCAACATTTCAGTATAAAATAGGCACACTGTGTTAGATGATTTTGCCCAGGTATAGGCTAATATATGTGTTCTGAGTATGTTTTACATAGGCTAGGCTAAGCTGTGGTGTTCAGTAGGTTAGGTGTGTTAAATGTATTTTCAACTTAGGAGATTTTCAACTTTTGATAGGTTTATTGGAATGTAACCCCATTGTAAGTTGAGGAGTATCTGCTTTTGAGCTACTCATGGATTATCACTGCTTATAATGAGACAACACTGAGAGATATATAAAAACAATCTTTTATTTCTACTGGAGAGGGTCGTTAACATGAAAAAGCTAAGACTATATTTGGATATATGGTTAGATATTTGGATTAAATTAAATTGCCATTTTTTCCTTTCTTCTACACTAAACTAGAACTTTTACTTTGAGATTATAAGCATTAACTCTTATTGGGAGCATTTTTCTTCATTTAGTAGAATGAATATTCCTGAAAGACTAAGGTCTAAAGTGCATTGATACTGGATTAAATTTCAAATTCATGTGAAATGTACACCTGTATTACATGAAGGGACTGTATTCTACGTTAGTCATTCTCAAGCTGTCAGAAATGAGGGAAGAACAAGTAACATTTATTAGATCTGGTATAAAATGAGACAGGCAACTCTGAGAACATCCTGAAGCACATTATGAAATTTGCATGGTAGTCAAAACCTCTGAAAATTTTTTCTCGGAGTTTATGTTAACAGTGGTGACTTCAGTTGACCAGTCTTAGAAAGAATTGGTATACACAGAAGCATTCCGAAAACAAGTGTTATTGGAATGCCAAATATCAGTTATTCTGGTGATCATTAACTTTTAATTTATAAGGTTTTAAAAATAATACTATTCAGTTCATTTGCCTGACATTTTTATATATTTTGAAGTTTATAAGTACTAAACTTATCCAATATACTGAATATATGTTATACATAATTATATAACATATTAATAATATATTGGACATAACACATCCAATATACCGAATTTGTGGGAGTTGAAGGGGGATCAATTTGGACTTTGTCTTGATAAAAGAAATTATGAAAAGAAGTTTTTTTTCTTCTGTTTATAAAATTTGTTCTGTAATATGCCTATTGTAAATTCTTAGAATGAACAAAGAATAATTCATGTGTTGTTTTAACATATTTTTTACTGTTTTGTCATACCTTGATACGGCTTTCTACAGTTATCCTCTACTTTATGATTGATTTGTATAGCACAGTCATTGAAAAGATTAATTTGCAAAAATAGACACATAATTCTCTGCTTGCTAAACACCTGCCTTGGTTTTTTGAAATTCAAATCATTTCCCTTGATGCCCATCAAATTGATTGTTTTCCTTCAGTTAACTGTTTTGTGTGCCAGATCTTCATTTGCATGTATAATTCAAGTAGTTTTCCAAAATCACTCTAATTCACAATGAAATCATGTCGTTTTTTTGGGATAATAGTGTGCAAGTTTGTGGGGTTTTTGTTTTTTGTTTTTTTGTTTTTACTTTTACTCTAAATCTGTGTGGTTCTTGAGTTTGAATAGTGAAGGTTTGGATAGTGAGTAACACCATGTAATCTGCTCTGTTGGGTGCTGAGTTTTGGATGATGAGTATCAAGAGTTTGGATAGTGGGGGATTTTTCTGAAAAGTTAGTTAAATCTCTTCAGTTTCAGAGCTCAGATTGCTGGAATTTTGATGGTAAAGGATATCTGTATCTACATTATATAACCTAGGTGTTTATAAGACTGGATGTTGACTTCACAGGCAGGGTTGGACTAGTGATAAGTGAGGAGAGAGATTTGAATGGCGGCTCATTTTTAAATAATACCTTAATTAGTGAATCTTTCCATACTATGAAACTTTTGCCTTTCTGTAAAACCTTGTAACTGCAGAAGTTCAGATAATGAATACTAGGATTTGAGGGAACCCTAATTATGAACATTTCATAGATAGAAAGTAGTGACTTTTAAATGACTTTCATAAATAGTTTGCAATGAATGAGTGCTCTGCTCTTTATTATATTGAGAACATTAGACTTTCAGACTAAGATTTGAAAAAGATGCAATTTACGTTTCCACCTTCTGGTCCTCTTAAATGTATTCTACCTACGCACTCACTGCCTTCTTACTGTCTTTCTCCAACTGCAAAAACTTTTTCAGTTCTCTGCAATCCAAGGAAATGCTGTTGAATGAAATGAAGCTCAGTGTGGTTGTTTATTTTAGGAATTGTTACAACTTAGAAGAAATAGCATCTGAGTCAATGCCTTTCTTGTTTTGTAAATTAAAAGCAGATGTTTAATGGGTGGGTGGTTTTATGTTTTCTAGTTATCCATACAGCCAAATAGACATAGATGGCAATATCAGAAATCAATATAAATATTATTTGATTAAATTATAAATGGCCTAATATAAGGCGGATTTCCTTCTGTGTTTCCACTTTGATTCTTTCTAAATGCTAGTTTTTGCTGCGTTTAAAGGTGTCATCACCCTTCTTGCTTTATTCTCTAGGCTCTTAACCAGTTGTTTGAGAAAATCATGGCATTAGACATCGATGAGCGTCACCTACTGCGTCTTGGTCATGGAGAAGAAGAGCTGGAGACAGAGAAAGATTTCAGCAGGTGGGCAAATGGGAGTGTAAAAAAGGATTTTTTATTTTCCTTTTATTTCTTTTATTATATTAAAGAAGAAGAGAGCAATGAATACTCAAACTTAATTCTAAAAGGTTCTAATGTAACTTACTAAGACTGTATGTTGACCTAGAAATCTGGTCATGATGTCCCTCAGTTCCAATTGTATATGTTTATGCCATTTTGTCTTCAAACATATAATTATATTAATGAAGAGAATGATCTTGTTAATCTTTTTAAAATTACAGATTGCCTTTTGCTTTCTATTTATTGAGGTAATTTTTAACGTTACCAATTCAAACCTGTACAACTTTAAATGGTTCCTTTCTCACATCTTATTCAGGTATTTAATTTGCATATATTTTAGATGCCAGTTAAGAGGTTGATTTATTTATTGAAATAGAAATTACCAGAGGCTGACGCAGGCGAATAGCTGGAGCCCGGCAGGCAGAGGTTGCCGTGAGCCGAGATTGCGCTGTTGCACTCCAGCCTGGCGACAGAGCGAGAGCGAGACTCTGTCTCAAAAAAAAGAAAAAGAAATGCAAATTAATGATTAATGATAACATAAGATTTGGGGTTATAAGTATAACTTCAGATACTTATTGCCAGTTTGGCTGGACTTTATGTTTGATATTACATACTGTAAATTGACTAAAACTTTACAAGTCGGGTTTCTTCTGCCATTAGTATTTTAATTTTTTCCCTTCAAAGTTGTTTTATAATGTCTCAATTTGTTTATATTTAAGTCAAGTTTTAAAGCCCAATTTTAGATAATCACAATTAACAGCTGGACTTATTTAATGTGGCCTTTGGCTGTTAAACATGATCTTTGACAAATCGATCATAGACATTAAAAGAGTTTTAAATTATTATGTGCATCTATTTTGAGTTCTTGTGTTATAGAGCTTACCAAACACTTAGCTTCTAAAAAGTCACTATGTCGCAGAGGGCAAAGAACAACATGTCGTAGGTTATTTAGGGCTCTATATTCTTATTTTCAGATTATCCAGTAATACTTTTGAATTAATCCCATAAGCATTTCATCATTTTAAAGCCAACTTACAAAGGTAGGTTAGATTCTAAAATCTAATAATTCAGAATTCAGTGAACATGACGGTGCTAATAGAATGTTTGACTATAATTACAATTATATTGAAGTAGAATTTATAGTTTTTAAAGAATATTAGAATGGGGTAGAATTTTTACGATGATTTCAGGTACCACCAAATTTGTTAGAAGAAAATATACTTTTTTCTTCTGACACATAACCTAGGTATTGCTAGTTTGCATATTTGATTGGACATATTCTTTCTTTCTTACAATTAAAAAGAAAAATCATAACTGTTGTTTCACAATAAAAGTAATATCACTTTCTCTGAAGAAAAAATTGTAAAATCTGGTGAAGTTGTAGAGAAGGAGTGGTTATCCATAGTTATACTATCCTAAAACAACTTTTTGCTAGTCTTTTTCTGTAATACTGTTATTTGTAATTTTTATGTTGCTTTTTTTTTTTTTTGAGACGGAGTTTCACTTTGTTGCCCAGACTGGAGTGCAGTGGCACCGTCTCAGCTCACTGCAACCTCTGCTTCCTGGGTTCAAGCAGTTCTTCTGCCTCAGCCTCCTGAGTAGCTGGGATTACAGGTACCCGCCACCACGCCCGGCTGATTTTTTTGTATTTTGGTAGAGATGAGGTTTCACCATGCTGCCCAGGCTGGTCTTGAACTCCTGAGCTCAGGCAATCCATCCGTCTTGGCCTCCCAAAGTGCTAGGATGATAGGTGTGTGCCACTGTGCCCAGCCTTATGTTGCTTTTTAAAAATAATTAAGTCTTTATCTTTCAAGTGTAATAATGTACTAATTGAGCAGACAGTACATAGAGTTTAATTGTACTGTATATTGCTTTTATGTATTTATTTATTTTATTTTTTCTGAGACAGAGTCTCACTCTGTCACCCAGGCTGGAGTGTAGTGGTGTGATCTCAGTTCACTGTAACCTCTGCCTCCTGGGTTCAAGGGATTCTTGTGCCCCAGCCTCCCAAGTAGCTGGGATTACAGGCGCCTACCACCACAACCGACTAGTTTTTGTATTTTTAGTAGAGACGGGTTTTTGCCATGTTGGCCAGGGTAGTCTTGAACTCCTGACCTCAAGTGATCTGCCTGCCTCGGCCTCCCAAAGTGCTGGGATTACAGGCGTGAGCCACTGTGCCCGGGCCTGTCTATTGCTTTTTAAGTTTAACATTACTTCACAAGAATTTTGGCATTTTATTAAGAGAGTCTATAAGCATTCCTGATTTTTTTGTCATTAACAAAGTGTTCATTGTAGATAAAAGTTTAAACTACACATAAGCAAACAGAAAAAAGTTTTATCTACCATAATGTTTATATCCTTCCAAGTTGAAAAATTCTTCAAAACATAGATCATGTTTTAGAACTCTTTTTTATTCTTAATCATCCCTTGCTACCTCAAATGTGAATCTCTGAACTACATACAGCTAGGAACATGACTTCTTTTGTTGAGTCTTTAAACTTGGGAAAAACAGTGACTGATTAAATTCGTTTAGTCTTATTTTAAGCACTAAAGGGTTATAGGAGACCCTTTGTTGTTGTGTTGTTGTGAAAAGAATGTGCATAGAATTTGGGATCTAATTCTGGTTCCACTACTTTCTTCCCTAACTGTGTGTTTTTGGATGAGGTGCTCTCCAAACTTCAGTTTTCTTACTCATTCAGCAAACATTATGAACCTGCTAGGTTTGGGTGCCAAGCTATGTATTGGGATATGTAGATGACAGAGATAATCAAATACATTTAAAATTACTTTTCAAAGCCTTTAGATCTAATCTACTATTATATAGTGTAAAACAGTGCTGTTTGAAGCAGCCAGTTTATGAACTTATATGTTATTGGTCTGTGATGAAATAAACTAGCACCAGATGAACCGTCCTGCTTTCTTTGTGAAAGTGTCTTATTGTGAGAAGAAACATGGAGAGCTGAACTAAATGGTGTATTTAGTGATGTAATTGGTTTTCCCTCCTCCTAGACCAGAAACACCCTTGCAGATCAATGCTGGTCCATAGAGTATACTCCAAGTAGTTTTTTTGTTTGTTTGTTTTTTGTTTTTTTTTGAGACACCGTCTTGCTCTGTCGCCCAGGATGGAGTGCAGTGGCACAGTCTCAGCTCACTGCAAGCTCTACCTCCCTGGATCATGCCATTCTTCTGTCTCAACCTCCCAAGTAGCTGGGACTACAGGCGTGTGCCACCACACCCGGCTGATTTTTTTGTATTTTTAGTAGAGACAGGGTTTCACCGTATTAGCCATGATGGTCTCGATCTCCTGACCTCATGATCCGCCCGCCTCGGCCTCCCAAAGTGCTGGGATTACAGGCATGAGCCACCGTGCCCGGCCTACTCTAAGTAGCTTTTAGAGTAAAGTAACCCGAGAACTACCATCAGTAGTTGAATAGAAGCCATATCTTCTATTTTTTTCTCCCCTTTTTTGCTATTATGATTTTCTTGAATTTTGCTGATTGTTTCCTTCAAAGTCTCTTTATTACAGTTTTGCCATTTTACCTAATTGAAATGTCTAGGTATGGAAGAGTTAATTATGTTCTGGCTCGAAGAATAGAACTTTTAGAAGAAGTCAAACGATTGCAAAAGAGTCTAGGGGTTCCAGGAGATGCCTCATATACCTGTGAAACTGCAGGCTATTTCTTCTTATACCAGGTAAGATATTAAGGGTTTTTGAATCATACTTCATCATAATATGAACCCCAATTGGAAGCTGGAATGAGTTCTTGTGATCCTTCATGAAAGCTTATTTTTTTGAGTAGATTAGAATATATGGTATTGCAAAAGCTTTATTTATGAATGTTAAGTGTATTTTGTATTATCTTCCATTTTCTTTGCTAAATAACTTTGCTTGATGACTCATTCTGTGAAAGACCAGTGTTGCTAATTTTTACATTTTTTTCTTTCTGTTGACAAAGTTCTGGTTACTCTTTTTTCTTTTTTTACTATAGAAATACAACTAAATAAATATTCTAGCTACCCAGTGGCAACAAAGTATAATTAACTTTTATTGTATACATTAATCAACTAATGAAGGAAAACATTCTTCTTTCAAATTTCCAGAAATAAATTATGTCTTACAACTAATTGCACAGTGGGTCTTGAAGTTAAAGGCTTCTGACCTCAAAAAAAAGGTGTACTTTTACTTTTGTTAGAGTTAATTTTGGAAGCATGCAAACCAATGAGAAATAGCCAAATAAAGTGAATAAAACTAAACTTTAATAGTCGATTAGATTACTAATAATTTTAAATGGACTAGGACATAATTGGATAATGAAGATTTTTGTATAACTATTTGTTCTCTTTGTTTTAATGCCAATTATATATTTTAGATATAAATTATAATATTGTAAGCTTATTGTAAGTGGATATCACAAAGCAGTTAAGTCCATTCAAAATGAGTAACTTTCATGGTTTCTTGTGACTCAGGGAAAATACATAATACAGCCTACATGAGATTCAAGACTGTTTAGGATTTGCATAAAGTAGTAAAGATCATGTTTAAATGCTTTTTTGACACAGAAAATTACTTGGCTTTCAGTGAAAACAATGTTTAAAAGTGGGAAAAATAACCTATAAATTATGAAGGTTTATATAATAAATTTGGGAAAAATGAACTTGAGGCTTCACAGTGTAAATTGGCAATTTTCAACATTTAAGAATCATATCAGGAAAGTTGTTCATGAGTTAAATTCCCTAGCCCTTGTTCCTATAGCTTCTCATTCAATAGAGGTGGAATCCAGGAATCCACATTTTTATTTAGCTCCTCAGATGTTTTGCCTAAGGACTACACTTTTGTGAAATACTGAAATTATAACAGAAAAATACCTGGGAGAGTTACAGAAATTGAGGTTACACAGTAAATGGCTGGTTGAGGCATAGCTAACATTATACAAAGTAATTGAACTATAATCACAAAAGTCATAAGCTTTCAAATATGCACTCAGCTTAACCACACGTTCTTTATAAATGTTCTAAAAATCTGGGAGAAGGGTTGACAAGTGCCAAATTGATTAAAAAGCTGCTAAAACTGAACTTACCATATATGGAGAGAAACAGAGATGAAAAAAATGAGAAATTTCTTTATCCAGAGAGCTTTCTTTCCTTTACATTTCTTTTAAGTATTAGTAGTAAACTATCTTGAGTTACATGGAGAATCTGAACTGTCTGAGTTAGAGTTCCATATGATGACGTTGAGGCTCTTTCCAGTTTGTAGAAATTTGTTATTAAGGAGCCTTTTTTTCTCCAAAGACAAGGTTACTTTTACAACAGAAGAGCAATCTGTCAGTCACAGGAATGAAGAATACTTACATTGGATCAAAAACTGAGTTTCTTTTTTTTTTTTTTTTTTCCATGTAGCAGATCTTGTTTTTATAAGGTTTATTTATTTTATGCTTTAAAACATCATAATTAGGTGGCAGTTAACCTCAAGTCCTTTTTTCTACAGGTAATGTCTCGTTGGGAAGAGTATATCAGCAAAGTGAAAAATAAAGGTAGTACATTGCCAGATGTTACAGAAGTCTCCACTTTCTTCCCTTTCCATGAATACTTTGCAAATGCTCCTCAACCTATTTTTAAAGGAAGATCTTACGAAGAAGACATGGAAATTGCCGAAGGATGTTTCAGGCATATTAAGAAAATCTTTACTCAGCTTGAGGTAAGGATTCTCTAGTTCTTTGAACTATAATGGTTTTTAATTTTTTTTTTTTTTAAGTAAATGTGAAATATTCAAAACTTTTTTTTTTTTTTTTTGAGACGGAATCTTGTCCTGTTGCCCAGGCTGGAGTGCAGTGGCACGAGCTTGACTCACTGCAACCTCCACCTTCCAGGTTCAGGTGATTCTTCTGCCTCAGCCTCCTGAGCAGCTGGGATTACAGGTGTACACCACCTTGCCCAGCTAATTTTTGTGTTTTTAGTAGAGACAGGGTTTCACCATGTTGGCCAGTCTGTTCTCGAACTCCTGACCTCAAGTTACCTGCTTGCCTCTGCCTCCCAAAGTACTGGGATTACAGGTGTGAGCCACCACACCCGGCCTGAAATATTCAAATCTTAGAAATTAGATTGTTAATTTTAAGTAAGATATAAATTGGATCTTTATTCTGGCTTTCCTGATGTAAAGGTCTTAGTATTTTTGAGAAAGGAATGCTTCCATCAAGAAATTCAATAATGCTTCTTTGAATTGGAATTTGAGACTGCCATGTGGCTATTCTAAGTCCTGTATGCCTCTTGATCAGTAAGATGGTGGGGTTGCTGTAGTAACCAGGATGATTGATTCTGATTATTAAAGTGAAATGAGTCATAGCTACACAATGGGAACAGAGAGTATATCTGGAACCCAGCACCCCCTGGATATGTCTCCTAGTTTTTGCCACATCACTGCAGAATCATCATTGCAAAAATAGATAGCAAACATCATTGAAAAACTACAGCGGTCCTATAAAGGGATCACATTCAGGCTCAGATTCCTCAGTAAGAAAATTTAGGATTAAATTTTCAGGTAGAAAGGTAGAAAAATCAGGGACATTGTTTCTTGTCTTTGTGTCTTTTAGATGTGATTATATACCCACTTCCTAGAACTGTATCAGGCACGTAGTATACGTTCAGTAAATATTGAAATGTATATGGTTAGGTAGCTGGATGGTAAGTACAGAATAATAAATGTATTATGTTTATGGTTAGATAAACACAAAGTGAAAGGATAAAAACATACTCAATTCATAATAATAGCTGCGTTGGGAGGGAGTAGGCAGAAGGTTATACAGGGTACCTCACCTATATTTGTAATATTTTAATTATTTAAAAAACAAAACAAATGTTAAAAAAAAAAGTTTGAAAGAAGTATTGGTAAGGCTCAGATTTTATGAAACTTGACATTGGGTACTCTGGTTTGACTTGTTTGCCCCTCATATCCATCTATTGTCCATACCCTTTTCTGCTCTGTTGGGGATCCTCTGCCATGGTTGATGTTCTGACTTACCCTTGCAGGTTTAATTTCCCAGCTTCCTATGTCAGCTGACTTCTTGCTTAGTATAGCCAATGAGAGAGTGCCAAGGTATTTCTTCATCATTTCCCTCTACCTTGGGTTCCACTTCTTTCATGACTCCAGTTTCTCCTGGAAAAACTTGGGGTTCCAGCTTTTTTGTGTGACTACAGTCCCTGGGCTCTGATAATACCACTTCCTACCTTTATTCTTTCTAGTCTAGGGATAATGGTGACTGCTGCTGTCTGTAATTTCTAAGTTACATTACCTTTATAGTTCCTCTATCACTTGTATAACCAGTTTCTTGCTAAAATTTCCTTTGATATGAGTACTTGAAATTGTTTCTATTTTCCTGGAGGGACGTTGAGTGATACAGGTACAAGGATCATTGAATTTTATTCAGTATTCTTGTTTATGTTGTACATATTTTACCTTACATACAAAAAAGTTTGAATTATAACTTTTATTTCAGCTACTATTTGAACTCAATTAGTACCCAAATCATAATGAACAGAATTATAATTCATTAGGCTTAGTTTATAATATATGTATGTTAATTTCTCAGGAATTAAGTCTGATTGGATTGTATAGTTATGTGCAAAACTCCATTTTCCTGAAATTATCTTTCATTGCTCCTCATTTCCATAGGAATTCAGAGCCTCTGAATTGCTTCGAAGTGGACTGGACAGATCTAAATACCTTCTAGTGAAAGAAGCCAAAATTATTGCTATGACCTGTACTCATGCTGCCTTAAAACGACATGACTTGGTCAAGTTAGGTTTCAAGGTAAAGACTTATGTTATTTTTTTTTTTTTTAAAGATTATCAGAGATTGGCTCACTTCTTATTGAAGTTTGTATTTATAATTACCTTAAAATGTTTCTGTTACAAGTGAATGATAATATCCCATGTTTACATGATTAGTGAACTCTGAATCTAATTTTTCTAAATCTAGTTATTAGTAATTTGTCCATTAGGTAACATTATAACGATATGGTTGTCTGACCAAATTCTCATACTTGTTAAGGTTTTATTTTTACTGAATATCACTTATTTAAAAATCTCCAAATAAAGCTTATGGAAAAAAACCTAAAATTCACCTAATTACAAAAATAGTAATAACAAAAATATCTCCAAACAGAAATAAAAGCTATAAAAAGAACATTTCAAAATGGTTTTCAGGCAGGTGTGGTGGCTCACGCCTGTAATCCCAGCACTTTGGGAGGCCAAGGTAGGCAGATCACTTGAGGTCAGGAGTTTGAGACCAGCCTGGCCAGTATGGTGAAACCCTGTCTCTATTAAAAATACAAAAATTTAGCCGAGCATGGTGGTATGTGCCTGTAATCCTCGGGAGGCTGAGGCAAGACAATCGCTTGAACCCAGGATGCAGAGGTTGCAGTGAGCCGAGATTGCGCCCCTGCACTCCAGCCTGGATGACAGAGTGAGAATCCATCTCAAAACAAAAACAAACAAACAAAAACCAAAGTGGTTTTCATCTATTAAACATCTGTATGCTTAGATTATTCACATGTTAAACATACAACCATTCCAGTTATTTGTGTACTTAGCAAATGAAAAGCCTTTCATATGAGGATATGGAATACTCTTATTTAGACTGCAAAATAAGATATTAATTAAAAACAGGAGGAGGACATGATAGCCTGTTAATCTGTGACTCATTTGAAGTGGAATGTAATGATTGAGCAGTAAATTTGAATTTGCAAATTTTTTGACTTTGCTAGTGATACTGATCAGAACTTAGATTTTAATACAGTCATTTAACTTTCCTGCAACTGGTTTATATGTTGTTTAAAACAGAGTTCTGTATATGGGCTTGAAGTAAAAATTAGTAATTCATTTGCTGATTAAAGTAACTGACAATTTTTAAATGTTGTGAGCTCACTGAAAGATAAATAAATTCAAGGTGATGAAATTGTTATCTTGGACGCAAGGTTCCTCAGCTGCAAGGTGGGACAAATACAACAATTTATTAAAAAGTAGTGTGAACATACCCTAGTGATGTGAACTTACCCTTTTGCAAATTATTAGTGAGAATTTTTAACCTGAATATTTTGTTCTTGGAGCTGATATATAACATATACTTTGATATTAAATCATAGCTTAATAACAAGGGAAAATAATGCAACCATAATTAACATTTTTTTTGCTTTCATGGAGCTTTTGCATGTGTTCTAAAAAAGTACTACTTATCAAATTTTCAGTAGTCATTTTCTACATTTAAATCATGCTACACATCAAAGGATAGTTAGCATGAGTGCTAATAGGTTTTCTATATTTTTGATTTCAAAGTTTTATTTTTATCACACTTAAGAGTTTTAAAAACCTTGTAGGTCTGCTTAACAAAAAAAGGCAGTCCCCCACTCCGCTCATCCGTCCCATTTATCCATTCCTTCAACTCTGTATTTTATCCTTTTCATCTGTATCAGTCAAGAATGGTAAATTTCCATTTTAGGCATTGTCTTTTGATTCTGTGCTGACCCAAAGGACAAATAGATACACATTCATGCACGTGTGCATGTACCTTTCCTTCCTTAATGCTTCCGATATAGTTATGTCATAACTTTGGTTTGCTCACTTTTGGGTGTTTACATCATTATTAACACATGAACACTTTCACATCCAAGCAGGGGAATATACCATGATTAGTTTTCCTTTCATGCATGTTTTTTTTTCTTTCTGGAATTAATGATTGTAGTCTTTTTTGTTTGTTTAGTTTTCTGTTTTTACCACCAGTTCAACCCAAAACTGTGTTGAGTTTTTAAATATTTTCTTAGTACATTTAGACACATCACATACATGTTTTTGGAGATCTCTCACCTAGATACTCCTGACCTATTTCAGTTCACATTGCGTCCATTCTAAGCCTTTGCCTTTCTCATATGTCAGATTCTGTTTTGGGCATTCTGTGTCTTTCCCTTCTTTTAGTAGAATACATCCTCCAGTATCTTTCATGTGAAATAATATATAGGAGGCCATATTTTTAAGACTTTCCATGTCCAAAAACTGTTTTAAATCTACTCTCACATTTAATTATTATGGCTAGATACAGATTTCTAGATTGGAAATACTTTTCCTTCAGAATTTTGAAGAATTGTTCCATTTTCTCTGTCTTCCAGTGTAGCTGTTCAGAAGCCCAAAGCTATGATTTTAAATGTATTTTGTTTCACATTTTTGTTCTGTCAGGAAGCCCTACAATCTTTTCTTTGTCCCTAGAGTTCTGAAATTTCAGTGGTATGTCTTAGGGATACAAAGGGAGAAGAAGGACTCTTACTTTCCTGGATCCCTGGGTTGTGGGAGATGGATGGAGAAAGAGAGCCAGACTTCTCCACATTCTGTTATGTACACAGACTTTTGACATAATTCCAACTTTCTGTATGGTGCTCATTTCTGATCCCACCCTCTTAACTCTGCCTCCTTTCTCCAAGTTCCAGGATCCTCTCCAGACATTAAATCTGTCATCTATTGGAGGTGAGAGAGGAGGGACATTTATTTGGTTCCTTGAAGTGGTGAAGTCTAATTGCCTCTTTAAACCATTCCTATTGTTACCAAGCAAAAGGGGTTTGCTGATTGGTGCACTAGAAGCCAATACTCTAACACCAGGTTTTTGAGGGGAAAAAAAGCTTCTTATTGCAAGTTGACTCATGAGAAGAACATAGTCAAGCTCAAATCTATGTCCCCATACTGACTTTAAGGCAGTAATTTTATTAGAAAAGGTATATGGGGTGGATTCTGGGATTAGTAAGTGACTGGTGGAAGGAAGGAAAGCATGCACAGTTTTCTCTTCATGCTACCTCTTGGATTGCTGTGTAGGTTCTGGAGGAGTTAATATGAAACATGGTAGCAATTTGGGTTGTGATGTAAGCAAGCTCATTCTGTGCTAACTCTAGTTGGCTATATTGGTTCCAGCCAGTTTCAGCCAGTTTTATTATCTTAGAAGCAAAGGAAGTTTCAGCTTTGCAGCAAGGTGTTTCTTTTCTTATCCTGTGAACTCAGGAATTTCTCTTAGTTGCTGGTTTCTTTAACTCTTTGGGATGCAATTTCACTATATGATGTCAAGTATTATTTTAGGGGGTTTCCAGAGATAGTGGTGATCATTAAGTGTTCAGTTCATCACCTTGTAACAGAAGTCTATCACTTGTTTCAAATTGTATTTTGTTGAAGCCTTTTTTTTTTTTTTTTTTTTTTTTTTTGAGAGGGAGCCTTGCTCTGTTGCCCAGGCTAGAGTGCAATGGAGTAATCTCGGCTCACTGCAAGCTCCACCTCCCGAATTCAAGCGATTCTTCTGCCTCAGCCTCCCAAGTAGCTGGGATTACAGGCACCCGCCACCAGGCCCAGCCAATTTTTGTATTTTTAGTAGAGACAGGGTTTCACCATGTTGGCCAGGCTGATTTCAAACTCCTGACCTCAAGTGATCCACCTGCCTCAGCCTCCCAAAATGCTGGGATTACAGGCGTGAGCCACCACGCCCAGCCCCAATCTTTTACAAACATGAAGTTAAATATTAGTTCTAATTTGCTTGTCTGTTTTCAGGGATTGTTGATTCAATGTTGATCATCTTAAACCCATTTTGAGTTCTAGAAATTGTAGAAGGAAATTTGTCAGAATAACAAAAACAAACAATGATAGTAACCATCATTTGTTGAGCGTCAGCTATATACCAAGTTCTGTGTTTACAGTGCACGAAGTTCTATGCTTACAATGATTTATTTCTCTTCTTCACAACTAGATCTTTATATGAGCACTCTCCTTTTTTTTTTTTTTGAGACAGAGTCTCATTCTTTTGCCCAGGCTGGAGTGCAGTGGCGTGATCTCGGCTCACTGCAACCTCTGCCTCTTGCGTTCAAGCACTTCTAGTGCCTCAGCCTCCCAAGTAGCTGAGATTACAGGCACGTGCCACCACACTCAACCAACTTACTGTATTTTTAGTAGAGACGGGGTTTCACCATGTTGGCCAGGCTGGTCTCGAACTTCTGAGCTCAAGGGATCCACCTGCCTCGGCCTCCCAGAGTTCTGGGATTACAGCTGTGAGCCACCACACCCAACCAAGATACCTCCATTTTATGGTTGAGAAAGGGTGACTCAAGAGAGAGATTACCTTAGAGTCACAGGTAATCACTTACAGAGCTAGTATTAAAAGGTGGTTTTCTAAGAATTTAAAGTCTGTTGTGCCCTTACTCTTACACCACCCTGACCCTATCCTAGCAGCTATAATCCACTAAAGAACCGTAGAACTGTGGTAACGGTGGCTGTAGAATTTAGGAATCCTTTGAAAGGTCACAAAGACCAGCTCCTAGCCTGGTCCCTGGCCTGGAGCATCAGGTGCCAACCCAACATGTAATATGTTAGTAGAGATTAGTAAGAGTTGAATGAATGATCTGACTAATAAATACATGGAACAAGTAACTAAAGTGGTGATAATTTTGCTTTGGAATTAAAATCTCCCTTTTAAAAAGCAAAATCTATAAATATTTTTATAAGTAAAATTGCATTATATTTTCAGAATTGATTTTCGGAAAGCAGTCTTTTTAAGCTCTCTCCTTTTGAGTTGCCCCCACTCTGTTTGCGTATTATACCTGTTATCCTGAGAGTCTGCACAGGGGCTTCTTAGACAATGTGGGTGTTTGAATTCCTCCTTCTGTTCAACTCCCGCAAAAATGACCTAATCATTTTAAGAGGGAAATCTGGCATTATTATAGAGCTAGAGAAAAGACCATCCACATGCCTACACCTTCGAGTAGTTTCAATAACAGTCCAGAATTGAACCATAACTTTAAAACAGGAGAATTAAACATTCAGAGTAAATATGCTCTCCCCATCTCCCACCTCTCTGGAAAATAAAATAATGGGAGCAATCTTTAAAAACAAAGCAACAGAACTCTAATGTATACTTAGATTCAAGAAGAAGGTATTGTACTAAAACAAGAAGATGTCATACTAAGTAGCGATCAGAATTAGAAGTGAAGAGGAAAGATGAAACATGTTGAGAATAGATGTAAATGAGAATTGGACAGATAGAAGAGTAGTAATTGTCAAAGAAAGAATGAAATTTTCTCATGTTTGAGAAAGACTTGATTTTTCATTCTTTTACAGATGTGTAATACCTAACATTACTGGGAACTGGGCTAGGGAAAAGATACAGATATTAAACAAGTAAATATACAGATAGAATTATGAATGTGAAGATCTGAAAAACAAAAGAACAGTACTTTGGTACTTTGAGATCAGTTTTAGATTGGGAGGTCAGAGAAGGCCTAGATAAAGTGGCTTTTAAGCTGATATTTTAAGGATGAGAAAGAACCAACTAGACTAAAAGTGAAGAGAATAGCATGTGCAAAGGGCCTGAGGCAGGAAAGGTTTTGCCATTTCAGACAAACTGAAATAGGCCGTTGTGGTTGAAGCTTAGTGAGTAAGGAGAAAGATAAAGTACAAAAGGAAGTCAGGGACTAGATTGAATATCAGTTCTTGGTAAATACATCCTTGCTGGCAATGTTAAGAGATTTTTTTCCCCTAAAACAGTAGTGTGAAGGATTTGAAATAAGGAGCTGTGGAAGTGCCTTGGAGGAGTCAAGACAGGAAAAGGAGGAACTAGTAAGGAGTTTGCTATCTGTAGTCATAGTGGTAGCTTGGATTTTTAGAGTGGTAGTGCTGGTAGAAATAAAGAAAAATGAATAGACTCAAGAGTTTCAAAGGTAAAATTGACATGCTGTGGTGATGGATTAAATGCCCAAGGGTGAGACTGAAGTGGATTGTTGTGATGGGTAGGATTCATATAGGAAAAAAATTATCCCAAAATACTCCCTAGAGGAAGAGTACCAAGGGGAGCGACCTCATATATAATTATAAATTGATTCTTTCTGATGTAGAAATAAATAACTTAATTGAAAAGAACCAAATTGGCATTGCAATTCAAGAAATGATATACAAGATCTCTTCAATGTAAAGTTGTGTATTTAGGGGGCTTTCCTGAAGTCAAATACTTGAATTGGAAATGCAGAGGCATAGTGATAAATAAGACCATGAAGTTTCTGTTTGAATAATGTGTATGTTGTTATTTTTATGTGTCTGAATAATTTGTATGTTGTTTTTATCTGAAATTATTTGGGGGTTTTTGGATGATTATGTTTATTATGGTAGTTGTTTGGCTTTTAAGCTGTCTTTATGACAGGCTTTCCTCTTTCTTTCTCAGTATGACAACATTTTGATGGAAGAGGCTGCTCAGATTCTGGAGATAGAGACTTTTATCCCTCTTCTTCTACAGGTAAGAAATATAAGATCTGAGGCAAAGAAAATAGAGTTCTAAGAATGCTGAGGACAGCATCAGAAAGCTGTACAGTTTGGGTGTGCTAATTGCCATAGTTCTGTATTTTCCTTAACTTCATTATGTTTGGTATTCTATTTTAAGCCTGTAAACTTTCTTTTTTTTTTTTTTTGAGACGGAGTCTTGCTCTGTTGCCCAGGCTGGAGTGCAGTGGCACAATCTCCGCTCACTGCAAGCTCCGCCTCCTGGGTTCACGCCATTCTCCTGCGTCAGCCTCCCGAGTAGCTGGGACTATAGGTGCTCGCCACTACGCCCGGCTAATTTTTTGTATTCTTTAGTAGAGACGGGGTTTCACTATGTTAGCCAGGATGGTCTCGATCTCCTGACCTCGTGATCCACTCGCCTCGGCCTCCCAAAGTGCTGGGATTACAGGCGTGAGCCACCGCACCTGGCCCTGTAAACTTTCTTGAATCTATTCACTCTCTATTTAGTAGTTGTTTTGCTTCCGTAAGTACTATTTAAAAATTCATAGTTTATTTCTGTAATTTTGAAAAGATTTAGTAATTTTAATCAAGAAAATTACATTGTTGTGCAGTTTAGTGGGAAGATGAGCTGTTTCTTCATTTCTTTTGTTATAATTGTTTGTAGAATTATTTTTTCATATTCACTGAATGCATTGTTTTTCTTTATGCCTAAGTTTTTGAGCTAAATTGTGCTATTTAAGAATGTTTTTTACTGTACAATATTCTTTACTATTGAAGCATTAAAAACAAAATGTGGAATTCCCAACTTAAGAATAGAGACCACTCTAATATGCAGATAAATTGAGTTCCAAAAGTTGTTTTTATAAGTGAAGCCACTTGGAAGTTGGAATGTATTCTATCAGGATATGTTTCAAGGAACTAGGAGACACATAGAGTAGGAAATTGAAGTAGTAGTGTAGATAATTAAAGAAAGTAGTTTTTACTGCTTTGGTGGGTTCAGAATTGGTCCTCAGCTAATTGTGAAACATGTTTATTTCACATCTTTCCATTTCTCTTCTTGGGCTTCTGTTTCCTTCTGTGTACTCGTTACCTAATGCTGACCTAATCCTTCCAGACCTCTTTGGATTACCCTGCCTATTAAAGTAGGGTAATTCCATGCTTGCCTTCTAAATACCTCCATTCTCCCTCACCCACTGTCATCCAAGGCAATAATGTCCATAATTAGTTCACAAATTGTTCTATAAATTTGCCAGACTCCTCCTTGTGGAGCTGGTAAAGATTGGTAATTTTGTAAGATAAGGAAGTCGTTTGATGAAGAGTGAGTCCCTTGGGTAATAAATTGGAGACTAGAGGATAATAGAGTATTGCCATTTCCTTACTTTTCATTTCTAGAATCCTCAGGATGGATTTAGCCGACTAAAACGATGGATTATGATTGGCGATCATCACCAGTTACCTCCAGTTATTAAGAACATGGCCTTTCAAAAGTACTCAAACATGGAGCAGTCTCTCTTCACTCGCTTTGTTCGCGTTGGAGTTCCAACTGTGGACCTTGATGCTCAAGGGAGAGCCAGAGCAAGGTAAAGAAGACAGGAAAAAAAAAATCATTCCCATTTAAGGACATTTGTTCCATGATCCAAGTATTTGTGAATAGCTTTTGTGTAGACTGTTAGCATTCCTGGCTATCCAGGAACTTGGCTACCTGTAAATCCAAAAGCACTTTTGTCGACTACTGCAAGAGATATGAATGGACCAAATAATTTATTTCCTTCATTTCATTAATTAAGATTAATTTCAGTAACGTATAATCTAAGGGCTTCTTTTTGTTGTCCCTTCTCCTTCATGCCCCAAAAGGTATACAGTTAATATAATTTTGAAATCCAAAAAAAAAAAAAAAGTGAACAAGAGGAGAACACACCAATTCTTACTTCATAAAGGATGCAAGCCCCATCTCATAGTTACCTCCAAATGTCCTCAATTTTTAGTCTGCCTTGACTTTTTAATTTAAGGGATAAAGATAGCATTGATCTCAGAGAGTGTGATAGAACTCTTATTTTTGTAGTACCTTCAGTCTTTTGACCCTTGGTTACGTGAAGTAGGGAAGCTAAGGTTGAAAGAGCATTATTGCTTAAAAGATGAGCAAAAATGGCTAACATGAAAATTTGAAAGAAGCACAGAAACAGAGAAACCTCCTTAGGTATATTAAAAGGGATTTTACACTGCTAATATTTTCTGTTTGTGGGGGGATTTGTCTTTGGAAAGCTTGTGCAACCTCTACAACTGGCGATACAAGAATCTAGGAAACTTACCCCATGTGCAGCTTTTGCCAGAGTTTAGTACAGCAAATGCTGGCTTACTGTATGACTTCCAGCTCATTAATGTTGAAGATTTTCAAGGAGTGGGAGAATCTGAACCTAATCCTTACTTCTATCAGGTAAGAAAAAATAGGAAGCTTTTAAGTTTATTTTGCATTTGCTGGCCGACGTATGCCTAAATCAGTGATACTTAACCATTTGGCCATTGAGAAAAGGAAAGTTGGAACCCCACCTTACACACAATTGATTAAAAATACATGCACTAAGAAGACTATAAACAAACTAGAAACTACTAGAAGAAAATATTGATGAATATATAGTGTTACAGTGAGGAAGGTCTTCCTAAGCTTGTTACAAAAGCAGAAATCATAAAGAAAAATACTGATTGGAGAAAAAATTTATTTTCAATATTTAAAATTTGTTTCAATATTTAATGAACAATAAGTTGAATTCTGAATATATTTATAGAACTCAAATTACTTAAAAAAATCAAGACTAATAGAAAATATGGTATGCAATTCATATTTTATAACAAGTGTAAATCACTGAATCACATTTTCACTTCTTTAACAATGCTCAGGGTTGGGGTAGGTTTGGGGAAACTTTATTCTCATACAATGCTAGTAGGAAAATAATTTGGTGGACAGATTGTTAACATATATTAAAAACAATGTTCTCACTTCTAGGAATTTATCCGCAAAAATAATTGGGCAAGTTTGCAAAGACTTGTATGCGTAATGCTCATCATTGCAAATTATTTTGGAAATGAGAAACAACCTAAATATCTGTCAGTAGGGATTAATTGCATTATTACATTGCATATAAAAGAAATACTAGATAGCCACTAAGAATGATAACATTGGGCCGGGCGCGGTGGCTCAAGCCTGTAATCCCAGCACTTTGGGAGGCCGAGGCGGGCGGATCACAAGGTCAGGAGATCGAGACCACAGTGAAACCCCGTCTCTACTAAAAATACAAAAAATTAGCCGGGCGCGGTGGCGGGCGCCTGTAGTCCCAGCTACTCAGGAGGCTGAGGCAGGAGAATGGCGGGAACCCGGGAGGCGGAGCTTGCAGTGAGCCGAGATCGCGCCACTGCACTCCAGCCTGGGCAACAGCGTGAGACTCCGTCTCAAAAAAAAAAAAAAAAAAAAAAAAAAATAACATTGTGTTTACTAACAGGAAGAATGTTTATGCTATATTAAGTGGAAAAAAATTGCAAAGTGTATCTATAGTCATCTCGTTTTAAAAAGGAGCAGCAAATATATACATATAGAAATATGTGCAGATAATCTATACAAAATGACCTGGCAGCGTATACATCAAAATATAGTCTTTGGTTGATAGCATTTGGGGTTATTTTAAATTTTTCTTTTCTCTCTCTCTCTTTACAGCAAAATATCCAATATAGGTTGTTATATAAATTAGAGATCTTGAGTTATTCATAAAAAAGCATCATAGATCATCAGCTTAAATGTGTATGTGTAGATGTAACTCATGCAGATCTTATTTTCCCTCCAAATATTTGGTTATATTAAATCAAGTTACTCTATTTGTGTACTTACTGCCTGAGAACAGATGTGACCTTTTAAATGATAACTTTAAAAATATTAGAACCTAATTCAAATCAGTGATGTTTCCTAATAGCCATCTTAGAAATTAATTAAGTATTCTGTCAGTAATCAACTGATGTTTTCATTACATTAATAGTTTTTGGAATTTCTCCTTTGAGTCAGTTTCACTGCTTGAGTCATACTGTACTATGGATTGAAGCATTTTTATGCAGATTGGTTACCTGTTTTTTTTTTAGCTCTTAGTTTTTAGTCAAAATTAAGGCCGCGGTAAGCCTGAATCCAGATTGGAGAGGGTGATCATTAGGTCGGAGTCCAAAAAATACAAAAATAGCCGAGTGTTGTACTCAGGAGTGAGCAGAAATGAAAGGAGCTTGCAGTGAGTTGGCCACTGCACTAGAGAGACTGTAAATATATTTTCAGATGATGGAAGAGTTGAAAACACTATCCCCCAAAATAAGAATATTATGCATTTAAGTGATAACATTCTAAGAATTAGTGTCTGAGAGGGAAAGACTAGGTGGATAAATGAATAAAAGTCACTAATTGGAAGGGGACTTGACTCATTTGGAGTGAGTTCTAAAATGTTTGGTCACAATACAGTTCATGTTGTTTTATTGTTAATGCTTCATGTCTAACCTTTGGGCAAAGTACCAAATTGGGAAATGTTAAAGAACAAGAAAACTTAAATGCTTGTAACTCAAGCTGTGTGTCACAAAGAACCAGAATATAAATGATATTTCTAGAAGTCTTACAGTAATCTTTCTGTTTCCTTTGCATGAAATCCAGCTTCCTTTTTTTTTTTTTTTTTTAAATATTGTGTTTATATTCTTATTTTACTTTCTTCTTTCATCTAGTACTTTGGATTTAGTCTCTACTAAACTGGATCAAACAGCTTTGTGTGTGATTCCTCACCTTTAGGTTGAATAAGCCTTAGTTTTAAGCTCCTTACTAGTCTGTAGTTTAACAGTAAACCAGACTGACCAATTTGAGGTCACATCCTCATCCCACCTAAAGTGATCTAGTAGAAGTGACAACCATCATGCAGAGAACAGAAACAAAGCATACAAAAAACATTAAGAAACATGAGGAAGAAGGAAAAGCATTGTGTAAAAATTGAGTCAACTATAATACTGCTAGGTGTATATGCTGTTAAACTGGGTATTGTGGAGTGCAGTGGCGCAATCTCGGCTCACTGCAAGCCCCGCCTCCCGGGTTCACACCATTCTCTTGCCTCAGCCCTCCCGTGTAGCTGGGACTACAGGCGCCGGCCACCGCACCCGGCTAATTTTTTGTATTTTTAGTAGAGACAGGGTTTCACCGTGTTAGCCAGGATGGTCTCGATCTCCTGATCTCATGATCCACCTTACTTGGCCTCCCAAAGTGCTGGGATTACAGGCGTGAGCCACCACGCCCGGCCCTGTATTGGCTTCTTAGTTACTTTGTTCCTTTATAGTTTTGTGTCTGTGTGTAACTACAGTTGTGGTACACTGTATAGAATTTTTTTATTTTTTATTTTTTTATTTTTTGAGATGAGATCTCACTTTGTCACCAGGCTGGATTGCAGAGGTACAATTGCAGCTCGCAGCAACCTCTGCCTCCTGGACTCAAGCGATCCCCCCACCTCAGTCTCCAGAGTAGCTGAGACTATAGGCATGTACCACCACGCCCAGCTAATAATTGTGTTTTAGTAGAGACAGGGTTTCACCATATTGTCCAGACTGGTCTCAAACTCCTGGACTCAAGTGATCTGTCTGCCTTGGCCTCCCAAAGTGCTGGGATTACAGATGTGAGCTACCATACCTGGCTAGAATAGTATTAATCTATATTGGGATTGTTGTGGTCTTAGGAATATTAAGCCTTTAAGTTGGTAAGTTTTATTTTAGGATTGTTCCATGTATTGCAAATTAAAAGTTTTTATTTATCAGTGTTAATGTAGCATAAGATTATCCCTCAGTTTTATGAAAGGTATTCACTTATCCAAGTTACTAAGTCTTCACTTCTTGCAGTGTGCAAAGTGAACAAATTGTGCTTATCTACATCAGACATTTCCTCTATAAAATTGAAACAAAAGCAAATAAATGCACAATCTGATTGTGTTTGCATTACAGAATCTTGGAGAGGCAGAATACGTAGTAGCACTTTTTATGTACATGTGTTTACTTGGTTATCCTGCTGACAAAATCAGTATTCTAACAACGTATAATGGCCAAAAGCATCTTATTCGCGACATCATCAATAGACGATGTGGAAACAATCCATTGATTGGAAGACCAAACAAGGTACTTTTATAACTATAATAAGTTCTCTTATTCATCATTTTGGCAAGATGGAAATGTTTATATTGTTCTACTTTATCTCTTTGCTATCTCTTTTTAAGATAGTTGAGAAAATGAAATAATGGTAACTATAAATAATTCTCTGACAACCCTATCTGGCAGTCTTGCTGGTTTGCTGTGACTTTCTATCTCAACTACTGCATAAAAGATATTTATTGATGGTAACAGAAATAATTGTTTCTGAAACTTTTGGTTCATAAAATGATATATAACAAAATTACATTATAATTTGTGTACTGTAATGAGGAGTATGTTTGTTTTGCTTTGCAGAGATATAATTTAGACTGCTTTTTATTGTGTATAAGGGGAGGTTGTCTTGGGAATAAGGGAAGATTGTAAAATGTATTCAGACCTTGGGATTTAAAAAAATATTTTTTTATATAATGAAAAATGCATAATAGCAAATAAAATGATACTTCTTTCATTAATGAAGGGTTGAATACATTAGAAAACACATAAAGATAATACTAATGATAAAATTAGGACTTTGGTTATGAACATGGCTATGTAAAAGCTCACCTTTTTTGGAAATTATGCAAAAGTAACAGGAAAATGACAGAAAGAGGGGACAAACTCTATTTTTATAGACTATCTGGACAGTAGTAGAAGAAAAGAGGGCCTTTTGTTATGAAAATCATCCAGCCTTCAGAAAACAGTCTTGCTCGCCCCATCTTAACGTCTCCCACGTAGCTAATCTAAGAAACTTACTTATTCAGTGATAAATAGTATAAAGGGAACTAGCACAAGCTCAATTTATAGGAAAAAATGAAGAACAGAAAAACATAGATAGGATACATGCTCTGGAAAACATGTTGGCCTGGAAAAGATGAAATTTTTAAATATACATTTTGCTGTAAATTGGAAAATACTTAATGAAGTAACCATATCTTTGAGGAACAGCTACAAAGCAGAGAAATGTAAGAACTCAGAAAGAGATGAAATGTAAGCTGGAAGAAAATCAAATCAGTGGAATGAAAACAAAATCAAAGGAATATAGGGAAGAATAGACACTGCAGAATACTTCATAAGGAATAGAGTGAAACTAAGAAACTAATAATTTTGCAAGTTTAGAAATAGAAGGACCTCAATATTTGAGTCCTTTTACAGAAAATCTGACTCAAATAATAAGGAAAGTTACTGTCTCTCATAACAAGATGGAAATAGGGTGGTTCCAAGGTTGGGTTACAGGGTAGCTCAATGATGTTATTCTGCCCTGCCAATGTCAGTATGTGAGCCCATTTCTCCACATGGTCAGAGTGGCAAAAGAATTCCCAGGTATAATAGCCACACATAACAACAAAGGACTTATATCCAGAATATATATGAACTCCTATAAAAGTTATTACTAAATAAGGCAGACCAATACAAAATGGGCAAATGACTTGAACAGACACTTCACATAGGAAGACCTACAGTTAGCCAATAGGTCATGAAAAAGTGCTTACCATCATTAGTTGTCAAGGAAATACAAATTAAAACTACAATGATATACCACTACCTACCCAAAAGAATATGTAAAATGATGAAGATTGACATTATGACAAGTGTTGGCAAGGATGTACAACAACTGAAACTAGAACGGGAACATTGCTGGTGAATGTGTAAAGTGGGATGGCAATTTTGGAAAAGTTTGACAGTTTCTTATGAAGTATGCATTTACTGTACAGCTCAGCAGTTTCACTTCCACATATTTATTCAAGACCGATGAAAACATGTCCACAAAAATATTTGTACATGAATATTTATTGCAGCTTTATGCAAAATAGCTTCAAACTAGAAACAGACCAAATTTTCATGAACAGGTGAATGGATAAACTGGTATATTCATTCAGTGAGAGAATACTCAAAAAGGTATGAATTTCTTGTGTACACGCACATGAATATATCTCAGAAACATGCTGATTGAAAGAAATAGGACACAAAATAATATATCCTTTTGATGCTATTTTTATGTAATTCTGGAACTGGCAAAAAATAATCTATAGTGACAGAAAGTAAATCAGTGGTTCCCTGGGGCTGGTGGATGCAGATTTGACCAAAATGAGGCCTGAGGTGATGGACATTTTTATTGTGGTGGTGGTGACATGGGAAAATGTATTGTCAAAATTCATCAAATTGTAAACTTGAACACATTTTATTGTGTAGAAACTATACCTCCATGTAGTTGACTTAAAAAGTGTTTTGTACACTTCCTAAAGATAGACTATAAATTACCGTTTCTGCAGGGTAAGCAATAAACTTTTTGTTGAATTGATGAAAAGATAAATGCCTGAGTTGCCAATATTAGTGACTGAAACCTTTCTGAACTTCCCTATTTGTACATACACTGTTTCTTTTCTTTTCTTCTTCTTTTTTAAAAACAAAACAAAACAGGGTCTTACTCTGTTACCCAGGCTGGAGTGTAATGTCATGATCTCAACTCACTGCAACCTCCACCTCCTGGGCTCAAGCCATCCTCCCAACTTAGCCTTCTGAGTACCCGAAACTACAGGCACACGCCACCATGCCCAGCTAATTTTTGTATAATTTGTAGAGATGGGATTTCACCGCATTGCCCAGGCTGGTCTTTAACTCCTGGGCTCAAGCTGTCTGCCCACCTTGGCCTCCCATGTACATATATTTTCAAACTGAACAGAAAGTACAATGAAGATTATTTGTTTTTTTTTCCTTGATGGAGGAATGCTGTAGACATTTACTAGTGGTATATTAATTAATAAATAAGCATACTAAGTTTTGTTGCTGAGCATCAAACTGGGATACCAGTTAATAAGCTAAACATAGTCCCTGCTTTCATGAAGTTTTGCAGTCTAATGGGGGAAGACTGTTAATTCCAAAAATAGTTATTTAGTTATCAGCAAAGGTGAAGACAAGTGCTATAAGTGTGAATAACATAAGGATGTAGTTTGATCTGGTTAGAATGGTTTATTTAATAACGTTCGTTAACTTGTTCTTGGAATTCCAAGTCTATGATTATGTTTCTTTTGAGTTTGATTATTTTAAGGATAAGATGTTTGTTTGTAGCACATTATTTAAATGATCTCTAGCATCTTTTCGCTTTGCAAATGCACCATATTTTCCATTTTTTATTTCTAGGTGACAACTGTTGATAGATTTCAAGGTCAACAGAATGATTATATTCTTCTTTCTCTGGTACGAACCAGGGCAGTGGGCCATCTGAGGTGCGTAGGAAAAAACTTTCATAATGTTTATTGAACTTTACTATCTATTTCAATTTTGAAATTCTGTGGCTAAGTGTTCTAAATATTTTTTAAGTTTAAACTATAATTACTCGGCAACATTTGCTGCTTTTTGTTGGAATGTAACATCAGATTCCTTGTAGTAACTATTGTCATTGCTGCTGGATATTTTTACTCTTAAATGTTTTAGTAATTTTAAAAGTTTTACTCTTTAACTCTATTCAGAGATAGCATTTTATCATAAAATCTTAATCTGTCCTGTATCTGTTAGAAATGTAATATCAGAAATTAAAGGAGATAAAGAAATTAAAGTCTTCAGAATAAATTTTCATTGTATAATATGTTTCCTCATTTTTTTTCATACACAATCTTTCAGCTTCAGTGTTAGAGGATAAAGGAGCCATTTGTTCTCCCTGGATTAAGAATTGTCAAAACAAACAATAATCTATTTTTATCATTTATTATGATGTATATATGTGTTAGAGATTTATGGAAATAATATCTTCTTATTATAAACCATCCATTTAGTTTTATATAAACCTTCATGTTATATGACATACTAACAAAACTAAGGAGAGTTTATTACTTTATTGGATAGACATGAAAAGAAAATTCTCCAGGCTCTCATAATATTGTCATTAAGATCTATTTGAAGCTTAACCCAGTAATCAGGTTTCATGAGATTGATAACTTTTATGTAAGGGTAAGTAAAGATGTAATGGTTTAAGAAATTGTTTCGCATTCTAAAATAGTTTGTTTTTGCATATTAAGTGTCAAGCCAGTATTTACAGACTTAACTTTTCTAAAAAGCAATTCTTTCTTCTCACTGAGATTTATAAACTGCCGTCTGAATGGGCTGTCACTATGGTTTACATAATTAACATAATTAACATCTCAAAAACTTACAGTATGAATATATGAACACTCCTTCCGCCCCCCTCCTCTCCCTACCTGTTTTCTTAACTCTGTGGTACTTGGTCTTCAAATTCCAGTGACTTTAGTTCTATGCTGCCCTTTGCCTAATGTTTCTGTAAACTTAGAAAAAAAGAAAGATTTTGATGATAAAATGCTTATAAATGAAGGGTTAAAAGAACACCCGATTTCAGTATTGTCTTGAACGTCAACATTTTCTAGCAAAAATACCTTTATCCCAATAAGGTAAATTTATTTGTATTTGCCAAAATTTTCCTTTGAAACTCCAACTTCTTCATGGGGGATAGTGTTGGTGGCGGTTGTGCATAGAAGTGATATGTCAGTTTATTATTTATGATTCTAGTTACCCAGGTAGCTTAGCCTAGGTATCTTAGCTAGAATTTTATCAAACTTTTAATAAAAATTTCTGATTTTTAGAAAGCTAATCTTTCAAATTCTTCCTTTTATATATAGGCAAGAAACTATTTCTGTTTCAGGATACCAAGGAAACCTACCTTCCTGCCATATTTCATTTTTTTAATAACATTATTGAGATGTAATTTGCATATATAATTTATCTATTTAAAGTGTTCAATTCAATGATTTTTTGGTATATTAACAGCTATGCAGTTATCTCCAAATCAATTTTAGAACATTTTCATCACTCTAGCAAGAAACCCTGTACTTAGCAATCACTTCCCTCCCCTGTCCCCCAAACCCTTGGCAACCACTAATTTACTTTTTATCTCTGTACATTTGCCTATTTTGGACACTTAATATAAATGGAATCATATAATATATGGTCTTTTGTTACTGGCTTCTCTCACTTAACATATGTTCAAGGTTCATTGTTGTAGAATATATCAGTACTTCATTCCTTTTCATCGCTGAATAGTATTCCATTGTGTGGCTATGTCACATTTTATTTATCCATTCATCAATTGGACATTGGGTTGTTTCCATTTTGTGGCTATTAGAATGAATAATGCTGCAATGAATATGCATATACAGTTTTTATGTGAACACTTGTTTTTCTTTCACTTGGTTATAGACCTAAGAGTAGAATTTCTGGGTCATATGGTAACTCTGTATTTAGCATTTTAGGGAACTGTTAGACTGTTTTCCAAGTGCCTGCCTTATTTCTTTTGCTCACACCTTTTTTCAGCTAGGGTGGACTAATTGGGTGATTGGGTTGGAGCCAGCTTCAGTTCCAGAGGCCTGTTTGAGGACAATGTGGAGCTGTTTAGTAGCCAGAGTAGTGGTACAGTTCTGGTCCCTTTTCCAGCATTCATTGTTCTTGTACCGAACTGATTTGGACAGCCTAGCTACCAATAGAAATGCGTGTAACCTGTTCTGAGCCAAGTAATGAGGCTGCAGCTTTCCTCTGTTGTTTCCTCATAGGGGTTCTATCAGAGTGTTGGCGTTGTTGTTTAACAGTGCTTTTCCTCTCTAGCCATCTTCTGGGGACTAAGAAAGAATGTTGCAGTCCACATTGCCCTGCTTTCAAGACATAACTCCAAGGAGCTCTGCCTACTCATGTTACCATCCTTTGTTTTTTTGCCTGGTGGTTTGTTATGTTCATACTATTTGGTCATTCATTTAACAAACATTTTCAGATCCATCCATTGTTTGTCAGTGTGCTAGATTCTTAATATTTAGTAATAGATCTAACATTCATGATCTCTGCCCTTCTGGAGTTTAGGGTCTAGTGACATTAATATATCCTTGGAAGATCCCTACATTTGAATCTGCAGAAAATTTTTAGTTCAAATTTCCTCATGTACAATGGAGATCACACTTACAAAAGCCACTTTAATGCACTATAGCACTGAAGGCTGGGGAAGAGTTTTCTCAGAGAGACCATACAGTGTTCATTGCAATAGTGCTGTACCTGTGCTCTGTCTAGAGAGAGGGCCTTCTGGATGTGAGGGGGATTACAGTGGTCACCATGAAAACAACAGTTTGTCACCTGCTTCCACCACTAACCCTTTTTCCCCCAAACAACATTAAATTCCACCATAATTTTATTTGTAACATTTGTGTGAGAATTTATGCTAAGTATTTCTAGCAGTGTACCTTCAGTTACCAGTGTTGGAACCACCCAACTGTAGTATGACCCCTTGGGGTTCTAAGGAAATATGGCAAAAATAATAATTTGGCTTACAATAAACTAGAAAACAATATTTCCTTCATGAATCCAGTGTGTCACAAATGTGGAGATTCCTCAAAGTTCCTGTAAAGGAATATGTCTTTTCCTTCTACCTAAATGAGCATGTCTTAATTTTGTTTGTTGCTGGGGGAAGGCTACCTATCCCTGCTCTGTCCCCTCACACACATACACATAACACAAGAATATAAGTGATAGTATATGCTGGTGTCACACTGTACCTCCTTAAGGAAACTAGATTCTTTTAAGACCATAGACTAGACCATAAAACACCACAGAAAATGAGGTTGAATTAGAGATACTCCCCAAATATCTTGCATTACACAAAGAAAAGCTATTAGATAAATAGTCCAGTTCCTGGTTTGTCTGTCTCTCTGAATGTTACAGAGAATAATCTCTGTAACACTCTTTTACACGTTCTTTCAGAGATTGGAGGTGATTCTCCCAGGCTTTATTATTCTTCATGAAAGTCTTCTCTTTTGCATAGTACTCAAAAATTTAGCCATCTAAAAACATCTCAAGTAAAAAAACTGTCCTCCGCATTTGAAACCAGAATTATCTTTTCTCACTAAAACACATTTTATCTAATAGTGAGGTGAAATTACATTAGCCCTCTTTACATTTATTTGATTCAAACCTTTTTTTAAAAAACTTAGGTTCTTTTAAAAAATAGATTAAAGAAAAATGACATGATTCATCAGATAGCCAGCTCCATGTATAGTTTGATCATTCAATTGAACCATTTTTATCACTGTTTTTATGAACACTGAGTACCTATTATAGGCCAGGCATTGAATCTAAATACTAGAATAAATACATGGATAAGATATATTATAGGCTGACTGTCCCTTATCTGAAGTTTCAGATTCTGAATTTTCACATTAGGGATTCTCAACTTGTATTGTTTTATAGCATCATACTATATTTCCATTTGTACTTATTGTTGTAAATAAGTATCAAACAGTGTGGTAAGAGTTATCTAGGAAGTAAAATTTTACCTTGATGGAGCCTGGGATTTTGGTAGGTGAAGTGGAAGAAGAGCTAGTTCAGATTGACTCAATGACAGTGATGCATTAAGTTGGTAACTGATGATTGAACTATACTGTAATACTAATATATTACTTAGACTTTTTAAATAAATGCATTGGTTATTTTGTGATCCTCCCCCTCAAAAAACCAACAAGAGGTTAGTAATAAAGCCTTAACTTTTACTTGGTTTATTAGTCATGTAACATTGATTAACTTCTATTAAGTTTTTAAGAAGCGTAACTTTTTATTGCCGGGGCTTAACACGACTATCTAATGAAATATGTAAAAAACAAAACAAAAAAAAGCTGCATAAATGTTAATAATCTTGAAGTGTGCTAATTATTTTGTTTATTTCCTAAAGGGATGTCCGTCGCTTGGTAGTGGCCATGTCTAGAGCCAGACTTGGACTTTATATCTTCGCCAGAGTATCCCTCTTTCAAAACTGTTTTGAACTGACTCCAGCTTTCAGTCAGCTCACAGCTCGACCCCTTCATTTGCATATAATTCCAACAGAACCTTTCCCAACCACTCGAAAGGTAGGACTTCTTTCTTCATTTTACAGACAGCATTCCTCAGAGTGGGAAATTGGGATTTTCTTATAGGTGACCACATTAGCTTGGAACATTATTATAGATAATTTAGTCCCTGTTTTAGAGTGTGCTGCACTGAAGAACTGAGTTAGATTTTCTATATAAAAATAATACCGGCAGGGTGCAGTGGCTTATACCTATAATCCCAGCACTTTGGGAGGCCGAGGTAGGAGGATTGCTTGAGCCCAGGAGTTTGAGACCAGCCTGGGCAACATAGCGAGACCTCGTCTCTATATAAAAAATAAATAAATAAAAATTAAAAATAATAATGTCAGCCCACATTTAGTCACTACCATGTATTAGACAGTTCTTTACTACATTATCTCGCTTTCATCTCAGTAAAAACAGCCTATTAGGTTATTAGATTATTTTATTAACCCCATTTTACAAATGGAGAAACTTAGGGTCAGAGAAGCTAAGTAGCTTGGCCATGCATCTGGCAGATAGAGGATCCAAGATCTGAAAAGCCAGGAGGTCTTTTCGAATAACATCCGAGTTCATGTGATTTATCATTTTTCTATACTGTTCGTCTTCAGCTTTGTAAGGAGAACTTAACTACTTACTTGAAAATAGAGCAATAAATAGTTGAGTTCTTAAGAAGCTTACATTCTGGGGAAATGAGGGAGGAGAGAGCACATATATTTAATGAAAAGATAGAGAAATACTACTCCCTCTTATCCCCCCTTCTTTCTCCCCTTTTCCTAGCACCTTCCCTCCTTAGGTAACCAGTCTCTTTAGTTTCTCATTTAATCCTTATATTCCTTTTGTATAAAGGAGAAGAGATATGTTTATTTTTGTATTATTTTCCTTCTTACATGAAGGTTATTATGCTATAGACTTTTGGGCTTTGCTTTTTTATTTAATGAATTGTCCTGGGGGTCCATTGGGTTTTAAATAACATTATTTTAGATGTTCACAGTATACGTCTTCCCTCCACACCTCTAAAAAAATCTTAAGTCTTGTGTGTTTAATAATAATAAGTACTTTTTAAAAAACTGCCTTTTTATTTACTTATTTTTGAAGAAATGCTGCTGTGGAGAAATAGGAAAATGGTGGAGAGAGATCATGGGGTGGTAGGGTCACATAAAGCCTCAAGTGTCAGGCTCAAGTCTAGACACAATCCTATTATATCTGACTTTCTCCATCTTTTGTGGGCTGTTAAACAGGCAAATTCCTGACAAGAGGTCTGGGACAGAGCCTAGGTGTCATCATGTGTAACAAGCTCCCCAGGTGCTTCCTATGTAAGGGCTACACGTCACACCTGAAGAAATCTGAAGTGCAGGTCAGACAGTATCACTGAACAGAAGGCTTGGAAACCCAGGCTTTAGATAACACTCATGAGTTCAAGACCCTGGGGAGGTTAGGGCTGAGAACATCTCCCCATCTTCTGCTCAAGACGTAGTGAGGGGCAGAGTGCTGTGTCTCAAGGAAAGGCAGTTCTTGGCAAGACTCCAGAAAATAAGCTAACAAACAAAAACTCTTCCATGTTCCTAGTCATAATAACATGGCAGTATTTGTACATACGAGTTCTGACCATTGCAGAAAATAACCATTAATCAAAAGAATACCTGCTTAGATGGAACGCTGCCATCCTGCTTACTTCTGAGAAGTGTTGTTTAATTTACTAAATTATTTCTAACTTCATGTTCTTTAAATAATTTGTCACTTTAAGATTGAATCCTCCTTTTTTGGGGTATGTTTTTTACCTTAATGGTTTTCTAAATTGTTCCTATCATAAGAAAGGATAAGACTTTATAAACATTTTATTAATAACTATAAATAAGAAAGTTGTTAATCTCTATTTTAGGGTGGTTTACAAAGAAGTGCAAGTTCTGTATTTTCTTGATTTGCTTTACTACTTTACCTACACTTATAGAGCATTGTTTCTTAGATTGTTGTCAGAAGCTACAAAGAATCAGCTCATTCCACCCAGACCTTCTGAATCTGAATCTGTAGGGGCTAGAGCCTAGGTGCCTGCAATTTAACAGTCTACCCCAGTCTGATAGACACTAAAATTTTAAAAAGAGCGTTTGAATATTCATCCTCTTGACTCATAGTCATGTATTAAATAAAAGTAAATGTTAGCCTCTTATTTTTTAGGAAAATATAAATAGGACAAAGAGTGTTACTATTTTCTTTCTGAATTATCTTATGAATTGTCTTTGGAGCATGCACAGTCTTAGAAACTGCTGTTTCAGACCATGTTGACTTTTCTCTCTAGTCAAATAATTACTTATCTCTTACTAATTCTTTTATATTAGATAGTAAACTAAAACCCATACTTCACTTACCAGCCCAAAATTATATTACAAGCTGGCGACTCTTAGCTCTTCTGGTCTCTAACTTTTCTAAATTTCAATGGAATCACTATTCTTCATGAAGTCTTTTTTTTTTTTTTTTAAATAATCTTTTTTTAATGGGAGTCACATGGCCAGCAGGCAGAGCATGCTGACCTGGGCCCCCTTTTTATTCTATTTAAGTCTTTTTTTTTTTTTTGACATTCATGAAGTCTTCATTCTACTCTTCATACTTGCATTTCATATCCTCTTACGGTTAGTTCTTCCATACCCTAATCATGTTTATTCATAAGATTAAGAAATGGGTTTATGTTGAAGTGTTACCTTCTAGGGTTGTTTTACTAGATACTTAACATTCTTTTTTCCTTTTTCTAGAATGGAGAGAGACCATCTCATGAAGTACAAATAATAAAAAATATGCCCCAGATGGCAAACTTTGTATACAACATGTACATGCATTTGATACAGACTACACATCATTATCATCAGGTGAGTTTCTCAAAATTGACTTTTATTTTTCTTGCTGTAGAAATAATTTTCTTTTTTTCAGAATAAATCTTTAAAGTACCTAATTCCTTGTGGGAAATCAACTAAACTAAAGCAGGCTATTGTTATTTATGTAACATTCATATTTTTAAAACATCTTTATATAGATAGAATTCCACATACAATAAAGTCCACAAACTTAAAGTGTACAATTTTATATGTTCTGGCATAGGTGTTTACCTGTGAAGCTGCCGGCACAGTCAAGATAAAGAGCATATCCATAATCCCAAGAGTTTTCGCTTGTGCCCATTTGTAATCCCTCCTTGCCCTTCACCAGTCCCCTTTTTACTTTCCCAGGCAGCCAAGGATCTGCTTTCTGTCATGATAGGTTTGCTTCCATTTTCTAGATTTTTATATAAATGGAATCTACCGTGTGTATTCTTATTTTTTCCGGCTACTATTGCTTATACAAGTCTTTGCACTTTATCTTGGGTAGATACCTAAGAGTGGAATGGCTGGATTATATGTTAAGGATGTGTTTAACTTTTTAAGAAACTGCCAACCTGTTTTTCAAAGTGGTTGACCCACTTTACACTCTCACCAGCAGTGTGAGAGTTCTGATTGCTACACATCCTCACCCTCACTTGATATGGTAGGCCTTTTTAAAATTTGGCAGTTCTAATAGATATACAGTGATCTCAGTCTAGTTTTAATTTTCATTTCCCTAAGGACTAGTGATATTGAGCATCTTTTCATGTGGTCATTTGCCATCTGTATATCTTTGGGGATGTGTCTGCTCAGGTTTCCTGCTCATTTTTTTATTGGATTGTATATTAAGTTTCAAGAGGTTTTTATTTATTCTGGCTACAAGTCCTTTATCAGATATGTATTTTACAAATATTTTCACCCACTCTGGCTTATTTATGTTGTGTCTTTCAAAGAGCAAAAGTTTTAAATTTTGATGAAGTTCAATGTATCAAATTGTTCTTTTATGATTCATGCTTTTTGTGTCCTAAAAATACATAGCCTAACTCAGAGTTACAAAGGTTTTTTTCTAGAGATTGTGTAGTTTTAGGTTGGATGGTTAGGTATGATGCATTTTGAGTTAATTTTTTATATGATACAGGTAGGATTGAGTTTTATTCATTTGCCTGTGGATATCCAGTTGTTTCAGCACCATTTTCCTAATAGGCTGTTTTTTTCTTTGTTGACTTGCTTGTCAACTTAGTCAAAATATCAATTGACTATATATGTGAAAGTCTTATTCTGGGCTTTCTATTCTGTTCCATTGTTCTGTATATCCCTTTGCCATGACTGTACTACCTTGATCATAGTAGCTTTACAGTCAGTCTGGAAATTAGATAACATAAGTCCTTTAGCTTTGTTCTTCATTTTAGAAATTGTTTTAGCTATCCCAGTTCCTTTGCTTTTCTATATACATTTTAGAATCAGCAGGTCAGTTTCTACCCCCAAAGGCATGCTGCAGTTTTTAAAGGGTATTTTGAAGAGTAGGATCCATTGTTTAGGATCCATTTGAGGAGATTAACATCTTCATTTATTGAGTCTTCCTATCCATGAATAAGATCTCTCATTTATTTAGATCTTCTTTGAATTCTCATCAGGGTTTTGTAGTTTTCAATATACAAACTTTACACATATTTTGTTAACATTTTGCTAAGTATTTTTCTCTTTTTTTTTTTTTTTTTTTGCTGCTATTGTGCATGGTACTTTTAAAAAATCTTCAAGGCTGAGCACGGTGGCTCATGCCTGTAATCCCAGCAGTTTGGGAGGCTGAGGTGGGTGGATCACCTGCGGTCAGGAGTTCGAGACCAGCCTGGCTAACATGGTGACACCCCACCTCTGCTAAATATACAAAAATTAGCCAGGCATGGTAGTACATGTCTGTAATCCCAGCTACTTGGGAGGCTGAGGCAGGAGAATTGCTTGAACCCAGGAGACGGAGGTTGCAGTGAGCTGAGATGGCACCACTGCACTCCAGCCTGGGCAACAGAGCCAGACTCTGTCTCAATAAATTAAATGAAATTAAATAAATAAATAAATAAATAATTTCAATTTCCAGCACTGTAAGCAGAGTCCCTGATGAGAAAGTCACTAGACTGCCATGGGGCAAAGGGCAGGCTAAGCATATAGAGTTGCTCCAGTTTTCTGGTTGAACAGGACGGAAACCTTGTTCCTTGCTGCTCCCTTCTCCCATGGCTTTGTCTTAAGGCCAGGCTCCTCTCTACCTCTCACAGGGCTCTTTTTCTTTTCTTTTCTTTTCTCTTCTCTTTTCTCTTTCTCTTTTCTTTTCTCTGTTCTGTTCTGTTCTTTTCTTTTCCAGAAGGAATCTCTTTGTCGCCCAGGCTGGAGTGCAGTGGCACAATCTCAGCTCACTGCAACCTCCATCTCTCAGGGTCAAGCGATCCTCCTGCCTCAGCCTCCCAACTAGCTGGGACCAAGCTTAGCTATTTTTGTATTTTTAGTAGAGATGGGGTTTCACCATGTTGGCTAGGCTGGTCTGGAACTCCTGACCTCAAGTGATCCACCTGCCTCAGCCTCCCAAAGTGCTGGGAATGCCACCATGAGCCACCGCACCCAGCTCACAGGGCTCTTTGATTAAAGTTGACCCTTTCTTGAGTTAGTTTTATAATCAGTCCTAATCAGTCACTATTTTTTGCAGAAATGTTTACAGCAAAGTCTGTTGCTTAAAAATCTAATGGCTTTTCATGGTTGTTTTCCTCTCTGAAGATTTTGTATGTATTTTGATTATCAGGATATGACATCTGTGTAGGCATATTCCTTGGTGTTAGCAGGACCTAGACCATTGCCATCAGAGGTGTTACGTCTGTAATGTAAAATGGTCAGCACTCTTTTGGAGAACTCTAGAATGATAATGTGAGAACTTAGCTTTATAAGCTGTTTTTCATATTGGTATTGTCTTTTTTTTTTTTTTAAATTAGACTTTATTACAACTACCACCTGCTATGGTAGAAGAAGGTGAGGAAGTTCAAAATCAAGAAACAGAATTGGAAACAGAAGAAGAGGCTATGACTGTTCAAGTTGACATCATACCCAGTCCAACAGACACCAGCTGCAGTCAAGAAACTCCAGCCTTTCAAACTGACACCACTCCTAGTCAGACTGAGACCACCGCCAGTGAGACAGGAGCCAGTTCCAATCCAGAAGCCATCCCTGCTTTATCTGAGACCACCACTACTGTGGCAGGAGCTGTATCTGCACCTGCAGAGGCTTACACACCTCAGGATGCCACATCTGCCCCAGAAGGGACCAAGTAGCCAAACTGTAGTCCTAAAGGAGGACATGTCATTCAAAAAGTCTGAGTAAAGTTATTTTCTGTATTTTATATTTGCTTCTGCCATTTTACTGTCACTAATTAATGTTCGGTTCTTATATAAACTGGTTTTGGTGTCTTGAATATATTTTTTTAAATTATGTGTATGAACAATTCTAGTTTCATTTGTTCAATCAGAAGAGTAAATAACCATTCCTCATGTTTTGATCACTGAGTGTATCTGTAATCATACCTACATTAAAATCATTTTCTGTAGAATATATAATATATACTGCACATTTTTAGTGAACTTCTCTAAAGAAGAGGACAGAATACACCAGACTTAACCATGAATACGCTTAAGTGTCCAAATTGGGAAGGAACTTGTTTCTTCTGTTATACTATCAAATGCTTAAATGCTGTTTCCTTTTTTCTTACTGTTCTTTACATAAAGTAATATCTTTATGTAAAGATACTACTGGCAGTAAGATACAGGTTTACTCTGATCTATCAGAGTGGTCACATGCATTTCCTTCTCTCAAATCTTAGAATCACCTAAGATGTCTGTTTATTCTTGAGGCACACCTCAGACTGAATGAGTCAGAATCTCAGGATTAGAGCCCAGGAATCTATATTTTAGGAGGTTCTCCACACCACTAATGTTTGGGTTGCTGGCAGAGTGGCATCAGCCAAGGCTGGTGAGGCTGAGCCAGGATTTGTCATCAGCTAAATAGGAAGACTCTGCCAAATCAATCTGGGCAAGAAGCAGGATCCTGAGTCTGGGCAATGAGAGTCAGAGAACTTAACTCCTGTGTGCAGGGTAGAATTTTCCTATGGCAGAAATTCTGTTTTCTGCCTTATTTTTCTTGGGATAATCAGCCACAAGGAGACCTTCAGGTTAAATGTGGTTCAAATATGGGAAAGCAGAGGTACTTAGGACCTTGCTACTCAAGTATGATTTGTGAACCAACAGCATCAACATCGTATTGAAGTTTGGTATTTATAGAAATGCAGAAGTTTGCTGCCCAAACCTATTAAATCTAAATCTACATTGCAACAAAGTCCCCAGGTGATTCACAGGCACTTTGTAGTTTGAGAAGCGTGTACTAAGATTACTGTGTTGTCTTCACATGAATGAGGCTATAATGGTAGAATTACCAGTGAATGTGACTAATGTTTTCTGACAAAGGACCTCTGCTTATAAGGTCCCTGGGCATGGTGCCCAGAACTGGGGAAAAAAAAAAAAAAGAAATGTTTATGTGTATGTGTAGAGGGGAAAATTGCCCACTAGTTCTCTGTTTCCCAGTTTGATCATCTGCTAGAGTATCTAAAGGGGAGCATTTCCCCCAAAGTGTCTCCTCTAGTGCATCTACCTATGGGCCTGGCCATGTCCAAGGAATCTTTGAAGAAACAAGCAAGAACTGCACACTTATCATTGAAATCCTTCTGGTCCTGACATTTTGAAGGAATGATTGCTTCATAAGGAAGTAAAACCCAGAAAGTCAAGTCAGTTATATTTTTGAGTAACTAGTGTTTGCTCAGCTCTACCAGGCTGTGTTGAGTATGGTCCAGACTCTCATTTTATGATGTGTCCTACTGCATCAGGACACTTGTGTCAGTGTCAGGTGAGGAGGGGAGATGAGAGTGATGAGGCGATGAGAGGAGTGAAATACCAAGGACACGATACTAGGAAACCCAGGTCTATTTGTTATCAGAGTAAGGATCAAGCCAGATAGCCTGTTATGTAATTGCACTTTTAAAAGATTTTGAAAGCAGGTGCTGTGGGCATCTGTATGCACTCATAGAATTATTTTCATTTGTAACTGTATGGTATCAGGCCAAGCAAGGGAAAGAAGCTTTACTGTATTACCATCTTTCCTGGAAAAGACTGATTTTTCTCTCTCCCTTAGGGGATATGAGGTATGATACCTGCAACCAAAATAAGTGGACTGTTAAGCTGCTCTCTCAGCTATTTTCCAAGCAATGTACATCACTCTTGCCTAGATGAGTGACCATACTTTTTTCCTTGCTGCTTGGTTTTTCTGTCACTAAAAAGCAAATTTAGGTGGAAGATGGATGGGTAAGTCCTTTGTCCTTGTCAAAAGAATTTGAAAAGGGGTAAAGGCGGTGGGATTTGAATTCTTTTAAACTGTTTATTCATTGGAAAGGCAAGTGAGTGGCAGTTGACTATAGAATCTTGGGGAATTTTGAAGGAATTTAAGAGCTCTACTTATTTTAAGTAATGAGGAAACAATCAGAGAGACTTAACCAGGGTGGCAACTGTGGAAGAGTGAGGTAGAATCCAAGTCTACAGTTCTACAGCAGTGCTTTATTTTTTCAATCAAGCATACATGAGGGATTGCTTAATAAATTCAAGGGTTTTCTATATAATTTGAGATTACTACAGACACAGGTACTCTAGCCATGTGACTATTTCAGATTAGTGTTCCCATTGCTCTCCATCCTGTTTTTCACATCTAAATATGTCATGATTTTAGAATCTCTTTTTAAAGAAAACCAAAAAGAGGCATGCCAAAAACAATGAGCATGAAATGAAGCAATTCAAGTATTTAGAATTTCTTTTTTTTTTCTCAAAATGCTGAGTTAAGAAAGTTCATTGCCAACAGTTGAGAATAAATAGCTCTATTGATTTAGGCAAATGAATGAGAAGATCTAAACATTATCAAGACTCCTGAAGTTGGTGTAATAAAAGTTGAGATGTTTTGCTAGATGCTGAGAGAAAAGGCATAAATGGGCCATTCGTGCTTCTGTAAACAAATGAAATTTTGTAATGATCAGGAGACAGCATGATACTGTAAAACACACTTTGGACTCATCCAGACCTGGCTCAGAATTTTACCTAATTTGCTTATCCGCATTTGGTTTGACCTTAGGCAAATTTTATAACCTCTCTAAGCCGGTTTTCTTTATTTGTAAATAATAGGGAAAAGATCTGTTTGGATTTGGGGCAGGAGAGTTGTTTGTTTTATAGGCTAATGTTTATGAAAATAATCTCCAGTTAGGTGCTTAGTAAATACCAGTTTCTCTCTCTGTTTTTCTTCAAAACTTTGTTGACAATGTAGGATATTGCCAACCAATCCTTTGACATGAGTGCTTAGCCATGCCCCAATCCAGGGAGCATGAAGGATGATCAAGAAGGGGACACCTAGTGGCAGCTGACCTTTGAGGATCTGTCTAGGATCGGGTCTACTGATTTGGGACCTCTGAATCAGTACATTATAACATCGAGGTGATCTCTGCCAAAATTAAAGTTCTGGCAGAACAGCATAAGCAGAGGAAGACACTAGGTCTTTCTGAAATACGGAGCTGATAGCTTCTATCAGTCCTGAATTCTGTGCTGTCCCACCCCCAAATCATCTTTATTGTTGCATGTACTTAGCTTTGTGCCTTGAATTGCTGTTTCCTTTTTATCTTGCACTCAGATGGTATTTTTAGAGATGTTTCTTCAATCAAAACAAGATAAAGGTTTAAAAAAAAAACAAAGTGACCCTTTTGCATAAGCCAGAAGAGCAGTGCCTTGCTTCCTGTGAAAAATGCTTGGCAGTTAGCCTGTGTAATTATTTAGCAATCATGTTAATAGATGTTTAAGAATAATGGAACTGGAGCAGTACTGAGCCAAGGGTGGAAATGAAGACATGTGAGACTATTTTTTCTTCATCCACCGATACTCTTCAGTTACAAGGATTTAATTTAAAAGGGTTTTAATTCAATGGAATCCAGAAGCTTTGGACGCGCCTGTTTTTCTTCTTAGAGACAAACCTGGAGCTTGACTCAGAATGCAGCATGGTACTCCTGACTGACAGTGTGCCAGCTTTATTCACTTATCTTTCTACCTTTTGGCTTACATTTATTTCAGGGCTGGCTGACCTTTTGAGCTTACGTACAAAGATGGCTGATACCATTATTTTTCAACATATATTACAGAAAATACTACTCTTGAAAAATACTCTGAGAAATATGTTCTATGGCCAGATAGGTTTGGGAAACAATGTTCCTCCTCTGCAGAATTGTAATGCACTGTTAGCTAATTAAAGGCTCTCAGATGTCCCACTGGAAATAATCATGTTTAGCTTTCTTTAACCTAGTATTTCCCAAACTTAATAGAGCATAAAACTTTTTTTTTTTTTTTTAAATAAGATACCTTGGTTAGCTGTTTCCTTAGAACACAATTTAGGGACCAATATTGCCGGGCACGGTGGCTGCCGCCTGTAATCCCAGCAATTTGGGAGGCCGAGCCGGGCGGATCACCTGAGGTCAGGAGATCGAGACCATCCTGGCCAACTTGGTAAAACCCTGTGTCTACTAAAAATACAGAAATCAGCTGGGCGTGCTGGCAGGTGCCTGTAGTCCCAGTTATTCTGGAGGCTGAGGCAGGAGAATCACTTGAACCCAGGAGGCGGAGGTTGCAGTGAGCCGAGATGGGCGTCACTGCACTCCAACCTGGGCGACGAGCAAAAACTCCGTCAAAAAAAAAAAAAAAAAAAAAAAGATACCTTACATAGCTATTTCCTTAGAACACAGTTTGGGAACCAATATCTTTACATTGACTAAAACTGTGAATCTCCCTTTAAAAATAAAGCCCCAAAATCCTTTTTTTTTTTCCTACAGGTAACCAGAGGGTGAAGTAACACAGCCGAAGAGGAAACCAGAAGTGAAGTGATTTGTACAAAATGTCGTAGTGTAATTTATTGAGTGTCATGTGGTATTAATAGCAACATCCTGAAAATGCAAATGAATAAAAGTTTGGTCAATGTACCATGACATTCCTTCGTGTGAGCCACCTAAGAAAAGGTCACTGAGCATTCTCTGTTTACATTTTAATTTTAGACTCCAGAATTTCACACACAGTTTTTCTTCTCATTTCTTATGCAGTAAAAGAAGAGTTCATATTTCCAATGTGTCTTGCTTTCTGTTCTTTAATTTTTGTTTCCTTAAAAAGTTTAAATTCCAAAAAGAGAAAAGGAGTACTTAGCATAACCAACAGAGGTGGTCTGGAAATAATAAAAGAAAATTAAGGCAAATATAAAACATGAAGACAGTTTCCTCTTATAAGAATGTTTCGGCCGGGTGTGGTGGCTCACGCCTGTAATCCCAGCACTTTGGGAGGCTGAGGCGGGCGGATCACGAGGTCAGGAGATCGAGACCATCCTGGCTAATACGGTGAAACCCTGTCTCTACTCAAAATACAAAATATTAGCCAGACGTGGTGGCGGGCGCCTGTAGTCCCAGCTACTCGGGAGTCTGAGGCAGGAGAATGGCGTGAACCTGGGAGGCGGAGCTTGCAGTCAGCGGAGATCATGCCACCGCACTCCAGCCTGGGTGACAGTGCGAGACTCTGTCTCAAAAAAAAAAAAAAAAAAAAAAAAAAAAAAAAAAGTTTCACACACAAGGACCCCAGAAGTTGCCTTGCATTAGGTAGATTGAATTCTTTCTTGATCTCCAGAAATGACTGCCCCACAATCCTCTTCCCCTCCACCTTTGATTTAATGTTGTGCACTCTATTATACTTATCTCCGTGTTGCAATCTACGTTCAAGAACCTCAAAGGTAGCCGCTTCTCTTTGAAAGATGCCTGGTTTAATATAAACTCTTTTAAGAAGCTGAATTTATTGACATTTTTCGAAAAAATTCTGGATGGGAAGTGATCCCTTTTCTACTTTAGTTCACTGATTCATTTGGGCCATTTTTGATTGGTTGGTTGGTTGGTTAGTTTTTTCCAACTGGTTTCTAGTTCAGTTGTCCACAAAGTGAACTAAAAGTGCTTACTGTGTTACTGTATTTTCATTGCCTTCTTGCTTCCAGTGCTGGTTTCTTCTAATCTCAGACTGCCATGAGAACAGTGTGGAATAGGAGTAGGCCTCGTTAATTTGCATGCCATTTCGTTGGTTGACTACTTTTCACAGAAGTGAGTTCAATATAAAACTTTGAAGATGTTTATGAAACTAGTATTTGTATATTAATAGACTATTGAATGCCAACTCTGTGCCAGGCAGCAATGCCAGAAGCAACTCTGGTACTTTATAGATGAGAACACCAAGGCATTGGGTGAATTGCCTGGGACACCACAGTTAATTGAACTGAGACTAGAACCATCATACAACTTTTAGGCAAATTCCTTACCATGCTGCTCTTTATACTTCTTTGCTTGAGACTCATTAAAGAACAGAACAACACCAACTGTGCATGAGTAAGACAAGCCTACTAAATAATTTCTCCTATGATCAATATACCAAAGAGACTAGGTTGCCAAAATCAGGATAGGAAATAAAAGGTCTCTAAAAAGAGTATCCCAATGTTTGCGATATTTATTCTTACAGGAGAAAGACAAATTAGTATTTGTTTTGGTTTGAAAAAGGAATGCGAAACACATAATAGGAAGGGACTCTAGTAATACTGTATGCCTCAAAATGCTAATTATCCTAAAGTCATTTTATATTTAAGCAGAAGCAGAGCATGTTAAGTAATAATAGTTTTGAAAGTGTGATTTCTGAGTGTGTTACCTTGACTCTTAGCTTCTCAAGAAAAGTAACCGGGACCTGGTGTCTGCTCCTGTTGCCTTTGCCTCTTGTTCCCTAGTCACTATGCGTGAGCACATCTCCATCCACGTTGGCCAGGCTCATGGCCAGATTGATAATCCCTGCTTAGAGCTCTGCTGCCTGGAACATGGCATCCAGCCCGATGGCCAGATGCCAAGTGACAAGACCACTGGGGGGGATGACTCCTTTGACATCAGTGAGACAGGTGCTGGCAAGCATATGCCCAGGGCAGTGTTTATAGACCTGGAGCCCACATTCATTGACAAAGTTCACATTGCCATCTACCACCAGCTCTTCTACCCTGAGCAGCTCATCACAGGCAAGGATGATACTGCCAATAAGTATGCCCAAGGGCACTATACTATTGGCAAGGAGATCATTGGCTTCATGTTGGATCAAATTCTCAAGCTGGCCAACTGGTACACAAGTCTTCAGGGCTTCTTGGTTTTCCATAGCTTTGGTTAGGGAACTGGTTCTGGGTTCACTTCCCTGCTGATAGAATGTCTCTCTGTTCATTATGGCAAGAAGTCCAAGTTAGAGTTCATTTACTCAGTGTCCCAGGTTTCCACAGCTGTAGTTGAGCCCTATAACTCCATCCTCACCACCCACACTACCCTGCAGCGCTCTGAGTGTGCCTTTGTGGTAGACATCTGTCATAGAAACCTCAATATTGAGTGCTCACCCTACACTAACTGCCTTATTCTTCAGATTATGCCCTCTATCACTGCTTCCCTCAGAGTTGATGGCTCCCTGAATGCTGATCTGACAGAATTCCAGACCAACTTGGTGCCTATCCCCACGTCCACTTTTTTCTGGCCACATATGCCCCTGTTATCTCTGCTGAGAAAGCCTATCATGAACAGCTTTCTGTAGCAGAGATCAATGCTTGATTTGAGCCAGCCAACCAGATGATGAAATATGACCCTCGCCATAACAAATGATGGCTTCCTGCCTGTTGCACTGTGGTGACACCATAAAGATGTCAATGCTGCTGTTACCACCATCAAGACCAAGCACAATATCCAGTTTGTGCATTGGTGTCCCACTGGTTTCAAGGTTGGCATTAATTACCAGCTTCCCATGGTGGTACCTGATGAAGACCTGGCCAAAGTACAGAGAGCTGTGTGCATGCTGGGCAATACCACAGCCGTTGCTGAGGCCTGGGCTCACCTGGACCACAAGTTTTGACGTGGTGTATGCCAGCCATGGCTTTGTTCACTGGTACATTCATGAGGGGGTAGAAGAAGGGTTTTCTGAGGCCCATGAGGACATGGCTGCCCTTGAGAAGGTTTATGAGGAGGTCGGTATAGATTCTGTTAAAGGAGACAGCAAGAAAGAAGGAGAGAAATATTAATTATCCATTCCTTCCAGCCCCGCAATATGTCTTATTCCCATAATTTAAGCTTCAACATTAATTGACAGGCATCAAAGCTTTCTGGTTAGATTGTTTTCACTCAGTGGAGATCAATGTTCCATACGTATCTGTAAGACTTTTCCATCATGTCTCAAAGTAAAGGCTTTAAGATTAAAAGAGAGAGAGAGAGAGAGATTTCAAATAAAGGGAAAAACAAGATTTACCAAGACTTACATTTTTAATCATTATACATCAGCTGGGTCAGCCTTCTGATTACACTTCCTATCACAAACCCAGCATTAATGTATTTGGGAGCTGAAAATAACATCCATGTGAGTTAAAGTTCCCAGGAGTAAAAGTCTGTGTGTAAAACAAATCAAGATCATGTTATGTAATTACAGAAATAAATTGTGATAAGTTTTTTCAGGGCTATCATTGTAAATCTTGATCTAGTTGAACTCTTATTAAAGGAATGGGTTCATTTGAGCAAATGGAGAATATGTCTGCAGAAATACAGTCCTACCTTGGGGAAAAAGTCATGAATGTCAACTGCGATAGCTCAGGAATTAAATTGATCAGGCGGATCTCTTAACTTGCCAATGTACTATTAATAGTGGGCATGAGAAGTGAAATTGTTGGTTCTTGTCTAGAGTTAACAATGACTGGAATCAACTTCTCTTGCCCTGGCTAGTCTGAAAAATAGAATGCAAGTCAAATGAATGCAAAGATCTCTGACATCAGACTCAGTGCTCTGATAACAGATTAAAGGGATCAGCTATGAGGAGTTCCTTAATTAGCAGGCCCTGGCATGAAGCAGGACATGCTATGTATCAGTAGGCATTTTGGGGCCCTGAAGGATACATTTGATATGTTTTGTGATACATATACATTTATTTTTTGAAAACAATGACAATAGGAGAGTGTCTTTAGTCTAGCCAAAGTTTTGTCAATTTTATTTATCTTTCCCCAAAAAACCAACTTTTCATTTTGTTGGTCTGTATTGTTTTCTAGTCTCAATTTCATTTATTTCTGCTCTAACCTTTAGTATTTCTTCTACCAATTTTGGGTTTGGCTTGTTCTTGCTTTTCTAGTTCCTTGAGGTTCATAATTGGGTTGTCTATTTGAAGTCTTTCCACCTTTTTGATACAGGTGTTTATTGCTATAAACTTCCCTCTTAGTACTACTTCTGCTGTATCCCATAGATTTTGGTATGTTGTATTTCCATTTCCATTTGTTTCAAGACATTTTAAATTTCCTTCTTAAAGTCTTTATTCACCCATGGGTCGATCAGGGGCATGTTGTTTAGTTTCCATGAGTTTGTGAAGTTTCTGAAGTTCCTCTTGTTATTGATGTCTAGTTTTATTCCATTGTGGTCAGAAAAGATACTTGATATGATTTCTACTTTTTAAAATTTGTTCAAAGTTGTTTTGTGCCATAAGATATAGTCTATTCTAAATAATGTTCCATGAAAAGAAGGTACATCCTGCAACAGTTGGGTGAAATGTTCTGTAAATGTCAGTTAGACCTATTAGGTCTAGTATATAGTTTAACTCTGGTGTTTCTTTATTGATTTTCTGTCTAGGTAATCTGTCCATCACTGAGAGTGGAGTGTTAAAGTCCCCATATTATTGTTGTATTGGAGTCTATTTCTCCCTTCAAATCTATTAATTTTTGCTTTATATGCTTGGGAGCTTTGGTGTTTGATGCATAGATATTTATAATTGTTATATCCTCTTGCTGAATTGACCCCTTAATCGTTAGTGACCTTCTTTGTCTCCTTTTACAGTCTTTGATTTGTAGTCTATTTTGTCTGATATAAGTATAGCTACTCCCTTTTTTTTGTTGTTTCTAGTTGCATGAAATATCTTTTTCCACTCTTTTACTTTCAATCTGTATGTGTCTTTGTAGGTGAAATGGTTTTCTTGTAAAAAGCATATAGTTGGGGCTTCTTTGTCCATTCAGCCACTCTTTGACTTTTAATTGAAGAATTTTGTCCATTAACATTCA